ACAGTAAGCTTGGCAACAAAATCATCCACGTTCTCGAATCAATGGGCTGGAACCATCGTAGGGAGGAATGCGCGCGAAACGTCCTGCTGGAAGAACCATCTTCAGAGTATCAGCTGTAGCTGGAACGATCACGCTTCAACAGAACCAATCGACGTCATTCTCGAAGGGAACCAACGAACAAGCGTGTTGGAATAAGAAAACTAACTGGCCTGCACACAACAGACATGGCACAACTCGCCAGAATTTCCAAGAGGTCAGATAGAGCTACCGACGCACATGGCAAATCACAACACAGTTATTGGGTTGAGGCACACTCTTCCAAAATATCTACAAGCTTTCCACAATTGAGTTCGTTTCCCTTCTCTCTGCGGTAGCACTTGACGACCGCCTGCGACTCTTCATCACAAACTGCCAATTGTTGCCCTGCAGAAACATCGGGGATGACGACGGAGCTTACAATCTTCGACAAATGCGCGGTTTCGGCATCCTTTGCTGCCAAAACCTCGAGCATTCTGTTGTCGTCCTGGCACACACGCAAGAATTGCGAAAAAACGAGAATATCATGTGAGGTTACCAAGTATCGCCACGCGCTTCAAAACACACGACGTAAAATTGGGGTCTGTACAATCGCAGCCCTTTTGGAAACAAGTCCTGTATGGGCGGGCAAACAAATTACCACATCGTTTAGAACACGAAAGTGTTTAGCGCAATACTCTTCCGCTCTTCTTGCGCTCTTCGCATGTACATCTGTGCAGTTCGAAAATGAAATCACAACGAGCAAGTGTGCGCATGGACGTTGCATGCAGAGAAATGGAGACGTTGGGGGAGGGAACAGGTCAGTTTAGGCTTTTGGCCATGAGCTATCTCACTGTGCGAATGGATGGGTGATACAAACAGCGGCAAACATCCAGAGATGCACAGCACAGCAGCAGATGCGAACCAAGGCCGTACAGACGCGACCCAAAACAGAGCAAGAACCGCATACTGCTTCAACCAATGTTGTACCTGGCACAGGGATATCGTATCACGCAGGGTCGAGACGAGCGGGAATGTCCGCGCGAACAGTCTGCGAAAGTAATGGTTTGCACTTCTAGTGGTGGAAAATGTTTTAAACGGGCCCATGGGGTGTCCCCAACAAGCTCTTGAGAATCGATCATGGAACTGATTGTGGCAGGGGGAAAATGAACTATGATATTGACCAGACTGAGAATAAAGGCCGACCAGCCGCGTGTGTAGCGTGTACACAGCAATCGCATGGAATAGCCGTTCGCGCTAGTGCACTGCCCGGAGCCGAAAAGTCTTTATTTGTCAGAAGTGGTGAGATTGCTGCAAGATGCACTGACACACGCGAAAGACTAGCGCAGGAGACACAGCAATGGGCAAGCCCACTTTCCTCTCAACACCACTGGTGCGGCCGCTGCTATACTGAACCAGCCTTGATAAACCATGTTGGAAATTGACCGAGTTCAAATCAACGTTGCTGTGCCATAAATAAACGATACAGACGCGTGGAAAAATAGCTCACTTGCTTCGCTGTAAGGGCAAAGCGTCCAGTGCAAATGTGGCCGTGGCAGTTTGCGACGCGGTAGCCAGTGGAAGTCCGGTGTTTGCAATACGGCGGCCGCATGCACGAGTACAATGCACCGTTAAGTTCCGGCATGTGTGTTTCTGCAGTGTGAGGTACCTGGTGGTGAGGTTGACACGGTTTGCCGACTTCAACTAAAACAACTCCTCCTTGAATAGACTCAGACACCGCCAAAACACCAGCGGTGGACCCCTGACAAAAATGTTCGGGCACGACGAAAATGCCTTGCGAACGCGTTTTGTCTGTCGCAACTCAAAAAGGTTGCCGGGGTCACTCGAGAAAGCACGTAACCTCAGGCCGGCCGGAAATAGGAGTGCCAAGAGTCGGCAAAAAGAAATGACGTACGCCCGTGCCATCTCTCCGATTATCCAGTAGTTGTGTGCCATGGGTTTGTTGGGACACACTGAACCATTCCTGCGGTTGAACCTTCATGGGAGACGAAGAATATGCAACAACAGCCTGCAAACGAGTTCCTGTATTTTTCGTCAGAGTGACAAGTCAGTCACAATGCTTACGCATTCGCTTGATTCCGACAGCAAGAAAGTGTTTTTCTCAATAGGCATGGATCCTTTAGGACTCTTCGCAAGTCCTATTGTGATCGATACCGGCCCTGCTCATTGTGGATACAATTTCATTGTTTTTGTCGCACCACAACAAAATTGGAACAGGCAGTGCATACACGTACATTACTCGGGCCGGTACATACCTCTTCTCTCCTATGTTCTCGTTCTCTCCGAAATGCCTGGCTCTCTTCCTGCTGCTTCGATTGACTCTCGGGTGCGGAAGGTTCCGGTTCTACCCTGCTAACCTGGTACTGTTGCTGCCTTTGAAGCTGTTTGACGAGCTGCACACGTGGACATTCACGCACGCGAGGCCATTCGAGGGTTTTATTTCTGTCTCTCTTGTTTGTGTTGCCAAGTACTCGATGTTGTGAGCCACCACACAACAAGTTGACGCTGGGGGGGAATGAGTAATGAAAGAGGGACAGAGGTCCGGGGGGAATCCCGGACACCTCTTCACGGGCAAGAGGACAAGCAACGCGCGGAGCATCACCGCGTACAATAAAAAAGTGGTGACCACATCAAGTTGCGGTCAAAAGACATGTGTTCGTGCACATCGCCTTGCAGAACACAAACTACAGGTATCATCCGACAAAAAACAGCATGCACATGTGACCATGAACGCTGTTTCCACGCTCGTCAGGATGGAACCTCGACTCCGAGATCACCCGTAAGATACCAATTTGAGAGCATAGACCAATAGAGGAGCACTAGGGACGGCAAAAGTGGTTGGGCATGGAGGTTGAGGTTAACTCAAAATACACTAGGGCGAACATGGATAAATTACACAGCACTCAAAAAAGAAACCGAACAGGATCCCCACAATTCTGTTCGGGGTCCCGACCTGAACCATGAACGCAGCTGAAGAAACCCACTGAGCTCCTAGGAAAAGTCAGCACACTCAGCCCGGCTACCGGGAGTGTGGAGCCGATTGCAGGGTCCACGCTGAAACGTGGACCCGAACCCAATAATGAAAAGAATATCATGCTATTCCCGCCTCTTGATGAGTCCCAAATCCTCAGATACGGTGTACAACCAAACGTAATACCCCTACAGTTTCTTTGAGAGCAATCGAGGGAATGGTGCCCGTTACGGCTTGGGTTCGGACTTTGGCTCAGATAGATATTTCTCAAGTGTAGGTTTCCCTCAAAGGTTCTGCAACAGCTTGACGGTACATTCACTTGGAATCATGTTTCACGCCGGGACACACAGGAAGCTCGTTTCCTGAACCTCGGAGTCAGTATGGTAGACGTGACAGCAATTCAGGATGTGACAATAACGTGAGAGTCCCAACCGGTAACACATTGCCTCAAGAATACGACCATGGCTGAGATATTCAACGCGGTTGTACTGTAGACAACAAGTGCACGCCAACGGGGAATAGAACAAACGCAAGACATCTAAACCAGTATAGACCGTGCAATGTTGGGATCGATTATATCGATTGGCGGTCGATACACCTGAAGAGATACAAGTCGGAATCTGCACGGCATGATACATGTCGCGCCTTCCGGAAAATAGAAAATAGTGCGGAGGTGAATGAGACTGCCGCACTTCATGACAGAGGTATCCTTGATCGACAACACGAGCGTGGCCGAAACAAGACAAAAGGGTTGACCAAGAAATCAAAAGCATGTTTGGTTGGAAGTGTTATCAACCCTCACGTTCTCGGAAGGTTTGACGGCAACGCGATTCATCCAACTCTCCGGTTCGCCTGCGGGTGTGTCTTCTACCCGCCTTGACTGCTGACCGCCCATAACCTTAACCTTCGTCCTAATTGCCCTAACCTCGCCAAGAGAACATGGTGAAACGAAACGGGCAGGCGGGCATGGGTGCGACAAGGAAGCACCATCAGCAGCATGTATCACAGGGCATTTCAACATTCCAGCGATAAAGCGTGCGCCGCAAGACGTATAGCATGCGTGACCATAGCACTTAAATGCACACAGCAAGCCAACTATTATAGATAAGCTATTGTTGACTGCTGGTCACCGATGCAGGTGCTGTTAAACTGCGACAGTAAGTGGGCGGGCGTTCGTTGTACGAAGGAAATAGCACTTCTAAAACATGTAAGCAGCACTGCTTTAGAAAGAAAGTCGGTAACACGTACAACATTTCTCACCGAGTACCTGACACGCTATGCTTCGCTAACCAATGAAGGCGCGAGGTACCAACCCTTGCTGTGGACACGTTGTACGGGGCAGACGCGAGTGGGTGGGTGTTGTGGAAGAAAGTACCGAGGAGGGGGTGGGTGGGTGGGTGGATGCATGAAAGCATGTTGTGTTTCCTTATGGAACAAAATAGATTAATATCTTATGCAACAAACTGGCGCACCCGAAATGTCGCACTCGACCAGGTGAAGGCGCAAACAACTGGGTAAGGGAGATGACGGAGCACAGCGATTTCGAAAAAATGAAGGTGCCAAGCAGTCTATAAAACTAACGTTGCTCTGAGTTCCTACTGCTGTACAGCAAAGCAGTCAAGGGTGCGTTGTGAACGTAGCTGTCACCTGAGCTGTCGGTGTAGTGCACTGTAAGACCCTCTGCGATGCACAGCTGTGCAAGCAGCTTCGGGGTCTGGGATCTCGCGCCAAATGCAACAATGGCACGGGCCGTGCAAACGAGCAAGAAGAACGAGGGGGTGCGGGATGCGGCGCAATTAGTGGTTGGTTCAGCCGTTGGGGGGGTACAGCGTACAGCAGTATAAACGAAACTGTCACCAGTTCCGTCGTTCCGTCATACGGATGCATGCATGTACACACATACAGCTATGCTATGCCTCCGTGAGGACGGATTTCACTGTTTCTCCCGGCAGGGCGTCGATGCAACGAGAGAGCAGTGCTTCCCGTCAAGCAGATGTACTCTCTCGAAGGCGATGGGGTTTGCGAGCATCTGTATGAGTTTATTTCGTGTAAAGACGAGCTGTCGTTCCGGCCGACCATCAACATTGCAGACACTATCGTTTACAAGTTTGGACAGCCTGTCAGCTGGTATTTCACCGGCGTGGACGGAAAGGTCAAGAAAAAATTCAAAACCAACATCATCAACACCAAGATTGAGGAGGCCTTCGTAAAAGCGAGCGTAGGATCGGACATCGTTGCGTACTACATATCATGGACCAGCAATGGGTCCAAGTACCAAGACGGTGAGTCTTTTCATTTTGCAGCTGTTGGAATGCAGCCAATGCATCATCTGGAAGCCTACAAATTAGACTATAAGTTGGTGACCGTAGTTTATAGACTTTCCCTTCACTTTCCCTCGGTAGCAACAGCAAAGAGTTGTTTTTGGTGTGTGGCGATCGTGTGGTGTCCGATGAAAAATAGTACTGAAGTACTCCGTATTCTGTGACATGAATAACCTCATTGTCCTGCCTCTTCTCAAGCAAGGATATCTGTGGACACTTACCACGTTTGGGGCTGTTGCTATGGCCAAATACGGCTCCTCTTGTGGCCGGTACTGCTAGTGGCAAGTCGTAGCAACACTTATCATTTAAACTTCTAGGAGGTAGGGCAGAGAAAATCAAGCACGTACAATAGTGTAGCCCACCTCCAACCCGGCAGCTGAGCAAATGGACGGTGTCTGGCTTTGATAGAGGAGCCATATTAACCTACGATATGCATGCACGATCACATTTGGGCATGCATACAATGAAATAAAACTGAAATGATCCTCGCTCCCCTACGCTGTGAAAGTGTGTGGGATGATCCAAAATCTGGATTATCTGTCTAGAAACTAGCAAAGTCAAGGCAGGCATGGTGGCAGCCAAAAGTACTCAACCGGGCTTCGTTACAAGCGGGTTCTTGTTTGCTGAGGAAGTTTCAAGCCATGCCGTCCGCTCAAAGAGACAACGTTTTCGTCTACAATTTTTTGCAGAAAACGAAGACAAAACAACCATCGAGTACCTGGATCGGCAAGGCCTACGTGAGTTTGGGAAGTTGAGATCGTTTGTAAACAACCGAAAAATTCAGATTCGAAGTGCTTATGTTTCGCTTTGATATAGGTTGGCAGAAAAGCCGAAAGAGTAGGCTACAAGAGTTGCCTACTTGCAGTCTTCATTTGCATTTCCACCACATCGTAAAACAGGATGTACGTGCCACCCATCGTCCATGTTTGCAGGCAACTTTCTGTTTAACCGCTGGAAGGAACGTAATGGCATTCTTCAACGCTTCGTGGAGCCCAAGGGAACCCGAAACGGTAATTGATCGTGAAGGCACAGGCACCGTTTAGCTGAGTTATGCAAACAGAACTGGCCTTTTAGTGCCGTACCGCAGGCCCCTCTGTCCATCCCCCGGCTGAGGAATGTTCTTGGTATGCGTTGCTTGTGACGTAAAACTCCCCTATTTCCCCCGGGGGGATTACTTTGTGGAAACAGGGGAGTTTTACGTCACAAACACCGCATACCCCCTTGGGCGGAATTGCCTCTGCGGGTGACGTCATGAACTAATGGTGAACACAACGGAGCCCGCGGACTAGGAAGGGCGTTCGCGGTTTTGGTCCCCCTACATGTACAAGATTGGCGTCTTTTCAATGGTCAGCCGGTTAGCGTCGGCGATGCTACCCAAAGAAACGCACACATACGCATACACCGCTCGTTCTAGTTCCCATGCTTGCATGCCTTTTCCGCATTCCGGGGTTAGACATGATCTCACCTCCGGCAGCGCTGACACTCTAGCAGATGTGAAATTGTATACAACCGCCTATTTGTATCACACTCACTCGCACATTTGCCGAATAGCAACATCGTGTTCGGCCCAAGAATCTAGCGCATTTCCTTTGTATTGATGCCAATATTGGGATGACTGGGGGAAACGTTAACCCCAAGGGAGTTTCATCGAAAACAACTACCAGTACTTGTGAAGAGAAAATTCAAGGGATACGAGGAGAACGTTTTTGGTTCATTGCTTTCCCCCAGGGAAACTCACCAACTTCCGGCCTAATATCTTTGGCGGGGGGGTCCACGCTGCACCGGGGTGGAAACAAGGGGGACGGCTGTAGTTGTCGATCGCCGCCAGGCAGCATTACGGCCTAGATGGTGGTGGGATATTCCATCCATGCCACCCTTCGTATCCCACCAATTGGCAGCGATGGTGAGGGCCATATGGTCTCCCAAGATGTGCTTATTGGAGAGGAGAGTGAATTGCCGCCAGCTTCACGACCGGCGCTACGGAATTTACGAGCGAGCTGTAACGTACGACGGCCCTGACATCTTCAGCACTGCCTGTGAGTCCTCCCGTAGAAACCACTTCATGCCACCAATCTGCCGGAAAATTGGATGCCGGCTCATGACGCGCGCCATTGCGTGTAGGAATTTTCTGCTGGCGAATACCACGTGCTGCTTGATATGATTGCGTATGTTTGGTTCATATTTGATAGACGCGTGCAATCATTGTCGCGCCGCTGTCGCCCTGTATCAGGTCCACTTCGAGGAAGCGTGTTGCCGTCGCAAGTACAAAGGTGTTGTGAAAGCGTTGTGGCGCATGTAAGTGAGGTACTGTTCAGGAAAACGAGGGTTTGTCGAATGTCCCTCAACTTTAAGATCGACTCTCGGGATCGCGTGTGGTTGCTGTGGAGCAACTCCATCCGGCTTGCATCTGAGATGCCACCGGGGCGCGAGTCCTTCACCTGCGTGGGTGGCCCCATCAACATTGGAGAGCTGGTGAGTAATCCATGAAAAAACAAAAGTAGATGAAAAGCATCGCAACGACCGAAGAAGCTACCATGCGGTGTATTCGTCCCGATGTCTGTGCCATGTATCTCTAGACCAATCGAAAGGTCAGGCAAGGAGCGTGGAAGAATCGCGTTGACCTCGATCGCATTATCTGGCCGTCTGTGCATGAGTTCAAACTGGCCACTTCGACCCGGTCACAAGTGCAGGCGTAGGTTCTATGGCTGATGCCCCACGCGGCCCTCACCCGTACGACATAGTCATGCTGGAGGGCGACCCGTGGTGCTCGTGGCGGTGATGCAAGCTGCGCTGCAGTCTACGTGACATCAAACGACGCATTTCTTCTCCCACAGGTGAAGATTCCGTCAGAAGTCACGCTGCAGCAAGGCGCAGCACATCATCGTGAGGAGATCAAAAGCCCGGCTATCGGCACGTGCTCGAGCTGCGGCAAGACCTCATCGGGCAGTAACTTCCATGCCGTGCACTATAAAACAATCATCGCCCACTTTGAGCAGGTGACAAGGGTATCCAGTTTCGAACTGACCAACCCACGCGAAAGCAACATTGTAGCGAGAAATTTCAGCTGCGCGTTCATGTCCATAGTAAACAGGACGTCATATGCCCTCCTCGGGTCCGAGCAGAAGGCCACACGGGTACAAACGCGCTCCTTTGTCCCAACAGGTGGTTGACCTCGTGTCTTGTGACCCGGCCAATCGAACGGGTGTTGTGGAGTGGCCGCCATCTGCAGAAATATTGGAAGCGGCAGGTGGCGTCGGCTTTGGTGATATTTCTCTGGCGACGAATGCCGATCCATCAACGATAGCTACGGAGGATGTCGTCGTGCCCCCAGTAATACGCTCTCTGCACCCTAAACTCGCTGCCGAGAGCTACGAGCGCCACCGGCGGGACCCACTCTTCTTGTACAAGGTACCGTTGGACAGGTTTGCGCACAACATGGTGTTGGTTCGACCGAATTTCTCGTATGCTGAATCACAGATAGTTTGCGTTGGCAGCGCATGCGTAGTGGTCCTATGCACTACTCCACAGGAAGAATTTGTTTCCGAACTAAACGCATTCGAGAATGCAAATCACGAGCAACATCTGCTTCATTTCTGTATCTCTCTCCTTCGATACCGTTCGAAAGCAGACTGCGTTCGTTTGCGAGTCCTGCTTTCTCGTGTACGCGGAACTGGCATCGCTCGCATTTCGGGCAACCGGCAGACAGGCCTTGACGGACCACACAATATCTACGCAGTTTAGCGCCATGCATCGATCACACACGCTCAGCCGCTTGAAGTTGAAGGAGGATTCGTGGCAACCATTGCCGAAGAAGAAAAGCAGTATGACACGACCAATGGGCAGCTCCAACGTGCCTCAACAGGTCTCGCCTGAACTACCAAGAACAATACGAAGGTACGCGCAGGGCATCACATAAGACCACGATCCTTCTTGACAGGGGCTTGTAGCAAGGAACACGTCCTCTAGCTTCTGTAGCTTGTGAAGCGATTTTGGTCGATCCACCCACCGGAAAACTGGTGGGTCTCCACTTGTTATATGTAGTTCAATTTGGTGCGTGGCCAAAGTATCCGCCATCATTTTTGTTTCTTCTATAACCTGCAGCTTCTCAAGTCCTGAACATTTAGCATCCAACCTTCCCGCCACTCACCCTGCAACTTCCTGAGCAGGGAGGAGGACATTATCAGGAACGAAGCGGGACGGGCGGATTCAGGCTCGGGGGTGGTAGAAAATTCAGGCACACGCCTGGATGACATAATCCGTGCCCGCGAGGAGGACTTTTTCCGTGAACTCAGTGCTGAGGAGCACACCGGCACTCACCCTTTGATGCATATGGTAGCCTCGCAGCAAAAACTTCGCAGCATTGGAGTGCCAGCTCATCAGGTGGACCCTCGGGCAGCGATAAAAAAGTCAAGAAGGGCAGCTAAGATGAGCCCCTACGAACGGCCGCAGACCCTGGTTGAGTATACCGGGCGATCTGATGCTTCCGCTCTACAAACGAAGCCTGCACACTTGCACACCACGAGTAAAAAGGTATCGCTCGGGGACCCTCGAGCCGGCAGCAACAGCAGTAGCGGAGACAAGATCTCATCATCTGCAGCAAGGCATCGCGAATTTCTGGACAACACATTGACTGCTGTTCACGAACAGCTAGAGTCAACCGCGCTTGCTGATATTAGTGGACAAGGAACACCTTGTGCCGCAGACGATGGGCAATAAGATAGTCTCGGGTGGAAGCATTAAGACGTACTGCTGTAGATTATAATTCGGTCATGCTTGTCTTGATGTACAATTTCGTCTTACACGTGTGGACTCTTCCTGGCATGTCTTTTTGACGAACTTCCATGGCGTGTGAAAAAACACATGGTACGATCTACGCCATTATCATTGTCCAAGGTCACCCAAGTTCTGAAGCCCGTTTGGGGGTTGCAGTTTCTGTTGCGACTGAAGAAACAGCACTGAAGGAAGTTTGGGGAACTTTTCTTGGGAAGAGTCAATTTGTCGAAGAGGCCGTCCTCTGCATGTCTTGGGGAGGTTGGTGGCTAGGGCAGCAAGCAGAGAGAGGAAGAACCATGCCGCCACATGGCCTACGAAATGATGTCTTGGATCGGTACCCCCCCACCCTGCTGCGGAGGTGCGTCCACGAAACTGCGGCAGCCAACTAAACAGAAGTCGATACAACTGTATGCTCAGCTTCAAGGCCATGCGACCCTCAGGCCACCCACGGCAGAAGTTTATCATGCCAAGCGGACCTCGTCTGCCACCAACAATTCCTGGCGTAGGATCCAATGTGGAGCTGACGCTACGCTGTGCTCCGTGCGTGGTTCTGTGAAGCATCTCCCAGACCGGATCATGACGCACAAGCAAGGTATGGGAGCAGCGGATTGCTCGATGCAAACAAATGCACCGTGCAATGCACAAAAACAGGAGTGGCGTCGCTACGACACCTGCACCACATTAAAAGCATCCAATGCAAACACCCGGGTACGGTTCAAAAAGTGCTCGGAGCTACTTGTAGCAGCACGGAGTCTTGCGCCCAAGCGGGGTTGTAGACCGGTGCGGAATTCGAAAAAAACGAAATGTATGATCCTAAAAGTTATTACTTCTCTGCGCCCCGGTCCGATGTCTCCTAGGTAAGTAACCAACATCCCGGTGCCCTGGCCCGAAGAATTACGACAAGCGAAACCGTCACGAATCGAGTTAAATTCCAAAGGACACGACGACCGGAGCATATGGTTGGCCACCATGACAGTCGTAGTCGAAGTTGGACCCAATGTCTCTTTTGATGCCGTCGGAAGACTTCACAACCTTTGTGTGCATGTACATGGATGGGCCCTTGGTGGTCAAATGCATGAAAAAGCTTACGTGTCTGAAGTACCCAAATCGAGTGCATGTGAAGACCAAGCAAAGGCCGTATCTTCGAAAATAACTACTCAGCTAATCATCGTATACACCCATTGCTGAGGTGCTGCAGTCACGTGCTTCCTACACGAATATGAGACTCCGGTAAAGCACGAAATTTTCGGGCAAGACACTGAAGGTGAACTAACGAAGCTTCCTTGTCCGCCTTGCTTCCTGGAAATCTTCCACCACCCCCGTCCACCAGGCGCCATGTCCAATGAATTTAAGTATTCGTTCTTCTTCGTTGACTGCTGTCAGGTGAACATCTGCGCAAGTACACGAGCGCTGCGCATGTCAGCAATAATACCATGCCGTGAGTTGTTTGACCATAAGCCAGTTTCATCACCAACGCCCGTACGTTTTCGGCCCCGCTACCCCGTTGGCGATCGCTACACCGTGTTCTGGTGGTCAACTTTAACTTTATCTTTGTCTTATGAGTTGGACGCCGGGCGGGGAAGCTCATGCATCGAAGTTCAGTAGCAGGCGCAGGTGCCTACCTGGTTTAACCCAATGCAACGCCTGCAGCCTGCAATTCGTTGAGCAGAGAGCATCTTGGCCTCCGAGGCTTGTTAGGCTACAGCTTTAGCATTCTTTAGCGACTAGAAAGAACAGCCTACCTTACACACCGCTCAGAGAGGGGCTGGGCGGGCAGCAAAGAAATTATTATCACAAACCGATCTCGAATCGTTTGTCGACTGGAAGCATTCACTCCCTCGCGCTTTTACACGCGCAGATATTCGGATCCTAGTATGCAACGTGGGCAGAAATGGAAGACAAACCGAAATTACATTATGCCGAACACCGAGTACTTTCTTCACCTAGTCTGTTGACTGGTTGAGTCGCTCCCAGCCGATCAGGCCACTCAACAAGACAAACACATGTCTCAAACACGCCCGGAATACCGAGCACTCGTAGATCGGTACCCCCTTGAAGCCGGTATAGATCCATGTGGTGCAGTCTGTTGGGGAAATGGGACGACCAACGAAAACACAGCCGAAAAAAACACAAGAGCGGGATCGTTGTATCACGACGCACGCGAAGTGCCATCACCAGGAGCCACGGTTAACGATGGTCTCAAAATGCGTGACCCGAGGCGTACTTTCTAGTCAGTACTGGGTACAAAGTGTCATTCTAACGCTTGGTCTGGCGAGACCCAAACAATGTAATTGCAAATGTATGGCACCTAGAATTTGTCTAATACATACCAAAAAAGATAATTCGTTCATACAGGACACACACGCGTGTGTTGCAGACCGTCAGAGGCTTCCAACGTACGTTCAACAACAACAAAAATTGACTGCATATTTACGTAGATCAAACCGCTGCTTCAAGAGAGGATGGCCTCCAGCACGGTATGGGTACAGAATTCCCATAAGACGGACTACATGTAGCGCTGAACAACAATAGCGGGCCATGTACGTAACCACAAACGATCTGTCTACAATTCAAACACAGGCAAGCAGCAAACATGTCAAGTATGCACGCAAATTGCAGCGGCCTGCAAACCCTTGATAGGAAGCCAGCGAGCGACACTTACGTGAGATCTTCATCTGCAACCTCATAGGTGTTGTCCAAGAGGTACGACGGTGAAGTCACCGCTAGGCCAGGATCCCCGACTCTTGCTCGAACAAACCCCCTTGCGAAGCACGTCTTGCCCGTTCCCAAGTCTCTGTACGCGGGACGCACGTGACCGAAAAGTGAATATAATTATATGAAAAGAACTCCTACATGTCATATAAGCTTCTACGAGACATCAACAGACACAAGAATGCAGCTATGCTGTGCACAGGCACGTGACCTCGGTGTACCTTACCCCCACAAGAGAACCACGTCTCCACCACTGGCGTCCGCGCCGAAGAAAGCGCCTGTTTCTTCCATTTCTTCCGGTGATGCCACAGAAACCTCCAAAGTCGCTGTGCAAGCAACCCCCCCATCCACCTTCGGCATTGCTGTCATGCCACGAGTGTGACCTCCTCGTCCATCTTGAATAGAGGCCATGTGCTTGTCCCGTTGGGCGGTCGTTTTAAACAAAGATATGTCTCCTCTCCTGGGCGGTTTGAGTAGACATGACGGAATCCCGAGAAGTCGACTATATCTAGCAGCCCATACGGCTGTGGTGTGAAACGCTGAGACTGGAGGCATTCGCATTGAGCAATGTACCACGAGGTTCAGGTATGCGGTGTAAGAGCGAAGGTTCATGGCGGAAGGGAGGGACGGTGGCGCGAGACACAACAGTGTATATGCATATATGCATACATTACATGAGAACTTCATGCTGTCATCCTTGGCCAACAGAATAGCTTTGCAAACCGCGTCGCCCCCAAGGCCTCGTCTAGCACGCAGCACGCACCCTGCTCCACCCATCCGTCTTCGCCATATCTTCTCTTTTCCCTGCTGGCAGGAGGACACGCGTGAGAGTTGACCGCAAGACCAAAGTAATCCTTACGCACTAGAACACCATGCCGCAGCATGAGTACATGGAAGCGCACAAGAAGCGCCATGGCGAGCGAATGGACCGAGCAGAGAAGAGGTGAGGGCGCCACGCCACGCTACAATATGCTTCTGAAACAGGTTCTCGCCCTATGCACGTGTACTATCGCATGCCAGCGTCGCTCATTGAGCCGCTGCGAGTGATACACTTCCCAACGTTGTAGTGAAGGAACAGCCGCCGCCGAACACTCCACCCTACCACAAAAAGATTTGTTCGACTGTGGTTATACCTCCCACGGTCGGTTGTAATTTCCTACTAATATTATTGTTACACCATGAGTCATCCTTCTGAACCGCTGTGTACAAGCCTACCACACAGGTTAGCGGAGCGTGAGATTCGCTGCGATGATGCCCGGAGACAGAGCAGGATCTCGTTCCGGATGTCTTCTCACCACGCCCCCATTCTCGATCACGCAGACGAAAAAAGGATGCGAGGGAGGTGCATAAGCGATCAGAGTTTGCCCAGAAGGTCCACGGCATCCGCGCGAAGCTTTACCAGCGAAAGCGTTTCAAGGAGAAGGCGACAATGCGGAAAACGTAAGTGTCTCCGTCCACCACGGATGAGGTTGCTTATTAATAAGGTCGAATTTGTCAGCTCCGGCTTTGTTCTGTTGTATGCATGCTTTACTCAAGTGTTGCGTCTGTATAGACGAATAGCCCTCTCTGGAAGTACGCAATTTTTTTACGTTCCTCCCCTCAAGTCTCACATGCAACATGTATTCACGAACAAGCGCTACTCATAAAGTCATTCGCCGTCATCGATCCCGACCTAACGGTCTGCAAGGTTCCCAACAAGATAGACCACGCGGGCGACCGGCCTCATTACGACAACGTACTCGAGATAGTGGTGTGTACAGGTATTGCAGCGGGGCCGGTAATTGTACATCGGCTCTTTGTATGTACATATTCAAGTACAAGATTTGGTCATTTTTTGTGCTCCGGCATTTCTTTCTCTCGCGGCAGTAAATATTTTCTCGCGCTTCCTTCTAAGCGGCACGCCGGAGGCTCGTCGGCACATTAACGCTTATGCGCAGAGCTTGGCAAGCCTCCGTGGGGCGTGTGGTTGACGGTCAAAGTCGCAAAAACTGGCTCTATACCCCGGAGACGCGTTCCGCGCCGACAAAAGCCTGGCGAACCAATTGTGAAACCCATCAAAAACGACAGAAAGGAAAATGGCCCGCAAGCACTTTTCGAACAGGTTTCTCGCTACCAACGACAACTAGCCGGCTAACCTGATCGTTTGCCCCACGATGAATCCCTACTTTATGTTGCTTCTTTAAAGCTGGCGCCATCACCTCGGTTTGTGGTGTTTCGGGCTGAAAATTAGTTGTCCTGTTCGCAGCCTTCTGTATGCAGCGAGCAAAAACGAAAAATTGCCTCTTGCGTGATATTCATCTCCACCGTTCATCACTCGCTGTGACTCTTCGTGCCGTCGCACGCAGCGGGTCCAGCGTAATGCCGCTCGCTGATGTAGACAAGTCTGAGCGCATGCACCCACAGTGTTGATCAGTTTGTGTGTATTCGTAGTGTTGCTTCGGATTAAAATTATGTTCTCATTGGAATCTGCCACAATAAAAATCATTTGTAAAAGTTTGATTTCTCCCTGGCAAGTTGTTGTCCACTCGAGCTGGCTCCAATGTAGAATACATGCCGGCATGCGAGCGTTATGTATCTGCCCATCCAGAATGAGACAGCCTGTTTCAGGCAATGCGCATGTGGTCTGGCGTCGCCCGCGGGAGGCTTGACACTGACGTCCCGAAGGGAGACCTTTTATCCGTTTATCAAATTCACCGTGATGAGTGAAACCGATGGAACCGGTCTGTAGACGCTTCTCGTTCGGTAATTCAGACGATCTTCTTGTTTACTGATGTTCACCGCCAAGACTTCGTTCATCAACGCAACACCCTTGTACTTGTTTGTGCGTTACCACGTTCCATGCTGGACCAGAATCGCAATGCACCAGGAACGCACGAACAAGCACGCCAACGATGACGCAGTACCAGACGGTGCCGTTCCTGCTTACTTGCTCGATCGCGAGGGTGTTAGTCGGGCCAAGGTTTTGAGCAATACGGTAAAGCAAAAGCGCAAGGAAAAAGCGGGCAAATGGGACGTGCCAATACCCAAGGTATGTGGTCGGAGTCATGGTCGTTTTAGCGCGTTGTGACTCGTTTCACGGCAATGAAGCATTTGGAGACCCCCTTGAGTTTTTTCCGTTTACTGCACAGCAGCAGTCAGAGTCAAAGTGTCTCTCTACGTCACTGACAGACTTGGGTTTTTTTCTCCCGTTTCAACCCCAACGCAGTTACTGCTGTTTCGAACTCAGTGTAAGCAAATCGCTGCTGTGGCTCACACGTGTTCGATCGGCTCCTTGCGCTCCATTTCGGTTAGAACCGACTTGCTATTTTGCGATGCATTCTTCGTTTTACCCGTGTACAAGGTACTCCGATTCAGGAGCAACCCCCTTTGTATTCCTCGTGTAATTCGTTTATCCTTTCTACTTGTGGCCACCTCATACCCAGGTGAAGCCAGTGGCCGACGATGAGATGTTCAAGGTTTTGCGAAGTGGAAAGCGCAAGAACAAGGCATGGAAACGCATGGTGACGAAGGTACGACGAATCTTCGTCTTTGGAACAGCATTTACTCCTCATGAGCGGGGGTTTATTAGACTTATTCTGGTTGGGATCCACTCAGTTTTCATCGTGTTTTTGGTGATAAACTTGTGCGGAACCCCAGATACACGCCGCTCTCGGATCGGTTATTGCGTTTGAAGTTGTTAGATGTTGTGACGAAACCATAGTCCATGGCCAGCGCACGGCTAAAAGATGGGAAACTCCACTCTCAACATAACACAAGCGAAACAGACAGGAACGTTCCACTGTTCGGTCGGTCGCAAAAGTTGTAGATGTATGTACATGCGTGTTTCATCATCCCGCTTGCTACGGTTGCTCCCAGAAAGGGCGTATCTCGTATCTATCTCAACTGAAGTCTCCGATCTAGTGCAACACAGAAGACGTCCTAGGCGGCACATGCAGTATAGTCCCCTAATTAGTGGCATATTTTATTCTTCTAGAAGGAAACATGAAACCCAACCCAACCGAGCACGGTTGGAGTCAACTCTCGGCACCCTCCGTTGTGCGCGGTAAGAGCATGTTGCTATTTTCTACGGTAACAATGTGTGCGTGTGTATTTTTTTATTAGCATCGACCGCGCTAACCGGCTGACCAATGAAAAGACGTCAGTCTTAGAGCGGTTGAGATCACGAAACACTTCTATCTGCCATGAACTGGGACCCCGTGAGGGGGCAGCATGAGGGAGGCTAAACTATCCTTCGGATCAAAGACAGAAACAGCAGCAACAGAAGAAAACTGGACGCGTCTACCAAGGCACCTTGTACTCTAGTTTGTTTAGGAGTACTTTTACCATTTTCCTCCTTGTTTTCGCTACCATCATTCTGATCCTTATTTTGACAAGAATCTCTGGGCAGTTCTTCCCTAGCCCTACGTTTTTTGTTTTGGGGGAAGGTCATGTGGCTCAAACCCTTTGCTCTCTGTGTGTTCGCACTGGAATTCCGTGTCGCAGGTCACTTTCGTCGGCGAGGGCTTCACACGGAAAGCACCCAAGTACGAACGGTTTATCCGACCAACAGGTCTCCGATTTAAGAAGGCCCACGTAACACACCCCGAGCTGAAGGCAACCTTTCACCTCGACATCCTTGGGGTTAAAAAGAACCCGAGCTCACCTCTCTACACTCAGGTATGCATATAATGTGACAACTTGCGGGAATTTGCCGCGCCGTACATGTATGATGCTTGAGTCCATCGTGGAGAACAGGACAGCATTGGCGTTGGCCGTGATGGGTTGTAGTCCGAGTTGCGGCACATCACCAGTGCATGCCTCTGCCAAGTGCACAGGAGCTAAGGGCAATTTGGCCGTCAAGTATTCTGTTCAGTCGGTTTCCGAAGTTCATCGCTGAGACAGATCCCCGAAGAACGATCGTGCAGGGTTCTATTGGCCGGATCTGGAAACGGGCACACTGACGTAGCGTCTTAGAGACCATACACTCGAACTGTGAAGTCTTTCCTCGACTGAAAAATCTCGCTGGTTTTAACACCGTTACGTTTGATTTTGGTTCCTTTTCGACAGCTTGGAGTCATGACCAAGGGCACCGTCATCGAGGTCAACGTAAGCGACCTTGGCCTGGTGACCCAAAGTGGCAAGGTTGTCTGGGGAAAGTATGCGCAAGTAACAAATTCACCGGAGCTGGACGGGTGTATCAATGCCGTGCTGCTTGTATAGAGCTAGCTATGTTTCGCGTGTTTTTTTTTGGAGTGTAAGCTAGCTCACGTCACCTCACCTTTGGGATTCGTTCCCCTGCCAGACATCAAAGTGGTGCTGGCGTTGGTGGAATTTGACTGAAGAGTAGCTTCCTGTAATCATGCCGTTGCTTTCGTGGGGAAACGCTTACACCCTTTGCGTTTCCACGCGATACAGCAGGAGACATCGCATGTACTCCCCCTTTTCATTGTGGACGTCCTTTGTTTCCGCTCGAAATGTCGAGAAGCCCATCTTGGAACGAATGCCGTGCAGAGAGGCAATCTTGCCACCTCGGTAGCACCGCTTGTTTTTTTCGAGTATCACAGCTTATTTCCTTGGTACAGCAATCATTGGTTGGTTTACATATCGGATGGGATGGTTGACCGTAAAGAAGATGGTGCGCAAATGCGTCGAAGCTTGTAAAGTCAATACTTGGGCTCTTCATCGAATTTCGATGTTGGTGGGGCTTGTTGGCAGCGTTCTATGCGGAGAAATCACTTGTGTTGCAGTTGCATGTGTGAGTTGCACATTTCCATACTCCCCAGATTCTCCCTTGCAACGGCAGGCGCCAGTCACTGCTATGTGCCCGTTATACGTGTAGGTTAGCGAGTGCACCGGTCGCATGCATGCCCCTGAGAAGTTGAGCTCTCTGACTTGTGTGTGAGCCGGACAAGGTATCATCTCTGGTTTGATGCGCGCCGATACATTTTTCGCGAACTGACGTACGGGCTTTGACATTGCGTAAGTTCCCGGGCGCTGCGTGCACCATGGACGTATTTTTCGTGGGTTGTTTGTGCTCTTGATTCGTATTGGAGTGCACAGCACACACCATAGCCTCCCTTCCCCCCCACCAGGTGTAGTGGTGGTGGGGGTGAGAAAGAAATGTGAAAATGGCACGTTGTTGGTATCTTGCTGACTGGCTGTTTGGCGCATTGTCGATTCAGGAACGTGGCATAGAGAAGCTGCTTGCATTTATGGGACACCGGGCGTTGGGAAAACCATTTTGAAGGAAAAGTAGATTGCCCCCCGGTCACCTCTTCATTTTGGGGGTGGTTAGCATCCATTTTGAATGGGATCAGTGTTTCGTTGCCTTTGTTCTCCTTGAGAACCGTTGCCTCTTTTCAGTACCTCAGTAGCTTCGTTTAGTTACGAGGCGGAATGCGTCTATTGAAGTATATCAAGCCGGGATTTTCCTTGGTTGCAAGCCTTTCAGACGATAAATAAGGTACAGATGAAAGTACGGACATTAGAAGGTACTTCGAAGACCGGAACGATTTTTTAATGTGAAGACAACAACACATGAAAATGAAAGGACACGGACCGCGAGAATTCCCAGCAGCACTGCGTACACTCTTATTGTACAATTAGTTGAACGCATGTAACGTGTAAACTCTTTTTCTACTAGCTGCTGGTGGAACGGGCATGCTCGCCGGCCACGCCAGGCGGCAAGTTGATGTTGGATCGGGTTCCGGTTACCGCTAGCCTTCTTGCCTATCAACCAAGAAGACTTAAAGATGGGGGATAAGGGGATGCATACACACAATCTCCCGACGTCTGTGGAGGACGATTCCCCCTCTTCATTTTCACATAATATCTGCTGTTCGTTAGGTTGGTACCCCTGTGGTTTTGGACGTCAATCGTTGCACCTTGTGGTATGTTTGTTTTGACGTAGTGACGTAGCAGGGCGGCCACCACGCAGCAAGGGAAAAGGGTTACAACAGTAGTATATCCATGTGCTTTCGCAGCAGTCTGGGTCCTGGCCAGGTTGCCAAGGCGAAGTATTCCCGAGAAGTATTTACCAAGATTCACTCCCACAGGCTACATTGTATCACAGGACGGGAGCAGGATGTAACATCTTACGGTTTCAAACCCCTCCCCCCCACCACGCACACCTCGCCCCGTTTGCATGCTGCACATGTTGTTGCACATATATATCCATGATCTACATATACATGCATATGTGCATGTATCCCATCTAAAGATATACCGTAAGGTTGCGAGTCCGCGCACAGGGGTGCGATCGATTTTCAAAGCGTAATTTCTCCACAACCAGGAGGGTGCGAGAGCCAACTGATACTTCTCAGGAAAGCTCTCGATGAGATATTTACTAAACCACCCTATTCGACAGTGGTAACCTCCTGGTTGTGGAAAAATTACGCTTTGAACATCGCTTGCACCCCTGTGTGCTAACTCGCAAAACCTTACTTACGGTAACACTAATATAATTAAAAAAATTTAGACAAAAAGATTTTAATCTGCGTAACCACCGCGGGACTGTCACACTTTCACAATCCTCCCCAAAACCCGCAACATAGATCGGATGATAGGACCTACAGAGTAGACGATCAAGAGATCGTTTGTTCAGCTCGCCTACCATTCGTTGCTTGTTCTCACGGCGTGTGTACACCATCTGGTCGAAGAGCTTCCCATCCACTGCGCACCATGGTCCGGGAAATCGTCAGCATCCATGTCGGCCAGTGTGGGAATCAAATCGGGCGTGCTTTTTGGAAGGAAGCCCTCGCGGAGCATGCGAGCGCCAATGTTGACGGCGTGTTCGATGACTGCATGAGCACATTCTTCCGCAATGTTGACAACCGCACTAATCGTAATGTCGCGATCGGTGATGGCAGACAACCGATTTATGATCTGAAGGCCCGAGCTATCCTCATTGACATGGAGACCGGCCCAGTGTCTGAGACGAACAGGGGCGAGTTGGGAGAGTTGTTCGACGAGCGACAGTTTGTGACGGGTGTGTCTGGAGCTGGGAACAACTGGGCCCATGGAAACGTAATATATGGCCCTGAGTACAACGATGAGCTGCTGGAGGTTCGTGCAAGCCTCGTGTTGCTACTACTGTATATGCACAACGTCCGTAAATTTTCTCCTCCAGGCCAGGGCGTTTGTACCGATTTACCGGCCCGCATTGAATGAATGCGGAGCACGCTGGTTGGTGCGCGCGTTTTTTTATGCGATCACAACATGTAGGAGACTCGTACTGTTCAACATCAACTTCGTTGATTCGCGCACTACAGCAGTAGTCGATACTACGTACGACCCGCAGTTTCTCTGTACGGGCATTATATTCTACATACGTGTGGCCAGATCATTGACCACCAGGACCCATGCGCCAGTCGTTATTGTCTGTTACTTGTCCCTCTTCAGGCTGTGCGACGAGCAGCGGAGACGTGTGATTCACTGCAGTCCTTCTTCCTGATGCATTCCTTGGGAGGCGGAACCGGATCAGGGCTAGGGACGTATTTACTCACTTTGTTGGAAGACCACTTCCCGGACGTGTATCGTTTTTCGACTGTGGTGTTCCCGTCAGAGGACGATGATGTCATCACCAGCCCATACAATTCAGTTCTCGCGCTCAGTGAGCTTACGGAGCACGCTCACTGTGTGCTGCCGGTGGACAACGCTTCTTTGGCGAACATCGTGGCATCGTGAGTGCTGGATGTGTCATCTGCTATCAGCGAGGGTAGATTGAATCCACTTTCGTAGCGTAACACTATTATTGCAATCTTTCTGATGAAGAAACTTTTAAAAAAGAAACACTCGAACATAAACCGCGAGAAGCTCGCAGTGCCGATGAGGTAGGTGCCAATGAATAACGGCGTGCGTTGGCGAAGAAATACCTGGTGTTGTCGCCATGTTCAAAACTCCCGCTGTAGGGAGGCGGGTTGCGGGTCTATGTAGTCTATTGTGCTAGGCTTGGCAGCCCGACTACTGCCGTTGTTTCAAGAGGTCTTGAGGCTTGACTGCATTGTTCGTCTGTAACAGAGGTCGGCAGGATTGCGATCAAGCTCGATGACTCGACGCTACCACTGCGCACGTCTCATCCTTCAGGTGGGACTCCGGCCCTGATCTGCGACCCGTCGGAACGGGCACCTCCTCGGGGTTCGACAGTATGAATAGCTTGGTGGCGAGACTACTGACTGACCTGACCGCTTCGATGCGGTTCGCCGGCGATCTCAATGTCGACTTAAACGAGATTACCACAAACTTGGTACCGTTCCCGCGATTACATTATTTGCTGTCGAGTGTCAGCCCCTTGCCAACTCGAAGCTCAGCAGAGGTATTCGATGGACGCACAATCCCTCCTGCGGCTGCTGGCTTTGATGGAAGGCCGCGGCGCATGGCGCAAATGTTTTCTGGGGCTTTTTCGGCCTCAAACATGCTCATGCGGGCAGACCCCAGGTTCGTGGCAGTTGTGACCAGCTGTGATTGCAACGGCACCGGGCACCGGCTCGGGTGGATACGAACCTTCGTCGGCGCGTACCTGATGGCGTCCCACGTGTGCTTGCCGCGTGAATTGTGCAGGAGGTCCAAGTTTTTGGCTTGCGGGTTGCTGGTCAGAGGCGAGGTGGTTGTCTCCGATGTTAACGCTAACATTGAGCGCCTTGCTGCTGAGCTCGATATGGTACATTGGAACCCGGAAGGATACAAGATTGGGTTATGTTCGGTGCCACCCGTTGGAACAACGCAATCGCTCCTGTGTCTTTCCAACAACTGCTGTATTATGTGAGGAGGGAGTTTGTGTTGCACCAAAATTGCATGTACTATGTATGCTAGTATATTTAGCATTTTGGTACGACGTAAGCGTTGCTCGATCAGGACACTCCTCTGCTTTGCGTGCAGCATTCCGAAAAGATAGACCGGAGGAGGTGGTGTTGGATGTGTCAGGATTCTCGGACACTTCCCTATGCAGTAAACTATAGGAAAACCGAAAGCGCACTACAAGTTATGCTCTCGTTTTTTCAGGGATACCTTCGCTGACCTGAGACGCCGCTTCATCCAGCTTTATCACAGAGAAGCAATGCTTCATCACTACACAGAGGTGAGCGTATCTCCATAGTGCTATTTCTGCAATTGACGAGATAATCGTCTGGAAATCCGCTAATATCCTATTGCTCAGACTTAATGTTTTTCCTCGTTCTGAACAGAAACAAGATACAAACGCGATTATGTTCTCCAACCCGAGAATACTTCGCCAACAACGGCATCTATCTGTAGTTAGGGCAGCATGCTTCCATCTGATGTGTTTTGCGAGTTTACATCTTGGTGGCTACGCTGTCGGTGCAACCATGGAGATTTTCTTGGAGACGGGAAGAAATGAACGATCACCCCCCGTGGCAAATATGTGTGCTTGCGTCCTCCTGCAGTTTATGGAGCGCGGAGGCTTCGACGAAGCATTGGAGAGTCTGGACAGTCTCATCGCAGACTACGCTGAGCTAGACAAGGCTAGCGAGCCCAATGATTCATGTCCCCGCGACACAACAGTAGCCTTTTAGATTTGGTGTGCCAGACAACAACGCAGAGAATTAGTTCATAGTGCTGGACACCAAAGCAGCTGTCGGCTACCATCTAAACGAGCTTGACGCCCTCCAAGCAACCTCGCCACCCTCCTCGCGATATTAGCATTTGAACGTCGGCATGCGTTAAGATTCGGCGATGAGGAAAACCGACTAGGCGGTGTTGTGTCAGTATAGAATTTATTCCGATTGACTTGATTCCCTATGCGCTGAGTCTCTTTGCCTCGGCCCTTGCTCTTCTTGCTCCGATGCTTGCAATTTCCACCTGACGACGAGAACGGGAGAAGCGTTGCTTGAAAGAGATAAGATAGCTGGCAATCCCGTTGCCGCAAAGGCCCGCGTACTCTTGTATGCATAGGAATTCAACAACAACGTGTATGCATACGCTTTAGGCAGTGTTCGTGCCAGGACGAGAGTCGGTATATCATGTAGAAAGGCCAAGCACTTTGAGAATCCGTGGGTACCACACGTTTTGGGAATGGTGGTGATGACCTCAGGACTGCATCGATATTCCGCACCTTCCGCTCCCAGTTGGCCAAGTACGATTGCAACTGATACACGGTCGCCTTTTGCGCAATGTAGTCGTCCACGTTTGGCATTTCCTGGGTATCCGCCTGAGTAGCATATCAGGAACCACAAATGAAGATTGGAGTCATGCAACGGTAGGGATAGCACATTATGGCCCAGAACCTTCGGTTATTCAGATGAATAACCAACCAATAATCTTCGAATATCAACTCCGATTTCAAATTTCAATCGTGTTTCATCTAGCCCATCGGATTACCTGTCACGTCATATTTTCATGTTGTGTCAATGTCCATTTCAGGCTGAGATATAGAGTTTCTCACGTTTGAGACTCAGAAGGGATTCGTGCACCCCTACCGTTGCATGAGTCATTGGTTCACTGGTATGTAAAAGTGACGGAATGAAATGCGACAATTACTGTGCAAAGTAGCTTGTTGAGGCATGGGGGTGGATGTAAGGACACCCGGTGTTGTACTTTATTTCGACCTTCCACCTTAGGAAAGCATGCCGTTCAATCTTATCCCCGGCTGTTTCGCTCTGGCCACGACACTTCATTCCGTTGGAGAAATTTCCGCGACGTATGGTTTGCGCTCCCTCCTGTCCCAGGACGCGGCGGTACCTTGAAGACTTCCACGGAAACAAAGAGAATCAAACGCCTTATAGCACGATACCACCACACCGCCGGTTGCGTGCGGCGGCATTTCATCAACAAGATCAATATGAATTCTGATTTATTCCGGCTCACCTTATGCTGGCCTAGTTTCTTCTTTGCCCGTCGTTCGGCAGTAATCTCCGTGGCAACCGCCCCGTTCTCTTCCTTGATCTTGCTTAGTGTCTCTGTTCTCAGTCGTATCTGGAAGATTGGGAAAATTGTGCAAAACTAATGTGACACATTGGACGATATTTTCTAACAAGTCATTGTCGAAATCGCCCATTGTTTCGAAATTAACGTACAGAAACCAGCCCTGACTACAATGCCACTAAATGTAGTTGAAGGACTGTCAGAGCGAGAACTTCAGAGCCAGATAGAGGAAAGTATATCTGGTAGCATGCCTTCGCTGAGACACCAAATGTTGGCGCTCAACGCAACCCACCGGCCCATCACCTCTTTGGACAGCCACTCGCTTTCGGCCAGGCGCTGGTGAAGCAAGTTCTTCAGAGTGTTGAGAGCTTGGACGGTTTTTCCAGTGGTCATCTTGAGCTGGAAAATCCACAGAGCCGATCACGAAGACAAGGATGATCAAGACTAAAACATCAATAGTAGAGTGATGGCGAAGGACTTGTACAGCGTGAGTCGCCTGCCGTGCTAACTGGCACTCGTTTCAACAGAAACTGCCGACTAGATGTAGCCTACTTACAGAATTGCCCGCTGGCAACACTGAACAAATATTCACACCTTGAGTAGCTCGTCGTTGCGCTCCTCGATGCGGCTGACGTATTGTTTGTTTTCGATTTGAAGTTGGTGGAAATCGATGTAGTGTAGAGCATCGCCCATGTCATCTTTCTGTCGGAGCTGGCCTTCCACCTGTGAAGCCGACCAGCTTTCATATCACACATATTTATGCAGCAACATACAAGAGTGGGAGCACGTGCGTGCGCTCGATCGGCACAACCAAACGCGAGCAAAAGTACGAAAGCTATTAAAGTTGGCGCTACAATAATAGCTGCCCTCGTCGTTTTACGTCGCTGCAAATATAGCTGCCGCTGTAGTTTAGCTGCGTCCGAATGAAACATATTAAATTTCGCCATCTGATTGCCTCACCTTTTGCAGTTGGCCTTTGAGGGTGGTGTTTTTGAGTCGGAGCTTTTCGGTCATTGCATCACGTTGTCGGAGCTTGTCCTCCATGTATCTTATAACCTGAGTGTTAGGCAAGCAGAGTCGGCATGAAGTTGCGCAGGCAAGGGACAATGGTTTCTGTCTGATGGCCCTACCTTATGCCTCTGCCAGCCCTGGGCATTCAAAAAAGTGTATGTCTATCCCACATCATCCGAACTGTCTGGCGTTTGTCTCTTCCTCCAGTATGGCCCTTGAGAGCGTTCGGACCAGGTTTCACAAACAATCGCAAGCGCTGACAATTCGAGCGGCAACCCTGCTTGTGTATCCGGAGCCAACGAGCCTGTTGTTGACATCCTGGCATATTGGAGGTGGTGGCGCTGTTGCTATTATTGCCTTTTGGAAAATTAAAATCGCTTTGTCCCCTATTCAGCCCTTCCCCTCTTCCCTGGTCTACTCTTCCAGTCAAACAATTCAGTTGCGGCGGTCATAAGCTACAGTTACGAAAACGACGGAAGACATGTAGACTATTGCATGCCTGGTACACCGAAGCAGCAGACTACATACAGACAGCACATTGTCTACTGTAGACAAAACACAAAAAAATTAAAATAAGGTGGAAGACTCAACGACCTGGGTACGTCGTAGCACATATTCTTGTATTGTTAGTGGGGCTTTCTCTCCCCACCTTTTCTGCCATGGTATTCCCTGTTCTCATGTTTTCGGCGCCCACAACGATGTCCCTCTTAAACTCGTAGGCCTCTTTCTTGAGATCGGCAATGCGGATGTCGGTCTCCTCCAAGACCGCCTTTAGGGTGTCAATCAGCTTCTCAGAGTTTCGTTTCGTGTCTTCCAGCTTGAGGTTGAGAATCATTGGGGACAGCAGGAAACAAAGATGTCAGGGATGGCGTGGTGTAGCTATGCATATTAGATGCATATCACCGCTGAATGTCATGCTACATGTAGTACTTCAGAAGAGTTCGCTCCCAGCCTACAGACCCTCCTCACATCTTTGTGCGCCACCTCCTGCTCGTGCACGCCGATTTCGACCTTCTGCTCAATGGTCAATACCGTCGGGAGCTGTCTGCGACGCTGTCGATTGGTCGTCTTCCGCTTTTCTTCGTCGACCTCTGCAACCTCGGAGGCGTGTCGCTCGTAGTACGACTTGAATATGCGGTTCTCGAGCCGTAAATCTTCCAACTCTCGCTGCACATCATCCAGCTGCCGCGTCGTTGTTGGTACATTACACGCAGCACGATCAGGTGCAATATAAGCGAGATTACTTCATACGGACGTGGAAGACTATGTAATGCGAACTGCTTGGCTCAGAAAGTCCTGCTCATAGGATGGATGCGGGTCGAGCTACTGGTCCGACGAAGTACGGCTGTACGAAGCACACTACAGCAGTGTTGCTGTACATGTCTACTGCCGTGTACAAATCAGCAGCATGATCTAACCCAGAGAGCCTTGGTTCCTGTACTACCTGGTCTAGATCGTCAGCGTCGCCGTCCATGGCGGTTCTTCAAGTCTATCCCCGCTTTCTTAGTCTTCAAGTAGAGAGGTCATTCAGATCCAAGCCCATTCGTGCTGTGGGAGACAAAGATGCTGGGTTTTAGCTGCAAATCTCTTGAAGGATTTGCTGTTTTTGGCACAGGGTGGCAGTTACACGGAGGTTTTCATAAATGTGCGGATCCACCCGGCATGTAGACTACAGCAGACACGGTGCCCCTACACCTCACCTCTGGTGGTGGTTGTGGAGACAGACCGAGCGCAGATGGAAGTGTTGTATATCTGCTGCCCTATCCGCCTTTTCCATCCCCCCTGTCTCTCGTTCGGGTACCAGTTCGACGCTGAAGGTAGAACCACAAGTGATGATGGATGGCCAAGAGCAGCTTCGTTCGGCGACACTTCCTTCGCCCCGTAACCCCCCGGAAAAACGCATGTCTCGGTCAGCTTCCCAGGTGGATCAGAGCTAGCGAGTAGGACCCCTCTCATCCATGAACTAAGAACGCTCAGCCAAATATTGACAATTAGTGCAGGTTTCAAGCAGTGATCGCTCGTTCCCGCCACTTACCCATTTATGATAACAAAACAGCAAGAAGCAGAAGCATGAGCAGGTGTGGTGTGTAGATTGTTCCAGTAAAAATGTGTACGTTCAAGGATTTTGGTTGGTTCTTCAACTGCTCGTCTCTTCGCTGGTCTTCCTTTGCTCCGCGCTTCTCTGTTCTAGTGTTGTCATGCCCAAAGTGTAAGTTGTAGAGCTAGCTCCACCCGCCGCCCGTCGTATGTCGGTTTCGATCTTCGGTCGACCGTTGGCTGCTCTTTCACACGTTGTTGACAACACCCGACCGTAACCGGCGTTGTGTCGTGACCCCCCCCTGCTGTCGGACTGTCTGTCTTGTGTGTTGTGCGTGCCACGGTCGTATTTTTAAAAGGCGGTTAAACGCCTCGATGCTAGAATGTCACCGCACGCTGCGAAAGCGCGAGGTATCTTCGACAGAGGCGCTTCCGCAGCACCCATCGGTGGTGGAAACGAAATGGGAGGAGCCCAGCCTACCGATGAAAACGATGACGGACTTATAGCGGAGGCGAATCTCTTTGACGCTGCTGGCGGAGGAAGCGAGGGGGATTTGGTTGGCGTGGCACCGGCAGATGAAGACTTGGCGATGGCATGGTCTGGCTCTCGGCTAGTGCGGTCAACCTCCATGTCTTCTACAGGATCTGCGGATGCTGAGGAGTCCGAGGTGAGACCGGGGTGTTCGTACACGACTAATTTATACGACACACGACCCATGTTGGTTTACTCGTCTGTTAATGTGGAAGACAGCCGTCAGAGGTACGGAGTCTCCTCTCTCCACAAAAATTTCGGAATTTTTATTTACAGCACGAAGAGACATTCACAGCAAGCGTATCTACTCGAAGGTGTGCCTGTGGCCTTGTGCAGACTATTGTTTAACGATCGCTTTCGGGATACCATGTATTACCGACGCATCCAGTTTGCTTTTTCAATGCAAAGTTGTCCAAATACATTTGGCTGATATCGGCGCACATTTGACACAGCTGGTTGTTCCATTCTAGCGCAACAACCTCCGTCATGTGGTTGGCCAAGATTTCGCTTTTTCAGTTCGTTGTTGGGTCGTGGTTGCCTAAAAGATACCCCGGCGGGAAAGCCTCACCGCCATAAAGGGACGCGCCTCACATATGTGCCTACATATAATGTGTTTATGGGGCACAGGCAGCATGTCGTATACGCCGAATGATTTTTCTCCGATACCCTTTTATTTCCGTGACATTCTCTACGCAAAACCACCTCAGGGACTGAGGCAGGCCCCTATAATACTATGTCGGGCTTGACCCTGTCGGGCCCGCTGTTCTATTATACCCCCATCCCTTCGTCGTCTTTGTACATCGTCCATTCCCTCTACCGCTCGTTATTGGCTGAGAACATGTTTTGTTTGTCGTTGTTGTCTTGACATTAAAAATAGTTCCGGTCTCCGCTCAGTACCTTCCTATATCCGTTCTGTCCTTGGTCACAAGCTAACTATCCAAAGACGCATTTCTAGATGTCTCTCTCCCTCTTCGAGTTGTAGGCATAGAAGTAAGTCCTCGTGTGTGAAAGGAGGCAGGGGTCGAGGAGGGTGCGCTTTTGCTGGTGACCCTATCTTCTCTGATACTCCTGTGTACCATGCAGCAACTTGGTGCTCGTCTTACTGCGGGCTGAGCTCCCCCCATAGTTCCTATTTCGGTCTCTTCTTGTTCATTTAACATCGGTAGCGTTTACCAATCGGGCTGATAAAATTTGTTCGTAATTTGTTTTGTCGCAGGGCGGGATAACTTCATTTTTCTGTCCTGCGAAACCGACGGAAATTTGCTGTCTCGCAAACAGGTTGCGTTACGTTCAAGGAACACCATTTTGCTTGCTAACGTACATCACACACAGTATCATCAAATTTCGACCCTCGAACATAATCAGGGAGGCTTCTCAGAGAGACAAAGCGTTCTGTGTGACGGGGTCTATAGATAAGATTGTCGTGGAGTACAGATGGGATGAGGTAGAAAAATCAAGTACATATGAATTTTTCCATGTGCCACATCTGCCACGCAGTGTACCTGGATATTTGCCTTCATATTTTTTTTGTTTGGGTCGTCTTTAATTTATTTTCTCGCCAAATGTCGACGTCCAGGTCCACGCGGCTTGCAAATCCTTACAAAAAGCGTTTTCTTTTTAGTTACAGGACATCGATCAGGCGGAGCCCCCACAGCGGCCGATTTCCCATGGAACAGGCCGTTATTCGTCAACAACTCCGGCCGTAGTGGCGATTCAAGACGTTGCCAACCCTCTAAAGCAACCTTACTGTAGGCGAAGTCTCGACGTAAACTCCTTCGCAGGAGTATAGCAGCGTGAAGTTTGGTGCTGAAAGCTGCGAAACGGTCTTGAAGCAGCTGCTCTTCATTTTGGATCTCACGGTATTTACCAGGTTAAGAGCGAAATCAGGGCAAACCAAATTTCTACGCGTGTAGAACATGACATACGTAAGGTATCCCGCTGATTTCATAGGCCGCAACAATCTGTGTGGGGAGTACCAGCGGTGACAAAGGTGTGCACCAGATGGTGTCACAGGGCAACACATCATGGGGGCTCAAGCGGGGTACTATCGATTTTCGCGGAGCCCCTTTGTCATGTTTTTTTGCTTTTTGTGTGACTTGCAACCCGGGGTTCAGGCTAATACGAATCTTTTTCTGAACCCGCACCCCCCACTTGAAAACTGCACCTCCCCCTCCCTTTATCCCGTACTCTTCGGTGGATAGAGATTGATTCTTTGTGTTTTTGTACAAAAAAAGAGAGCGCTGCACAAACGCGATATATTTAGCGGTGAATATCGTCACCCCCCGGGGCGAACGCAAGGACAAAGCACAGAAGCTACGATATTGCTTTCCGGTAGTTGAGAAGTTATTGTTGTTGTTCTTTGTTTCACAGCAGTAGAAAAGCAAAAACCATCGAGGTTTATGGGCGACAAGGAAACGAGGGGGATGCCCTCGTCACTAGCACATTTGGCTGCGTGTGTTTGCTGGCGTCGGACAAAGCCATACAGTGGAGGAATCGTATTCTAACTGTAGTCGTTTTCTTTTCTTTTACTTCTTTTTTTTTTATATGCTTCCCGTACTACTTTGAGAAGTCCTCGGATATTCATCCTTGTCGGCAACTTCGGCCATTTTTTTTTTGGAGGGCGGATTTTTGTATTTTTTAGAGGATATTGCGGTACGCGGCGCTTGTGGCAGTTTAAGAGGATACCACACATGATAAGAAACTCGAATCGATACATACGACCGATCCATAGGTTATCAGACATTGATAAAAAGGCGAAACACACGGTGCTCATTCTTTTCATCTGTGCTACTTGTAGATGGGGCGGGGCGTCAGCGAAGGTTGAGGATAGACTCGTATCGCTCGCTACCCTATTTTTTTGCTGTCGGAGGAGGTGTCATCCCAGTCAGTAGACGAACAGCGCAAGCCCCCCAATTTGCTACTGCCGCTCCTCTGTCTGTCGTATGCTTTCTCGTAGATTCTGTCTAGGAACGATATCGTGTCTAGTGTCTAGTGTGTGTAGTGTTCCATGTTTTTACATCCCGGTACGTTTATTTCTCCCGCCGGGTAATTTATTTTCCTGGGAAAGCTCTCGTCCCAGCCTCGTGAGTAGCCCCGGGATGATCATTTTTCGAGAAACAGACAAAGAGATAGAAGTATCGATCTCCTCCCGCGGATATTCGACCGATCGGTGAGTTGCTGTATGCAAGATTGAGTAACCCACAACGAGGAGACATGGATTCCTCCCATGGATATCATGGCGTTTTTAGCTACTGTAGGATAGCCAGCGCTCACCTCCCCTCTGTACACAAATAAAGTACCGAGAAGTTATCGAGAAACGCACTAGCCGCAGCCCATCGTAAGGTTCCGACCTGTCCTGAGAAAAGCTGTGGCTTTGGAAATGCGTTTCTTCACGTTCAAGAGTACAAAAGATGGCATGACATGACATGAGATCAAAATGACATGAGGAGGAAGGAAGTTCTACTGCGTGAAGTACGACCGATTTTTGTATGTGAAGACAGCACAACAGTACGAAAATCACAACAGGGGGGTGCGACACACACGCAACATCCACATTCAGCGCCCGCCCTGTGGTTCTGAAAAAGAAAAGTTGGTTGTAGCGGGGAGGTTCGATCAGGGTGTCTTTGAAGCGGGATCAACTGCCGAGTGTGCTGTTGAATTGGAGAGATGTTGGTAGGGTTCGGTCTACCCTAGTGTTGAATCGTTGTGCGTGCGTTGTCGTCGAAACGCCAACCACGAGATGTGGTATTTTGTTTTGTTTCGGTTCATACGCAAGTTCCCCCATGTACTGCTTTGTCAGGAGTGGCTGACGAGCTTGGTGGAGAAGAGCAAAGCAGCGGGAGCCAAGGGAGCCCGGAGCAAAGGTCCGAAGGGCGGCAAATGGACCAAGGAAGAGGTGAAGGGAGATGACCATATTCAGTTGCGACTTGAGTCATTACTTGTTGGTTCTAAATGCTGATACGACAGAAAGCTCCAAAGGTGGTGAGTGCGAGCCGGTTGTAAGTTTTTCCAATTGCTATGGTACCGCACCTTGTTTTAGGGTTCGGCGTTTTTTGCGTACCAAGTGCCACTCTGGACGGTTCGCGATTCTATTCTCTAATCAAGTGTCAAGACAAGATGGTAATATCTACCAAGGTGTTTGACACACAACAAATAACGCACAGCAGTGAGAACATAGTTATGCATACATACGTGTAGACGAAATCCCGATACACACTTCGAAATCGATCTTCATTGTAGATTTTACAAGTCCGTGCACATGGATGTAAACTTGAGCCAAGCAAAATGCCATGTGTTACATCCAAATCGACACAACGGCATGATAAAAGCAGTTGTGCTTGTTGTGATGTCGCATGCTTCTGTCAAAATGCTTTTACCATTGCAGTACCTTGCTGTACCGGGCATGTTCATAGCTGCGCCCAATGGTTGAAACTATGCCCTCTGATGCTTCTACCGCAGGACACCCGTCTTCGAGAGATCGTCGAGCACCACGGAGCTCGGAATTGGCGGATGGTAGCCGAGCAGCTGGGAACTCTTCGTTCTGACGTTCAATGTCTTCACAGGTAGACTGTTTGATGGTGCTCGTAGATGGTATGTGTTTCACGTGTCTTATCGACGGCTCTAGAATTTTTGTGAGTGTTTGTCGTAGGGATGCCCAAGTTGAAAGAAGAAAACACGACCCCGGTGTCCATAGACTCTTGGATAGGTGATGATCTTCTACCGCTGTCATAATTCGCAGATGGAACAAGGTTCTTCGACCAGGCCTTCACAAAGGCCCTTGGACTGAAGAGGAAGACAGCATTGTCAGGGAATGCGTGGAGCATAGCGGGGCTCAAAAGGTTCGTTTCTTATTTCGTTGAGAAGTACTCTTTTTAGCTCCGACTTTTCGAATCCGCAAGACAAGGGTCGACTCCGCCGCATTGTGTGCGTGTTGTTGATCGTTTCTCTGTGTTGTTGGGCCACTTCATCTGTTAGCTCTTGCAAAGGGGGCCTGGTCACGGACTGAGATGTCCTCCTCTTTATTGCCTGGCCCACCGAGCAGGTTAAGTGGTCCGTCGTGGCTTCCCGACTCCCTGGCAGGATAGGCAAGCAATGCCGCGAGCGATGGTTCAACCACCTAGACCCAAGCATTAAGAAGGGTGAATGGAGTCCGGAGGAAGATCGAATCGTGTTCGGGGCACAGGTAAAGTTACGCTCAGGGTAGAGCTGAACCGTGTTTTTCCACTCAGTAGCGTGATGAAATGAGATTGTTTGCCGTTTTCACCATTATCCTGTCGACGCGGGTGTCATCACCGGCATGTAGTGGAAATGTACTGTAGTCTGCTTTCGTCCCAACCCTTTGTTTTTCGTATTTGTGTTTATTTTCACCAGGCGTACATGGGCAATAGGTGGTGCGAGATCGCAAAGTTGCTTCCAGGTCGAACAGAGAACGCTGTAAAGAACCGCTTCAACTCGTCGGCGAGGAAAAAGTGGCTGGATCAGAACCCAGGAGGTGCTAGTCAGCTTACACCAGATCTTCTGAACAAGGTGGGAACGAGCAAATTGCGCAAGTGCGCACACGTTGCGATGTTGTGTTTCATGGGAGCACAACAAACAGCCTGGTTGAAATGGAAGCACAAGTCATCACCATGCAGCATGGCCTCTGGCATTGGTTTGGCATTGGAACGGTAGCAAATGCCGACCCCTCCCCCACACCTCTGAATGTTGTCCTCTCTACGTGTCTGTTGGCTGCGCTTATTGTAATTCAGCTGAAGGAGGCCTACGAGCAGATGCAAGTACAGCCGGCCTCAGGCTCCCAAGGAATGTCCGACGAAAGTGGAACCGACAACGACACCAAGGTTTGCCTGACGAGAAGCGTGCTATGCTACTGCAATAGTCCATGATGATGTCGCTGCACGGGGTCCCTTGTCAGTGCAACACGGTTTTGTATTCGTTTGCAGCAGTGCCTAGGATTTCCCCTAGTGATGTTGTGGATAGCTTTCGTGACTGGCTCGTCCCCCTGTTCGTGTCTGTTTGTGCAGGAGCCTTCCACCCGAGCTGCTGCCGCCCAGCATCACCGACGCCACGACTCCACACCCAGCGCCTTCGGTGATGATGATTTACTCCACCCCGGCGGCGAGCAGTTGACATCGCCTCCGCAGCCGATGCATGCCCGCCGGCACTCAGCTGCTGGGGCGCTGACGGGAATGCTGAGTGATTCTCCCGAGAGTGAACGAAGATTCCGTCGGCGCATGGGGCAAGAAGACGTGGAAGCACGTTCCGCCCAGGCACAGGTGCGCTTTCGATCAGAGTATGTGGACGAAAGGTCTTCAAAGTGTTGGTCGCGAATTAAAATGAATGAACCGCAACGAATTATGTGTGCTCTACATATGCCACACGGGATATAATTACTGTCGGCCACAGTCGTTGGCCACCATAGTTTGCGGTGCCCAACTGTTTTTTTCGTGTGCACCCTGAGTGGGCTGGCTGGTTGTTCCACGGCGAAGAACCGAGACAACGTTCTGTGAATGATGATGCCCGCCTCTTTGAAGCTTAGTCGAATTTAGTCGCTATCTGAACCTGTGTTTGTACGGTGTTGCTTGCGCACGTCTACCAGGGGGCAGTTCGGGCTCGCGCAGGTGCTTCCGAAAGAGCGGGGCGTGAGTCAGAGAAACATACGAGCTCTCTCGCAGTTGTCAACGAGCTCCAAACTGTCAAGGTGTGCATGCATGCTCTCTCCCTCTGTGGTTCTGTTGTCGTGACGTTGATCGACCGTTTGTTGAGTGGAGGGTGTAATAGTGCATGACATGCGCGCCGTGTATCCGATCGCAGTCGGCTCCTGCTTGAACGTCTAGTTAACGGTTTGGTCAGGTCGGTGTGAAAAAAAAACTCTACCCCACGCACCACATGCCTTACAGACGGAAGAACTGGAGCAACCGGCCACTACGAAGGAGCGGTCGGAGAAGCAAGACCATTCACATCTGCTAGCGCCACATGGTTCCGCGGAAGCACCAGCTGGTGGACGAGGCCAGTCCCACATGCTGCATCGCATGTCACCCCCACAGCACCCCCACTCTCGACTTCCTGGGCACCCACCAAGGCCGTTTGCAGGCCCAAGCAGGAGCACAGGGGCTGGCCCTGGCGGTGCAGGAGTCGGAGATGGGGGAATGGGTGCTCTTCTCGGGGTAGCGAGTCAGCTTCGACCTCCACGGGTAAGTTTTCACGTCGTGCTTGAAATTGAAAGTTCATGCCCAAACCAGTAGCCGTTCACTAATTGGCGCCCGTGTTGTTTCTGAGGATGCGCGTGCGCGACTCTCACAGTCATCTCCGCGTTTCGTCGTCCCACACATGCCTTCTCCGTACAGATCGACACGAACTCGACCGTGAAACGAGAGAGCGGCGGCGGACCTGCAAGCCTCTCGCAACTTCTCCTCACTAGCCCGTTCGGCTCGAACGATGGTGCGCGTTTCGCTGCGACGAACGATGCCATAGGCCAGCCAAACACACACACGGCGGAAATGGAAACATCGACGGCGCCGGCAGGAGAGGTACGCGGTAGTGATTTTGTCCTCTTGTCATTCGATACTGCCACGTCTTTGACGCTTGCCGCTCTCGATTTGCGCCTAGATTTCCTAATATTCTGCCTTTTGAGCAAGGCGACCTGTCTTATTCGGCAGTGGAAGACCTTTCCGATGATTGGTGCTCGTTCATGTTCTGGTTCGACGGGCAGTTCCGTCTCAATACTCTTATGACGTGATAGATTTGCAACGCCAACCCGCTGTTTCCTCAAATGTCAATACAGAGCTATTCGTCCGCTACTGCGGAATCTCCTGTTTCCCAAGCGGTGCGTGAAACGAGACGCCAGGGGACGCGGATGCAGGAAGGAGAACAGGTAAGAGCGTCATTGCCCGCGTTGATGGAATCATACAGAGGGAGCGGTATTGTGGGCAGAGTTTGCATGCTGTATGAAGGAGACGTCGTTGTCTTGCTTTTGAGAAGTACGGCCGTTGCATCCGTGAACGTAATCTAAATGCGCTCGAATGATTCTGCCCACCATGTGCCAGGTGCCATTGTCGGTCCTTCCGTATTTCCGCTTCCTGAGTGAGGAAGCCCAGCGAAATGTCATGTCTCAGCTCATCGACAACTTCCAAACCACGTCCATCGGAAAAAGAGGGGTTGCGTCAACGTCGTCTGCGTCGGCAGCCACCTCCTCGGCTTCGTCTCCTGGAGGACTAGCATTCATGCGATCACCGTTCGCAAAGGTGACTTGCGACGCGGTACACTCTTTTTGGCGTCCATCTGGGGCAGGGGCAAGGCAAAGTCTTTTCCTGGTGTTTGGATCATGTATCGTATTGAGAAAAACAGCTTGTCCGTGTGGCGGTGGCGGATGGGTATGAACTTATCCGCAAAAAGTGTAAAAGGGGTGTGAAAGAGAAATTATTGCGGAACACGTCGCTCAGGTTCACGCAACGTAAAACAACTTTCGCCATTCCCTTGACAAACACGCGTTGGCCTTCGACACATTACCGCTTCCAGGGACTCGCACCGGTTGGATCCGGTGGGGCGACGGCCTCGGCCGGCAACGGATCCTCGTCGCCAGCATTCGAAGTGGACGCGATGATGGTGGACCACCACAGGGTAGGCGGCACTGGGGCATCTATTAGTGCGGCCGTTGCTGCTGTTGAGGCGCATGCCAGCAGCGATCACGACATGAACCGAGTGCTACCCGCACCCGGTGTCTCTACCGCGGCGAACTCGGAAGCGGCAATGGAGCAAAGCCGCCTCCCTCCTCTCCGGCAGGTTTGTCGCTCTACCTTGTAGGCGTGTACAATAGCGAGATTGCGAACATTGTCCTTAGTATGAAATGTCTGCCAAACATGCCCCCTCCCAGTACACACGCGTCACTGCGAATTGGCTCGCTCACAATCTGTTTTTTGGAATCCCGTTCCGTTTCACATCATGCCACGTGCAGGATCCCAGTGATGGCAGGAATTCAGGCGGATTTGGCAGAGTGAACGGATCTAGCATGGGCAAAAATGGCAGCTCCCTCGACCTCGCGGGCCCTAACCCTCCTGCAGTACCCGCAAGCACGGGTAGAGACCCTACGACGAGGTCGCCACGATCACATATGAGACATGCGTCGGAGAGTGCACTACCTTCCGCTGCCATGGCTGCCGCCGCTGCCGCTGCAATGCAGACAGAGCCGATGGACGACGGTGGAAGGCGGAGCGATTGGAACCAACGGATGGGAAGACATCGGCCACCGTCGCGTTAGCTTTGAGACAGCAGTCTTGGTGCGACGAACGACCTTCCCCCCGATTTTGTGATGTATATCTTCGGCATATTATTCGTGAGGCGTGAGTTGGTAACATAAAATGAAGCCATGGTGCTTTGATACAACTTTCGAATGTAAAGATCCCCAAAAGAAAGGTGCTAGCCAAGCGACCCCGAGAAGCATTCCCAAGCTTCGTTCCGTAGACAAGCTTGCAGCGCTAAGCGTTATGATGGCTCGTAGGAGCTAGTAAACCAAGATAGAGTGCTTATAGGCACCTCGGTGACCTTCGGGATAAATGAGATTTGACGAGTAGCGTAGGTACAGATTTTGATGGGTAGGAGGCGAGAGTGGGAAAAAGGCACCTTGGCCATTTCTCGGACACTGGATACGACGGAGTACCTAGCGACCCAAGCGTTCGCTGTCGCTCGTATCATGTACAAAATTTTAATGTTGTAATCCGGAGTGTTTTCTATTCGCTGACTTTTTCAGGCAAGGAGAGACGGCCCAAAAGCAGGGATCTCGCGACGGCAAGAAGCAAAGGATTCATCACCAAACGAATCTGCGACATACAGTAACGTGTCATATAGCTCTCAGCAGATCTCTTCCCAGCAACGGCAATCGCAAGCTGGGCACTCTCGTTCCAGCTCGAACCACTCCGCAATGTGCTTCGAATGCCCTCCATGGCCACACCGAGGGCACAAAAGAGGCCTGCCGCGAACAAGTGTGCCACAAACCGAGCAGACGGGATTCGCCGTATCGTGCGGGTGTCGCGCCCCAACGTGCTGCACGCCACTCGCAGGGTGGTCGCACGGCTCTGTCTGGTGGCTTACGGTCTCAGCCCTTTCGCCTTCCGCGCCCCACTGGCAACACCGCTCCGCATAGCTTTCAATGTACCGGTCGCACGAAGCCGTATGGTCTCCCCCCTGCGGTAAACCGCCAGCGCAGCCGCCGTCCCGGCTACCGGACCCCACAACGGAGGCAACGGATGCCAGCGTCTGCGGGTCTGCACAGCTCTCGTGGTGGGTCAAAATCCTGGAGGTCAGCAGGGAGCTTGACGTTTCCCACCGAGGGAGGCGCCTGTGGAACGAAACCGAGGAAGACTTGTAGTGGGTGAAATTTAATCCTAAAGCGGGGGAGGACATCAGGCTGTGCCCGTCGGAACGGAAGCGAGTCATAATTTTTAGACGGCAGTATGGTCCGCCGACGCAATCGTTGATCCGCCCTTTGAGGGGCCATGAAATTTCTTCGGGTCAGAGGCAGAGAGGCGAAAAAAAATCAACAAAGATCACCCCGAGCGACCCCTCGGGGCCCTCGGGGGCGTTGGTCCCCTTTTTTCTGTTCGGGTGTCTCACGGGCATACACAACAACCCGCTGAGCCCCTCGCGCTGGAACCCCAAGATGTTGGCCCTAAACGTGTACCACATGGTACGAGAAAGCATTTAAGAATAAAAAGGGCGACTGGGGAAGTATGCACCGTTCGCCGCCGGGAAATGGCACCCCCCCCGATACCACGGTCGACGGCAACAATGGTCGGAACAAACGCGAGTAACCCACGCCTGGTTCGTCCTCGCCCATTGCCAACGGGCGTGTGCAAGAGTATCGCTCGATGCTCGTTGAGAGTAGCGGCAACATACAGGACTTCGGCGTTGCGCACCAGCAGATGTGCGATAGCGCAATTCGTATGTTTTGTCCGCAAAGTACCGGATGTACGCCACGTAACTGCGGGGGAGGGGGGGACAAAAAAAAGCCGATGACCCCGAGGAGTTTTCACAGTTGTTGTGCTTCACTGGTGTTTTTTGTGGGAGGGGGCGTTCACATGACCGAGGGTGTTTACATACGATATGTCGGTCGACAACCGCGGAGTGCCAGGGATACAGCACACAGTCTCGAAGTGTGCACGTGAACAGTGGCTGGAGCATAGCAACCCTTCCGTATGTGCTTGTCGGCAAGAAGCAACGACCAATGACAGGACAGCCTTGAGAACAGCCTTTACCCTTCAGCCGTGGGCTTATTTCTCACGGCAATGTCAGCCAGCGGTCAACATCGTTCTCGGCAAAACGTCAACAACCGCATCAGACATTTTCGGGCTTGATTGATCAGTTCGACACACCCATGACCAAACCGGTACAGGCTTGTCTTCAACAAGGTACCAAGGAGTCAAGCTCCACGTGGTTGGTTGCAAGAGTTACGGCCGAGACGGAGATCTCGATCTGGCACTGCCACTGACACACAAGGGTCGCGGCTCGACTGATCCTGTCACGGAGAGTTTTAAGTGCTGCAAAATATAGAGCAAAAGAGTCCAATGCTATTACATATTACAGAGCTGTGTTCATCCGTTTTTGGGTCTAATACTTGCACAGGTGTTTCTTACAAGACTAACAAGACTTAATGGTAACCGACGGAGAAACTGTGACGTCGAAGACGGCATGATATTCGCACCTCGCATCAAGCAAACTCCCAAGGCCTGAGTTTTCCCTCCTTGCAGATTCTCCTCTGGCGGCAGCTTCAGCCAATAGTGCCCAAACACTGCGTGCGACGCGTTGGTATTGCATGAGCAGGAGATGTTCAATATAACTTTTTCTGCTTGCCACACTGATCCCAATAATTGATTCCAAATGATCGCAGAGTGGTTCCGTATTCGTGCGACCGTTGTATTGCGCCGGCATGCCCACCAGTAGTGGCAGTAGTGACACTCACTCCTCTATCGGGTCCAAACCAGGGATGGCATTGGGATGCACATTGAAAGCACGAGGCCCTCATTCTACACCTCAAAGCGCACCTGGCCAACTCCGCGCAGTTTCTCGCAGCAGCCACTCGCACGTTGTGTCTGCATAGCTGCCCTACTGTCGGAATCTCCACCTTGTCCTCCTCCGCGATTGCCATACAACTGCTGGGGTCACCTCTAAGGCTCCTAGGACGGACACCGACCCCGGCAGCGTGAAAGGCAGTCGGGCTGCCATGTGACATAACGCGCAGTAAGCACGTGATGGAGGGAGAGTTTTACATACAACACAGATATGCGTCACCGCTACGTGAAAAAGGCGTGCAGCAGCCCAGCAGCTCCGTTAGATTGATTGGTGATCCTTGATTCTTGCTGTTACATTTCGCTTGCCCTCGCGTGTCGAGTGGCAGCGATGGGCTCTCTCATTTGCCCGACATTTTGCCTGCCACGTCTGAATGTCTGACGTAGGAGTATTATCCTATCGCGTTTGTGTCGACTTTTCCGGCTCCTGTTGACTTCTGTGAATTTTTCACACACAAAGTGCGCTCTAAGGGGTAGTTAGCCTTTAACGACGGAAGGCGTCCGTGTCAGTTAGACCAGTTCAGACGTTAGACGGTACTGAGAGGAGAGAGGAACGGCGGTACCATAGGCAGGTTTCCACGTCCGGCGTTTTTTTCAAGCAGGTAGAGAGCAGTGGAAGCTGAACCGAGCAACGACTTCTCGGGGCGCGGGTCCACAACGTGATACTTGAAGAGTAGTTGAGAATCTTCCTGCCGCAAGGTCGAGCACCTGTCCGTAGAAGAATGGTGACCCCTCCCGCTTAGCCCGAGTTGTGCGGCGAGTTGACCGTCTCCGACACGCTCTCCAAACAGGAGAGACGTACCCGCGCTGAAGCTCCTGCTTCGGTTCACGGTAGCCTGGCCATGAGAAGCGGAGGACTGGCCAAGGTCCATGCCGAAGTCACTCATGGGTGGGGACGTCGACGCAGGACCTACCGTGTCTGCTGGACTTGTCGGAGCCAACGTTCCCAGCCGGAGATAGAGTGCGTCGAAATCAACGCTCGAGGCCGGGCTTCTGGCAAACTGTTGGTGTTGTCTGTGAGTGTGGGTGTCATGTCGCCGTGAGAGTCGTCGGAGGGGCGGAAGAGGGAGGAAAGCGGGTCGACCATATGAGCAGTGACGGCAACCACACGTTTCATCATTCATCACCTCAGAAAGCGCTTGCCGAAAACACGGTTCGACCACCTTCGATTGCGAAGCTAACACTAGTGATCAACACACCTTGTCGGGGCATAGACAATCTCAGACACCCACAAGAAGTCACTGTGGCAAGGCAACCGGAATATCTGAGCTGGGATCATTACCGGTAGGAAACTACTACTCTTACTTACGAGGCACCGGCATCCTTGAAGTGAACCCTGCTAAAAAAATACGGCTCAGTGAATACATGGACGGGTGCCGTTTGACAACATACTCCTACCTTCTTTTGCCAAGTCGTTGGCGCGTCCTATGACCATGTGCAGAGGATGGTTTCATCGTCGCTCCAGGAGATAAGACCCCCGACTCCCCGCCAGCCCCCGGGATGGCCCTGGGCGGTGTGACGTTCACGCTAGGCCCATCGAGGGGTAGCTCAGCCACATGTTCAAGCTCGGACACCTGCGAGATTTCCGAACGAGGAATAACGTCCCGTCACTTCAATTTCGTCCAAAAGGGGAACTCCCTCACAAAAACCAGCGAGTGTAAAAAAACTCCGGTGCGTTCGGGGTTCGATTCTGTTTCGGGTTGCGACCGTACAAAACTCGGCCGGCCATTATCTGCCGTGCGTTGCGTTGTCTCGCCTGAGGTTGAAGTTGCGGGCTGCTGACTTTAAGGTCGTCGGCGCTACCACTTCTTGAGCTATAGCGGACGCCTCTCGCAATCTCTGATCGGCCGGGACTACCGACTAGAGACGGTGGTCCAGCCATCATGCCTCTTCCAGATCCCGACGAAGTCGCCCAACCTGTGCGTGCACTAGCAGCTCCATTTTTACCAAGGAATGCTTTGAAATCGGGCGTAGACTCCCATTTTCTCATGAGAACGGGAGGCAAGATCTGCGAGGGGACGAAAAGGATTGGATGCACTCGATCCATTGCCGGCGAAGGTGCACTCTCTGGAAGAGGTGATTGCCCCATCTGCTGGGACCCGTGGCCAAAGGCGTAGGCTTCCCGCTCTCAATACCGTCTTCAGACTTACCACGGAGCGTAGGGATTATCGACTGTACTTCAACCTCCCGAGACTCAGAAACAAAGGCGCGAAGACAGAGGAACAGAACACAGAGAGAAGCAGAGACAGATTATCGGCAAGAAGACAAGAGATGCTGACTACTGCTGAAGGTAATAAACATACAACCAGACCACACAAACAAAGGCCAAGAACACGAACACAGAAACAAACACTGCGTCGAAAACAAAACTTGAAAGGAAATGACCGGCGCGTTTGTACCTGCCCTCCGTCCATGCTCGGCCTCCGCCCTGGCCCCCCGCTCCTCACGGTGTTCTCCAGCGTAGCGGACGGCCCTCGCTGCGGCACGGAGATTGGAGGAGGCATCCCGCTCGAAATACCCAAGCCGGACATAAGCGAATTTCGACGCGAGCGGCCTCTGTAAAACGCGACAGGCCCGGCGCACGAGGGGGGTACCAGCGTCGTCAACACGTCAACATATATCGGTAACAAGCCAAGCAATCGTATATCCTGATTGAGCGGCGAAGAGATAACCCCGAATCTTGGTCTTGGTTTGCCCACTGCAGGAGCTTCAGAATCAAAGGTGCTGGGATGAAGCTGGATTTGGGGGGTACCGTATCATGTATGGTCGAACGACAGACACACGATCGCTGTTCACGAGAACGCACGCCGCACAGGCCCCAAGCACGCCACACCGGAGGGAAACCCATCTCACAATCACAGGGCCCCGCTGCTTCCACCCAAAACGAGGATCATGATTCCGCCTCGAAATGACTTACCCCGAAGACACCGACGTATCAGAACACTGTACGAAGTACGGCTGTTCGCCTTTTTCTTGCCGCCGGTCTCTCTCGCCGCTCGAGAACGGTGAGGTGACGGTACTTTGAACGTGCGCTGCGGCCTGTCGAACCGGACCTAGCTTGTAGAATGCCGCCAAGAAAGGTGATCCGGGGAGAAAACCGGTACAGTCCAACAAAAACACCTGGACCGGTAAATTACGCACGGTGAAGAGCGGACGTCGAATGAGGAGAAAGGATCACATCTTGTCAATAATTAAGGGGTGGTCTCGACGGCCAGCTATCCACCCTTCGCCAACGTGTGGTTACATTGTTCTTGCCCTGGTGGTGGACACGCCTCGCTGGCCACAGAGGGCAGAAGGAGGTAGGGAAACAGCTCGTCTCTCCGCTGCTGCACCCTAATAGTCATCGAGGAGGATCACTTCGGTTGTAACTCAGTCACCGTCACGGGAATGCGGTAGCGGAGAGGTTCACCCGGTGGCTAACGAAATCGTTAGGAGCTGAAAACCACCCGGCTTCCTCCGAACAAAAACACTGACGGGGATTTTCTGGCGCAAGCGACTTTCTCCTCGGACCGTTGTCATCTAGGCGGCAGCAACCTTCGTAACCTATACACGGTCTGCGGACGCACGCGCAACTTCAGTTTAATTTCGAAAACCCATGGAAAAATTGCGACCGAGACGAGAACTAGACTAGACTAGATTGACTCCCTTCCCTTCTCTGCCGCGGGCTTCGGTGGTCATGAAACACTCATCATTCATCGACGCACCCTGACACCCCCACTATTAGTGTTCCAAGTCTATATGTACCTTGTCAAACTTAGGCGTCCACGGCAATTCTCCCTCAACGTCCATGTCAGCGGCACCAGCGGGATCGTCTTCTGACTGCCTTTCATCGCCGTCGCGTTCCGACGGTGGCCCTAGGCCCGCTCCTAGGCTATGGTCGGGATGGCTGATGGGAAGGCGAGTTGTGTCAGTGATGGCAGCATCTGACTTCGAGGCCTGCGAAATAATCGGTTCCAGAGGAGTGCGATGGGGAGACATGAGACATGAGACATGAGACATGAGACATGAGAAATGAGCAACCTCACGACTAAGAAGGAGAAGGAGAAAACGTCGTCCCTTGAGCCCATCTCATATCATATCTCAATACGGAAGGTGCCCCGTCTGATCGAACGAGAAAACATCTAACGCCTGCGCTACTGCCAGCTGTGGGCGTGTAAGAGAGCACGCTGCACGCGGGGTGGTGTCGAAGACGAATACAGTACCAATATTTTTCGATACGATGCACAACGTCACCCTGTGAGGCAGGGAAAGAAACGGTCAAGAGAGGGCGACCAGGCCTCTCGCTCACACCTCGCTGTCCTCTTCGACGAAGACCTCCTCCGTACTACTCCTGTCCAAGTCGTACGTGTCGTCGTCGTGATATTCACTAGCGTCGTCCAGCTCGTCTCCCCAAGCCGGCCTGGTGATTCGATTCGTCGCAACAAAACGGTTGGGACGGATGCTGATGCCGATGAGCTTCCCGTGGTAACTCGACCCTAGCCGACCGACTTCGAAGATACCGCCGTCTCCCGGATGACGCGACACTTTTTAGTACGTGTGGCCGATTTCTACCGAGGTTATTCAAGCATGTCACGAGCAAGGCACGGACTGGATATGGCAACCAACGGCAAGGCAGGCGCTTCTTTCTGCAAGGCCGTCCACTCTCGTACCGACCAAGTACTACCTGAACCAGCTGTGGCCGTTGTCAGCAACGAGAGACCGGTGAGGCTGTTGACTCGCGCCGCCCCGGCTGGTCTCGTCGCCATCGTTGTCTAGGGCCTCGTCCAGGCTCTTCTTGAAACAACCATAAGTGCGCGGATACGTGTAGACCTATACATCGTAACAGAGTGAGGTTGCACAAGCCGCAGCATAATCACAGTTTTACAGGAACGACCACGAGGCGAAGACATACAACAGAGGTTGGAATAGACCCGGGCACAAGCTACACAGATGGAGACGGAGGCGCCATGCAAGCTCGGGGCATACCCCACTACAGCAGTACAGCAGTCCGAAAATCATCCAGTTTGATCACCTGCTGGCTGTTGCCTTCCGCGTGCTTGCGTCCCGCCCGAACAGCTTTCGTCGACGAACAAAACACGACGAGCGTTCCATTGGCCGCAAAGGTCGCTCCGAATCTCCGCGGGCAAGGAATGTTCTCGTCGTCCGACAGAGACGCACGCGACTCAGGGTTGGCAAGCATCCCCTCGGCACTACCGTCGACGCCGTTCTGCGTTGGAGGAGTATAAAGGCCGGGTGTGGCAATAAAAAACTGTTATGCACAAGGTTTTTGGATCTTCTTTCGTATCACGCTACAATACCTGACGCGAGTTAGCGATGACGTCGTGAAAGCAAACATGACCCACGCACACACCAGCACCCCCGTGAATCCGTGCCAAGGTGGTAAACTTGCCTGCAGCCCACGCTGGGAAAGAGATTCGTCTCCCTCGACGACTCCTGCTGCCTGGTTGGCGGCATCCCTGGGTGAATCCGGGGAATCAAAGAGGATGAGAATAGCAGACACACACGGCGGTTATCTCCAACCAGATATGGGTCACAGCAGCACATGTTGCACTTTAAGAGGACCTGCGGATACGAGTGTTCCCCAATGAAAGTCAGCACAACCAAAGTCATGTTGTACAGATTGCCGAAGAGACAGTCCCCAGAAGACCTCGTCTGAAACAAAAACAGACCAAGTGTTTCCGAGTATTGTTTTTAACACACAAGTGCTTCTCTCCCGCTTGGTGACTGCTAGGAGACTGCCGGCGCGGCCGTTTCGTGCGCAAAACAACGAACCTCTTTTCTTTCCTTGCTGCTATGCAACCAAGGCGGTACATAAAGCGTCGACACGTGTACATATGGTCTTTCACGACGCGAGACGAACACGAACACGAACACACCTGACACACGCGTCAAGATCACGTCTCACTCGGGCGAGGCAAGCCTCCAACCGGGACTTCCCCGTCTTGAGCGGCTGGTGCATAACTTCCTCTGCGGCCGCTTGCACTCGCTTCACGGTCGCTTCATCGAGCGGGTCTTCGCACTGCGGGCACAAATCGATCGGGGAGCCAAAGATTTGGCGGGGTTCTTCCAGGGAATACTGCAGGGGCGCCGTCAAACAGCACAAGCCCTGCCTCTTCCCCCCGCTGACTTCGATTTTTATTCTAACTCGCGCGTTGGGGCTAGCAATCCCTCCGCCTGCGGAAGTTCACGACAGCATAACATGGCAGCCTTCAAGCCACCACATTCCACCGCCCCATGAAATATGCTTTCCCTGCCGCATCAAATCAGCCCGCCCATAAGCAACCGATCGATTCATGGAGACTTCGATGCCCAGCACTTCCCGACGAACCACAGTTACGCCTATAGTAGTACGATTGGAATGTAGTTCGCAGCAGTGCCAAGCAGGGCATACTTATACCTATACAAAAACTCACCACGACTGTGGCAAGGTCATGGGGTGCAGAGAATACAGGCCCTTGTTCCGCCGCCAGGTCGACTATCGCGTTCGCCTCTCTCGACCAGTGCCTGTCAAAGACAGGAAGGACCAAGGAGAAACGTGCACATGAGCCGAAACAGAACGCACCCTAACGCAGGAACAAGCGGGGGGGTAAACGGTGACACGCGACCACTTGGACCTGTCCACCTTAAAATTCCAGCTCGACTTTTGTGTCTATTGATGCCAAAATCTAGCGATGCTCACGCTGGTTGAACCCTGGCTGTCACTCGAAGCCAAGAGTTTACTAGGTACGTCCTCCCCGGTGTGTGCGGCGCGTCCTCCGTTCCCGGCTCACGATCTCGACGGTCGCGTATTGCAAGTGCCTCCGCCTCGTGAGCACTCGGTGGCCGTGTAGCTTCCGCTGTTGCAGCCATGACCAAGCTTATGCATTTTCGCGCCACCTGTAGGTCCACGCCTCGCACAGACCCGAACCCACCGCGACGGGCGATGTTCTCAACCTGGGACAGCAGCGATCGAGAAGACAAGAAAAAGTGGCGGCCACCGGTAGCATTCATGTGTACAAAGAGCGACGACGGCAAAGAACAGCAGTCCTCAACCTCTGCGAATGTTTTGTGCTCGTGCCACAGCAAACGCAAAGGCAGGCACATCCATGCCCATGGAGGAGATCGACACAATCAAACATGTGTACGTATCTACCTGGACAAGCTCCCTGACAGGGATATCTGAGGTGGTTTCAATCGCCATCTTGAACGGCGCGGCATTCTGCGGTTCCGATAAACTCCACACCACCGGAAGGATTTCCTTTCGAATAACAGGAGCCTTCGACGTGGCAGAGGTCTCCAGTGATTCCGAGCCTGAACAAGTTACATGAGGTGAAGAGAGGGCGTCCGAAACGATGCGGTGAGATAGTGCTCCGTGCGTGCACGATGGATGGATTTACCATCTGCACACACGCTCTTCTGCATGTTATGACTTCCCCTGCACTCGCACGATGATTCCGAACGACTGCCGATACCTTCATCGCTTCATTTCAACCCAAGAAACACAGGGGTCGCGCCACATAATTAACATGACATCCGCATCAAGTAAAACTCATCACCTGCTGTTGATCCGTAGTCCCTCCCACCCGAAGAATCGCCGGCTGGCAAATCCTTGCCGGGGCTTTCGAAGTCTAGCTTTTCGACGTTGTGCAAGCGCAAGTGGCCTGCGGCGTCCAAGCTATACAGATGACGAGAGACGCGAGGCGAAGCGAGGCGAGGCTCGACGGTCAGGGACCGCTCCAGGCGAAAGCAACGCTTCTGCCGTGCCGACCCAATCGCGCATTTGTCTACCGAAAGGTTCTGATAGTAAATGCATGTAACGGACATCGCTGCGATTTTCTGGACCCGCGTGGGTCTGTCTCACATTGGTTTCGTTTCGTCAGGTGTTTCCAGTTGGGCAATCGAGCTGTCAAGACTACGACTTGGAGGAGCAGCAGTCCAGACTTTTCCGTGCAATTGCAAGATCTCACCAAGAGACAAGCGTTTCTCAGTACCTTGCCACCTGGTACCCATCGTCGGTTGACCTCCACGATACGCCCACAATAGGGAATACTCCTGCCTCGAACGTGGCAACAAGTCGCAAGTCCTGGCTCGGGATCGACCACATCTTGATCGTTTGCAGCTCTTGCTTTCCCTCGAAAAACCCTCGTGACACAGTGATCGCCGCCTGTGTGTCGAAAGGGCGGCAGCCGGGCATTTGGTGAAGGTAAAAGCTCGCGGTCTACGGCTCCGCCGTTGGTTCTACGCCGCCGACGGCCGTAATACATCAGCCGGAATACTTGAAGCGTTCAGGGACGACCAAACATTTTTCAACAACTCCTAGGAAAAAATAATTCGCGGGAATACCTCAACAGTTCAGAGACGACGAAAGGCCTTCACGACCACCTAAGCATACGTCGCTACCACAGCTGGTGGTGGTGGTGGTGGTGCTGTTGCTGCAGTACAGGAAGAAACACCGTGCGGGCTCCATACCTAACCATACCTGGCCGAAGGGTGCGAAGAGCACTTTCTTCACGGGCTGCGACCACTTCCGCTTTTTTAGAAGAACGGAGGTGCCCTGCCTTGTTGAAGAAGTGCTGCCTCCGGAGGCGATATGTTTCGCTTTGTTCGAGTCGACCCTCCACAAACTAAAGTTGTCTCCGCCACTGGTGAGCAGATCATACTCGCTGCGATAGGCAAGCATGGGGGTGTTCTGTTGTTGAAAACGTGGCGTCGTACTCAAACCACCATCGTGTGCATGTGTGCCGACTGCTTCCGTTTTCCGTACCGACTGACCCTACGACTAACTTCCTTCGTCAAGGGCAAGCTAAAATACTTGAAAAGGAACAATGAGCGTCTGTGCACCACGAAGCGACGCACCTAGGGTAAAGGTGCACCGTCTCAAGGAAGTTGAGAAAGAGGCATCCTGCAAACAAGAAACTAGGCACTTGATTGAGTTCAAACTCGAAACAGACCGTCATGTAAACAAAAAATGACCACATATGCATATCCGTACACAACAAATCTTCACGCTATGCCCAAGAACGATGAAGGGGCGGGGGGGGGGGGGGTGTACTCATAGTCGTGCATGCCGTAGTCGTTAGACCATTGACCTCGCATCCCTACAAAGCCGGGACGGAGCACGCCGGGTTCTTACCGGACCAGGCTCTCACATCACCAAGCGCGAAGCGCCGTGAGGTATTCGGCGAGTCGCATGAAGGGTGAGCTGCATCCTGCTAAGGGTGTTCGGCATCTTGTGCTTACTTCCTTGCGTACGGATGACAGCTGCGTATGACTTAATTTATTTTATGGTGCTTTCACTTCCAGAGACAGTTATACGCACTGCTGTGTTACTGCCTCGAGGATGCTTTACCATTTTAACACAACGCGGTGCGATCATCCCCCGTTGCGCGGAGTGAGAGTTCTCGACCCCGCACAAAATGATCTACTTGACCACCATTATGGTTACCGCAAAAAAAAAACAGAGGTAAAAAAAAAAACGGTAACCTGGTTGCCGAGTTCACGAAGTGGATTGGCTTGTTTTACAACGTCGTTGCCAAGTGACGAAAACCCAATCCCGATGGCAAACACCGGGGGGGGGAGAATGATGAAGGGCAAGATCAAGATCGAAAAGCGTTAGCCAAAGACACGGGGAACCCGGAACGATGTGTACCTCGGCAACGTAGCCATTGCTCATATATTTGCACGGGTGCGCTCTCACCTTTCGGAACTCCAGTCCAGACTAGTTACGTGTTCAGATGGCAGGGATACTGGGATCGTATCGATCGGTTTTTGTCCCTGCATGGGCACACACGGCGAGCCGTCCACGAGAAAAATGTTACGGAGATGTAGAGCAAATCTGCCAACATATGACACAGGTTTGCCGAAGATCTGAGGTAGAAAAGGCTACACGCACACGTGATGCACGCTAATTGCCCCATGCGGTCCAATCCCACGCGAAAGGAGACACCAACATACTGACACCGACATCACTGCAAGTGAGTGACGCAATGAAAGTACCCACCTTGCGCATGTCCCAGATGTATACTTGGTTCACTTGCGAAGAGGCAAGAAGGTAGGGATTCTTGCGGTTGAACGAGACTTGGGTTGTCAACACCCGGCTGTCACCACCCGGTACTTTCCATGCTTGGACAAGGTTCTGAAGCCACGACGTCAGTAACAAACAGTGGGTTGAGCAAAGGCGCATGGGCTCGCACAGGTTGCCCAGAACAAAACGGCCAAACACTACTTTACTGCGGGATGACTTGTATGATATCGTTTTGGAGTCAAGCAGAACTTTGCGAACCACAAGAAGAAGCACGGTTTCTGCCCTGCCAATGCGTAATTGGCTGGCAAAACAACAACCCGCTCATGACCAAGAAGCCGCAGGATAATTGTTGCAGGACGCTCAATGGCCGAAACGCGCCTCAACAGCGTGTTACTCACCGCGTTCCTCGTGTCCCACAAGTAGTCGCCCGCTGCCAGCAAGTTTTCATCGAAACGCGACCAGCAAATGTCCATAACATTTGCGGTCGTCATCTGGCGTAGGGTTGTGACCTGCTCAAGAAAATACGCATGTTTCGCAAGCAGCGGTGTCTCAACTCGACCGCCGAGAAAGAGGAGGGTGCTGATCAAAATTTGTTATGGTAGCCGCAAAAAGCCAGACACGAAAAAATTACAAGTTCATCACGTGACGTCACTTGCACGTGGTCCTGACGTCAGATAGGCCACATATCACGGACATGTATCGGACAACATGATGGGGCTCTTTGGCTAACTTCCTTGCGCGCAGGGTCGGAGGCGAGCAGTTCGCTCTGCCATAACGCATCGTAGCTCTCTCTCGCGAGGTGTGAACCCGGTGTGTGCTCAACGCCGCACGACGACAGCTTAATGGTTCCGCAGCTCTCCGATGCAAAGCGCGCTCATCACAACTACGAGACTATGAGGACGTGGACTACATGTACATAGTTCCACATTGCTTTACCTCAGCCGGTGCTCGGAGTGAATCTGCGTGCTATCACGGGGTAATTATGCACATGTGAAAATATGAGCGATAGCTGCATCCAAATACGTAGTATCAAGAAATCAACCTACCACTTTACATGTGCATGGGATGGCGGTGCACCAAGCGATACGGCACGGCGTTTCTCAAAACCCATGCTGTACGATCTCACCCCCCTAGTAGAACCTGAAGCATCATCTTTATCCTCTAGATTCCAGATATGAACCAGCTGTCCTTTCGCGCTCGCCAAATGCATCCTGCGATTGTGATGAGGGTTGAACCTGATGGCGAACAGGCGCTTGGCCTCGTCCTTGTACCGGTATACGATGCCACGCTGGCGTACAAGGAAAAGAGAGGCAGCAAAGAAACCTGTGTGTGCGCACGGGTGTCTTTCGTCTCATCTACTCCTATTATACCTATGCATACTAGTCAAGCACACGGCCGCTTCCAACCGCCGTACTTGTTCTCGCTTTGGCACGTATTGGCTCGCCTAACATTTAGTATACAGTACATCAGAGAAAGAGAAGATTCCCAGCGGGGGGGTGTTGAATGAAGCCTTTACGGTAGTGAGGGTTGAGTGACACCAACTGGAGGCACTTCGTCTCTTTGTTGTTTGACCTCTTGCACATTTCCACATCTAAAAACCAAGAACGGCGCACCTTCTGTAGATCGTCCCCATCCTGGCATAGGGCATGAGCCCCTTTGGCAACGGGCTCTTCCAAATTGAACACCAACAAGGACTTGTTGTTACCGACCGCCGCAGCCCTCCCCCCGACCTCCACATGCTGGAAACCGAGTACAATGTTGGCATCGGTCACGAGGTTTGACGGTGGAACAGTGGAACATGTGCTGCGCAGCGCAGTATACAGCAGCGTGATACTTCTACACATCATGTGCACGAGCAGGCACAGCGATCTTTCTGCATCACGCCCGTCCATCAAAAACGACACGACGTCTCGGGGAACGCGTTGTACTATCTACATCGACAGCTCACCAGTTTGGTGAAGGTCTTATTGAGCGCAGAATACGAGCCCAGAGGGAAATCAAACGCAGCCTCCATTGGCCCTTCGGTCCTTATAGTTGCCCCCTCGGCGAAGACACAGCTTGCAAATGCAGTAGTCCTTCTCCCTTGTTGAATAAGCGATGCAGTCAGTGCACACTATCGGAAAGAGGGTTGCCAAAGTCAAAGGTTATCCCTCGAAGGCATCCGTGCATGCAGCGCTCGAGACAAACAAGCACGAATACAGCTAGAGAGCTACAGACAGCAGGCGAACACACGGTGGGTCAAGTGCGGCGGCCTTTACTTGGCACCGCCTCTCCTGGGACTGGTGGTACTGGCCAATGAAAAGACGCCAATTCTCCCGCGCACGCATCGAACGAGAAGAAAACTGTTGTCCAGACGTCCAGACGAAGGCTGCGAACAAGATGGCAGGACAGGTGGGTGTCCGATACCACAACGTCGAGATGGCAACGACATGATGTGTACTGATCGTTTTCGAATCAGCGTACTGCAGGCACTGGCGAGATCTCAAACTACTCGTGCTGTTGCTATGCATAGCATACAATGTGCGCGGCTGCTTGCGTCGTGCACCCAACATCGCTTGAAAGCGCGCCCATTCGGCAATTATTGACGTTCGATACCCTGTCGTTGTTCTATTGCTCCACAACGAGAAGGTGCCGATGCTTCCCTCCGTCGATATTATGTAGAGTTTAATACGAAGAATTTTCTAAATACCGACACATGGTTGGTCGCGTCCATCCTGTTGCTTAGAACATGAATGTGCAGATGTGCAGTAGTACCGAAAATCGACTACCTACGAGGACAGCAGGGACATGGATTCTGGGTCTCGTACATTAGTCTAGACATACAGCAACATTGTTGCTCAGCAAACGGTACACAATCCTGTGTGTCGTCTGTGCTCCACCGCTTGGGTACCTCACCGCTAGGCTAAGCAGGTCAGCAGCACTCTCGCTGGTGTTGAATAGCGGCAGCAGAGTGCTGAGCAATGGTATGTCGTTTCACCGTCATAATTGCTGTACTGCTGTATGCTCTCGTGGTCCACTCTGCCGCAATCCGCGCCCTCTTTCGTACCAACTGCTGCAGGCAGCGAAGAAGGCAGCGAAGGCCAGGGAAGATGCGGCCAACCTATACTACCCTATCATCTTTGGCGTAAACCTCATCTACGTGCTGTATCGAGGTAGGGGTCCGCGGAGTTGGTAAATCGTAGATTGGGTTGTGTGGGAGACGATGTGAATGTTTTTATGCTACTGTAGCAGCGCTTCCATTTCACCTGTACGCCCGTTACCTCGATAGATCACCAGCTCGATCTCGGGCTTCAAGACTTTTTTTGACGAAGTGCGACCAAGGAATTGATGTGAAGGGAGCTCCAGCTGCTATGATTGACCGTCGTTCTCTCAAACCACGGCTTGAATTACATGCGATGGAAGCCCGGAGTGGGGCATTGATTTATCACGGCAAACAAATTTATCCCGTCGCGAAGATGCGCCAGAAGAGATGAATGGGACCCTAAGATTTTAATCGAATGTGCGGTACTTACAGGGTGACGTGGCTTGCTGGGTGGTTTGATGAAAGGCAGAATGCATCAACACACCGATGGCAAGTTGTACGTCTCACGTTTGTCTCCCGTACGGCCGTTTCTCGTAATCACGCTCGCAAGGCCTGTGGTGCTTTCGAACGTTCGGCCGGTGGCAAGTGTTTGGGCTTGCGGTGACCTCAACGGTGTACTACGTCTGCTATCACGGAATGCTAGAGGCCGCGAAAAGTGGCGTGGGTGGGGGAGCGTATTTCGACGTTTTCGCAGTGTGTGTGGCCGGCCAACTCGTGTCAACCTTCAGTGCGTACGGGACCTACATATACATGTTGGTGAGTTGCGTGTGAAGGCATCTCCGTGAACTTGTACAGCAACATACACGTCGTGAGTTGTTTGTACGGGTACCTGGTGTGGTTTTTGTACAAGGGGGTGGGTAGTGCGTGTGAAAAGCGCTTTGGTTGCCCAGTTGCCGTTCTTGTTCTGGCTGTATGTGTAGGTGTTGCTGTTTGTGCCAAGAGTCACTCAATACAGTCGAGTTGGCAACAGCACACAACTGACCTCTTCTACAACATGGACTTGATTTTCTACATTCCAGGTGCCAGGGTATTACGCGTGCCTAGCAGGGTATTGGGTATTCCGAAAGCTGGGGGGATGGGTGCGCTCTCAACAAGAACTGAATGCGAGCGAAGAGCCCTCGGCAGCAGATCTTAAGCGTCAGGCGAAGAAGGAGAGGAAGGCCGCCAGAGCTCCAAGAGTTAGGATGCGGTAGCCAGTGCACTTAAAGCCGGAGAACCAGCCCCAGCTTCAACCGACCACGTCTGCAAGGCTTTCGCAGTTCACGTGAACCGGCCCAACCCAACACGACACACATAAATGTCCGATTTCTTGGTGTTGGCAGAGGGCTCTTCCTGTGACCTTGCAACAATCCGCCCTTGTTCGGGAAGGGTAGTCATCACATGCATTTACGGACATGATTTAGAGGAAAACGTGGGCACTTACACGTGCAATTAACCCCCGCGAAGAGGGCGCCTCAAGCCGCGAGGGGCCCGCGGCTTCTATCTCTGTAGGGCAATCAGCGACTAAAGGGTTTATATAGCGTCGGAGATGCGGTCGGGAGAGCAGGTTGCGCCAGAGCGTATGCATCTATGAAGCTGTGGTTCTGTATTGAGAGTGATTTTGTAAAATGCGTTCGATTTATTACACTCACGGGAGCTTTTGGATCATTTCCGCCTCTCCAGCAGCGTCTCTCTACAAGAGACTGCTGTCATAAGCAAGTCACACGCGAGTTTGTGGCAACCCCCACAGAGGAGCAACTTGTTCACCTTCCCGACGTTTGGCGCAAGGCTAGTTCACCATGGGGTGCACAAAAAATACCAGAATGAACCACGTGAGGGGCATGCTTCATGCACAGATCGACCGTTGCCTCCCTTCCGGGCGGGTGAACTTCGTGGTCCTACAAGTATTGGTATTTTCACACCCACGGGCGACCAGTTCCTGCATGCATGCATACACGGGCGAAAAATAGGGCCCTGGCCGAGTAGAACGAAAACCAAGACATGGTATACATATACGCATGCTCATGCCTTCGGTTGACAAAAAAACGCACGTGCTACTCATTTAATTGATTTAACTGACCGCCATCGGAGCATACACTCCCGACAAAACACAAAAGGGTAGTCACGAGTTGTCTCCCGCACTCCCCATCCCTCAAAAGCCGAGGCCAATCATCACAATGAATGTGTCCTCCATCCCCACCTACCAAACGAACTCCAACTCTCGACGAGTGCACTCAAACGTCCAGCCAAAGTCTTCGCTGCAACAATTGCATGAAATTGGGACGAAAATACAGGTGCAACCTGGGTGCTTTCGTGTGCACTGCGAGAAACGCTTTGGAGACAAATTGAAACATGCACTGTACAAAAATATCTCCAATTACTCATCTACCTCAAGCGTGTTGGTGGACAGAACCTTCGAGAACCACTTGAGCGAACTCTTTGGTGTCCGCTTCATGGTGTTGTAGTCCACGTGGACGAGTCCGAAACGCTTGCTGTACCCGTAGGCCCACTCTGCAGACAATGGGAAAACGCAACAGTCGTCGATGAGGATTATTGAAAAGCACCTTGCCAATTCATGCGCACATCCGAAAGCAGAGGGAACGTTTGCCACGCTTTTCTTGGCATCCCTACCCCATTGCTTGTGATAATCGCACTTACCGAAATTGTCCATGAAGCTCCACGCGTAGTACTTTGTTGGTGAACATGTCGCCAAGTTGACACATGGAAACCGTCAACGAGGAAGAGCGACGGGACGGGTATTTTCGAAGTTTCATGGCAAAGCATTGCGGTTTCAGGAGATGCATGTACTCGTGTTTGAGGGAAAAACATTAAGCCGGCAAAGAGATATGTAGCGGTCTGCACGCAGCTTACCGCACGAACGTCAGCACCAAGCTGAATCGCAGCATGCATTTCTTTGAGGTAGCCTTCGTAATACACGATCCGTGCCTTGTCGTCCACCGCCAAGTCCACGGTCGGCTCGTTGACCGCAGCACCATTCTCCGTCACTTGGATGCCACCCTCAGGGCTGCAATCGACAATGGTCAGGTCAGGTCCGCGACGGGGGGACAGATGTTGAAGTTTGTAAACGGACCAAATGTCACCACACTTCAGTCACATGTGCTCTCGTGAACTTCCTCAAGCGATCCGCGCAAAGCTCAGACAAAGTGATAGCGCACCCACCTGTAGCGCGCTTGAATCCAGAGCAGCAGCTTACGAAAACCCCACGGTACAATTGGCCAGCCCATGTCCGTTTTCGCCCATGACGGATCTGTAGAGCCACGGACGGCCATGTCGCCCCAAAAGCCGCCTGTGTTTACCGTTCCCCAGTGGGAGACATAGTGACCCGGGCCTGAATCATCCTCTGCATAGTCCGTGCTGTCTGACAGACAGCAAGGCAAGGAGAAAAAATCGAATCAACATCAAATATGAGAGGATCATGGGGGATCTGATACCAGGAGGATACTCTGGCACACACATTGTCGATGGTTCGTATGGCAACCCTTTCAGTAAGCGCGCGGTTGCCGAACAGCCGCGAACAGTGTTTTCGGGTCTAATCATGTGGTCGAAAACAGACTCGTCCAAAGCGACTTCTTACAGTGGTTGAGTCCAAAAAAGTCGGAGCTTCCCTTCAGGAGCGCTTTCTCGTCTGCGGTGAACTCCGGCAGTCGATCTCCACATCGATTCCTCATCACCTCCGGCTGATCCAAACGAAAGGTGCACGAGCAGGGTTCGGGAGTAATGACTAACGACGGCAGCCACGAACAACAAACACGCAGCCCCGCTGATTGGCGCCGATTTCGAAAAAATTGCAGGCGGACGCTTGGTCGCGGAAAATGCTGTTCCCTACATTTCCTGCAGAGTTCCAGCTTACTTATCGAAGGACCTCAAAACTGGTAACAGGCTCTTACGTAGTCGCCTTTGTAGACTGGGTCTGCAAACCACCCCAAGTTCCATAGGACCGACCGCTCCGCAGCCTCGGCGTTCAGCTTTGCCGTTTCTGGATCATCCGAAGGCTTGGGTTCCGTCCAGTTGCAGTTGAGGGTTACGCCGATGACCCCGTTCTGAGCGGTCCGAAACTTCTTGCGGTAAATTTCCACCGCGCGAGCATGTCCAAGCAGCATATGGTGACCCGCTCTGTAGACCTTGACGGCATCCGAAGATGTACACCCTGGTGCCATTTCTCCGTTGCCGTAGCCCAACACCGCGGCACACCTTCTCCAAGCACATTTACAGTCAATTAGGCCACATCGTCAGCACGTACCGGTCGCATCGCGTAAAGGTACAAGCCTAGTCCACCAAAGACCGAGCCTGTTGTGAGCTCTCCGCTGTTACCTTGACAACTTTCATCAGGTTAGATCACCCCACCTCATGACTGCCGGCGTGGGCAGCATGAACACACCCGAAGCCAAACAACCCTACGCCGCCCAGATGCACAAAAGGAAAGGTGCAAGCACAATGCACTGTGGATACAGCGTGAACATGGGAGGGCGGAGTGCGTAACGACGTTAACACGGATCCAAGAGGCTTGTCAAATTCCATGTGTTTTGTGGCTTGGAGAAAGCCTTGGGTACCAAATCAAGTCAAGCGACAACAAAGTTCACCATGGCTCGTTGAAAGTCAGCCAGCTCTTGACTCGATCGCCGAACCGCTCGAAGCATACTTCAGCGTACTCCAGAAAACGTTCAACGGTGATGTAGTTCTGCCACCCACCGTGCTCCATTTCCAACTCGAGCGGCAGGTCCCAATGATAGAGCGTGACCTGTTTTCCGAAGAACGGTTTGAGAAGCTTTCAAGTGTCCACAATGTTTCCCAATGGGCAGTGGGGGCAAACAGAACTGTGATCACGACGTCAGCTAATGGAGTGAGAGCACACTTTCTTGGAATAACTATTCCAAAAACCATGTCAGGCAATACCTTCTGCCGTACTCTCTACTTGGCAGTCTTCGAGGACGTCGTCGAACGGGGTCAAGCCTTGTGTAACATATCTGGTAGGCACCACGTCGATATCGTGGGTACTTCACAGCTCTGCATCGTGCGTACGGAAAGTTCAGGTTGGTCACGAGAGCGGTGGTCGTCGTACTCTACTGGTCCAGGCCTGCACCGTGAACGATCGCGTTCGTTCAACGTCGGGACTACCGGTTATCTCAAGCGATTCCGGTTTGTGTTTCTCTTGCTCACACACGGGGTGATGCCGGCGTCGAGGAGACAGTCGATTAATCCGTTGTAAAAGGCAATCCCTTCTTCGTTTGCCGGTCCTTGTCCCCCGGGGAAAATCCTTGGCATGGCGATCGAGAGCCTGTAGTTCTTCAGCCCCATGTCCTGAGGCCCACATTGTTGCATAGCGAGGGAGAAAAGGATACTGAAAAAAATGCAGGGGCCGGTAGGTCCACATGTTGCCAATGCAGTCAAAGGGCGCAACAGTCCATCAATAACAACCACGGCGGTGACTGCGCATCGTACAGGCCACACGTGTGGTCGTCGGTTTCAAATAACACAGGTTGTTCCTTTGATTGACTGCCACAAAACCACGGAAGACGTCCGCGTCAGTCGGGCCGGTACGAACGCTACAAACTGCTGAGCAAAGGTCAGAATGGTTGTTAATGTGAAGACAACAACAACATCAAGCGCAAACAATGGGAACCGTAATTTTGACAATTCAACAGACCGCGGCTTTTTGTGCCAACAAGAATAATTGCGAGAGAACCTCAGTCGCTTGCCTTCATTATTTTCACATCTTCCTTGTACAAGGTGAAATGGTCACACGCCAAATCGCCGTTATCGCCGTTGACCACGCGCCCTTCGGTTTTGCAGAAAGCATCCCATATGCAAGGTGCGCGCCCTGGACAAAGAGTTAACGCAAAGAAGGAAGTCAGCGACATCGGGTTGCAGCCCAACAGGTATTCATTCATTGAGGAGCCTGTTCATCAAGAGGCGCGGACTTGTAGGTGAAATCATACCGAGGTCGTGCATGCGCGTTAAAAATCTTGTGTGCAAGCAAATCTCGCAGGAAATTATACAAGTCACAACACGGGTTTTGTTTATTGGGCCCAATTGAAGGGGTTTGTTCACCCGTGTATCCTCGAGTATTCAAACGTCCTGCAAGCTTGTAGCACGAGTTTGGTACAGATCGCAATTGTAGCAGTCAGCAACATGCCACGGTCTACCCGTCAGGCTGCCTGCCTTTCTACAACTTCCGGCCAAGCGACACCCCTGCACATACAAGGTGCGTTTTTTGGCGACAACACGCTTCCGTTGACGCCGGGGTGGTGAATTATTCGCCCCCCTGAATCTCAAAGCACTCTTTCACGTTTTTACGGACATTGGACATACTCTATTTTGAGACAAAAAAACTTGAGTGTTCTTGAAGCCGGGTCGACTGCACCTGAACCCCCCCCCTCCCCCCCCCGCTCTCACCCTTTCTCCATCACAAAGAGAGGATTTGTGCCCACGACTCAGATTGGGAGGACGCGACCTCGTTGATCTTACTGCAAGTAAGAACACCGCTAGCCTTATTACAGCCACATGTATTTAGTATGCAGCCCCACCTGCAGCAGTTCGAGCAAGGCTCAAAGCCTTACTCTGTCTCTAAGCTGCTGCTGCTGCTGCTGCTGCTATACGGTACACGTAGATTCAGCGTAGGTATTGCGGGCGGTTCAATATCTTGGCCAGCATACAATGATGATAGATGATGTATGCAATGCATATGAACACATGATACAAGGCAAGGCACGAATGTTTCTATATTGTGATATCTGAGCCTGTGATTATTGTGCAATTTACTGCAACTACAGCAGCAGTGTACAAGGACTGCGTTTATGTTATTTTCTTACGAGAGCATGACGAATCCACAAATAGATAAGAGTCCGGGATACTATGCGCATTGTAGCAATGATACCAAACCGTGGTCGGCATCCGTAGAGCAACGACCAAGAGTTGAACATGTTCTCATGTAAACTTTACTTCCTGCAGCAGCAGCATCAGCAGCGCCGTGTTCAGTAAACAAATGGCACACATCTCACCACCCTTTCCGCCCTCGATCTGGTAAGACGCAGTAGCAGTACCCCAATTAAACCCTTCCGGGAAACGATATGCCTTCATGCCCGCAGCAATTCCCAATGGCAATGGCAGCGAACGGAATGTTGTATAAATGTATAAATGACTTCGGCGATACCTGCACCTGCACGCGTCCGGAAAAAAGGAAAAAACTCAGACAGAGGGGGCAGGGGACAATTTACCCCTGTCCCCGCTTTCATTTTTTCCCCTCTTGTCTTGACGAGGTTTTGTCTCCTCGTGGTAGCCTATCTCGCTGTATGTACTCGACACAAACTCGACACGGCAAGCGTGAACATCACAGGAGGATGGATAGAGTGAGGTGCGTCTAGTGCGGGTTGTGTCACCTTGCTTTGGGGATGAAGGACGAAATTACGCGCGGGTGAAGGCAGTCGGTCTCGAGTTAGGGGTGGTGTTGAAGAGGAGCGGCAGGACCGCACACCCAGAGCACAAGCCCATGAGAGTTACTGCACTTGCGCAGCGCAGGGAGGACTGGCTCGCACAATCGCGCTGCCTCGTGTTTGGTGTTGGCGGTACTGCCCCTTCCTTCTGCTATTCCCCAGACTCATGGTCCATCAACGCATCATCTCTCTTGAACTTGCGCTCCCACGTGTTTCGTGCTCCTGTGACGCATGAAGGGTTATCGCTGCCCTGGCGGCGTCGGCATCAGTTGCCAACGGCTTCGCATTCGCACCGTCCGTGCGATGCGCGGGGAACGTCCGACCTGGTGCGTCATGGGTTGGAGAGGCACAATCTGCACGGTCGCGGGTAGCGCCATGCCGGGTGATGACGGAGGTGGATGAGGTGGTTGGGACGGAAACGGAGGGTGACTTGGATGGGGACGTGTCTTTTGTGGAGCCTCCCAACCGGTTCGACAAGATCAAGGCGCAGTACAAGGGTGTGACGACCGCCTTAGATCTGTCGGAGGAGACAGCAGCATACGAAGACTTCCAGACGCTTCTCACAGACAACAAGGTAAGAGAGAGAGAGCAAGCTCGATATTCGGCTCGTTGCTGAAATATTCATCGTCGTCGGCACACATGTTACCCACGCCCCATATTTGCCCCTATATTGGTGTATGCATACAAATCGGTCCGAACCAAGCACACACACTTCTACCAGTCTTTTACAGAGAGGTGAATGCAAGTACCAAGCACAAAGTTGTGCAACCGAGACATAACCGCTCGAGAGGTCAAGCACTGCTGTAACGCAGTCGCACATTTTACATTGCAGTTGTGGCCGCGACCGCAGCAGTAGTTCTTCGAGGGCAAAAACTGCGTGTCTGTGCCCTAGTATACGTCGCCTAAGAGGGTAATCTGTGCCACATTCTCTGCAACAACCCAGGCCGTTTATGTACATGTGGCCCAGCAAAACGAATCCGCGTGTTATGATGTGGTGCTCTTCTATGCGTACCAACTAAAGAGTGGCTCACACCTTTCCTCTTCCACGAGCGTTTCGAGGAATCAAACAACTTTGGAGCGCTTGCGCGATTCTGGGGAAAGAGAGAGCGTCTCCACCGTTTCTAAAAATGCCTGTGAAATACTTATCTAGTAACATTCATGACCTGTTGACATTTGCACAGGTCAGCTTTGAGAGAGGAGAAATCGTCAAGGGGACCGTTATCCAATTCGAACCATCGGGGGCTCTGATTGACATCGGGGCGAAGGCAACAGCGTACATGCCCGCGCGCGAGGTAATCCTTCCTGCAAAATGTCAATGTTCCTTCTGTCCCCCATCGGAGAGCACCAAAGATCGCAGTTTGACATTACGTCGGCCGCACTTTGGCAAACAGTCTAAAACAGCAGAGTAGTAGACCGGTAGAGTAGAAATCTTGATTTCATCTTACCTCACTGCGTTGTTATCCTTAGTCATTCACCATGTGTAGTCGGGTTCCTTATACGTGAGGACAGATGAACGCGCGAGTGTTTAACATGTTGAAAGCCATATTCCCCTGCGCATATGGAGCCACGGTTTTGCGGGTGTAGCCCTGTCTGCCTTGACTTTTTTTTCGCCTTCTATGTACTTCATACTGCCATGAACACTGCGTTTAATACGGCATCAATGATGAAGAATCTGTTCGCAGTCCTGCGTACCTACCTTCTGGTTTGGTCCCCATAGCTATGGAGCCCAATCCAGCGTGAGAGAAATGTTCGTCTGTGTGCATGCCTTCATTTTTTTATTTTGACGTGAGAAGGGTTCGCATCCCCCCCCTTCATGTCTAACCAAGAACTAATGCTTTCTACTACACGTACAAGGCACGTGATGCGGGAAAATATACCTCTTGGAGTAGTCTTTTAATGTGATCGATTCAGTGATCTTGTCTCTGTTCTCGATGTGGTGATCTCAAGGCGAGCCTGGATGAAGTGGAGTCGATGGAGGGGCTTCTGGAACTGGACGAGACGATGGACGTGATGATCATCTCGGACGAGAATGAAATGGGGCAGGTACTTCAATCACGCGATCTACTTTGCAACTTAGTCCGACCAAAAGAAAATAGTAGTCGTTATGTCTTATGATGCGCGCAAAATAGTTTCGTGTTTGTCCCTTGCGAAACAATCCAATGGTCCTCTCGCCGTTGCCACGATGTTCGTTGGATTGTGTTGGCCATATCTGCCCGCGTTTCTCATATGCATACCTCGTATATGTATATGACTTCGGTGTTTGTGCCAACAGGTTTTTGTTATGCTGACAACGTTAACTTCAATATTCGCTGGGCCACAAAGTAGCGGACATGTTTCAACGGTTGACACCCCGTTTTGTTTCGTTTTTCTTCCCCGCCCCTCCCGTGTACCTGGTATGCAACAGGTTCAGGTTTCTATCCGCCGAATCCAGTACGAGAAGGCGTGGTCGAAGGTGGAAGATATGCAGGCTGAGGACGTGGTGTTCGAGGGTCCGATCATCGCTGTCAACCGCGGTGGAGCCATCGTTCTCGTTGAGGTGTGTAGGAAGTAGTTCGTCAGTGCTTCTGCTCCCTAATGGGTTGCGCGACCGCAGCTTGCCTACGAGCAATCATGAACCTCGATTGCGTTTGAACACAGGTGCGACCGGCACGGAAAGGGATTGAACCACAGCCGCAGCCGTTTCATCTCCTCATGTCTTGTTTGCTCTTGCCCGCTCTCCGTTCCTCGTTCCTCATGACAGGGGCTCCGCGGCTTCTTGCCCGGATCACACATGTGCGGTGGGCTCCCGACCGAAGATGCGGTTGGAAAGGTCATGAAGTACAAGTTCCTTGAGGTGAGTGCAGCCTGTTTGAAGAATTCTACCTACCTTGCCTTCGCGAATGCGTACTTGTTGCTCTACCATTTCGAAGGACGCGACCTCGTTGATCTGCGCGGGCTAATCGTCACATCTTTTATCGGTCCCCTGGATGCCTTTGGGCAATGCCGTTTGTTCCGCAAGGTTAACGCGGAGAACAGCAAGCTGGTAGTGTCTAATCGCCGTGCGGTACTGGAGCAGGAGATGAAGGAGCTCTCTCGCGGAGACGTCGTGGAGGGGTGAGGAATCACAATAACACATGGCCACAATGAGAGAACGCCTCTCTGTTGTAAATGTGCCCAAACTTGTCTGACGCCGATCAGAAATTGCAGTTTTCAAGGACGACTATGTCCCCCGAGTCTCGGCCCGTTTTCCTGGATGATCTTTCGAGACATTTTCTGGACATGAAAGCAGTCCGCCGGCGAAATGGCCAAGATTGTCAATAATCTTCTTGCGTCTACCCCTTTTTCTTGAGGTTGAGGTCGCTCTCCCTTTGATCACAACAGCAGCGTCGTTGCAACCGTCTTTTTTGGTCATCCACAATCGCGCACTCTCGCGAACGTCACTCTTCTACGTTTATCGTCTTTGCCACAACTGCTGTCTTGGAAACATTCCTCTCTTTCCCTACCCTTCGTCGTTCCTTCCCTGCAACAGTCACGTGAAGGCCATCAAGCCGTACGGAGCTTTCGTGGAGATCCGTGGCATGTCTGGGCTGCTGCACATCTCGCAGATCTCGTTCGACCGCATCGAGGACCTCCCATCCATCATGCAGATGGGCATGAAGCTCAAGTGCATGATCATCGACCACGACAAGGTGAGGCGAAAACTAAAAAAAACTCGTCGCCCCCGTCTTGAAAACGGCGCAAGCTGCACCTTGCGAAGGGCTTGAGAGTGCGGCACAACCGCCGCAGAATGCAGTTGCGAGTGCGAGCATCTCTGGTCTACGTTGGCATCGTGTGCATGACTGGAGGCACTGACTATTGCGCCCCCTCTTACGCATGTAGGTGAACGGACGTATCGCACTCAGCACCAAGACCTTGGAGCCCGAGCCCGGAGACATGATCAAGAACCCCCAGAAGGTGTACGACATGGCCGAGGTGAGAGACGCGGCGTTCAAGGGTGTATGGTTTTGGTAGCCTTGTTGTTCGTGTGCGCATTTTGTGCATCCCAATCGTCTCTCTCTGTGGGTGGAAGATGGCCGAGGAGTCTGTCTGCCAAGAGAAACACCAAGCAAACGCGTTGACACTGCTGTATGGCTCATGTTCGCCATAAGAGGCAAGATCGGAACCAATTATAAGCAATGTTGATAATGCTGATGAAAAGGGCCAGGCTGCCGACCCCAATGACAATTTGGAATCCTGGAACGTTTTGTGATCCTAACGGAGGCGCCTCTATCGGTACTTGTTGCGGCCCCACACTCCCATATGCGTTCGTCTTCGGTGACGCCCCAATCAATCTCCCATTTTTCCCAGGCGACCGCTGCCAAGTACCACCAGCGAATGGAGCACGAGCGCAAAGCCCGCGAGGATGCCGCCAAGAGCATCGTCATGGGATTGGGTGACGGACTCGACTCTTTCGACTCCGATGTTCTGGCGGGCATCGCTGACGGGATCGAATCCGTGCTTCGCGCCCCTATCGGGGAAGGCGACAACAGCAGCGAGGCATAATGAAGAAGGCGTGTGCAGCAGTGCCTTACATCCGCATGGCGGTTCGGTGACTTGTCTTTTTCCATCAGTGCTGCAGCACAAACGTTTGATCAAACCCGTGTTTTACTTTTTGTAAGAAGTTCAAGTCTCGAGGCCGTTCACCTAGCCAAGTACATGAGATGGTAACCTGTGTTGAATTTCTTTTGGCTTTTAGAGGTTATACGCAGTGAACACATTTTTTGTCGTTGAAAATAACAGGTAACTTTTCATGAAGGACATCGCCGCAAGACCTTGCGCGTGTATGATGGGTGTTTGTTTTGTAGCCCCATTCTAAACGTCAGACCTTGCGGCGTGACAAGGACCAGAATAATCTCTGGCGCACAGCAGTGGCGCTCTTTTTCAGTGATTTGGCCAAGCGGAAGAAACAGTCAGGGCGGGAGCTGGGGGGGCGTGTCTAAGTAAGTGGACGAGCTTGCAACTTCGCCCACCATGTACCCCAAATCCAGAACATTCTCTCAGATGCTTGTGTGAAGATGTGGCTTGAGTTGGTGCTGCCTAGATGCTTTGGAGAACGCGAGTCTTAGTCTTCGCTCGTGCTGCACGCACTTCCTCAACTGGAGCCAACACGAGAGCAGGGTACACGGAATTGAAAATATTGCAAGAAGGAGAAAATACCAAAGACCCCGCATCAACCGCAACAAGTACGGTTTTCGACTAGGCCTATTCTGAAACGCAGATATGCGTCATGTTCCACTTAATTACTGAAATAGTTGAAAAAACCTAAACCCTCATGACGACCTTTCGTGCCACCACGGCTACAGCACACACAACGCCTGCGACGAAAAGTGCTTTGGTCACAGTTGCCTCCCTCTTCACTCCTCGCAAGATTTCCCCGTACGACATCTTGTTCCCGCTGATGGCCATAAGTGAAGGGGGTGTGAAAACCTGTACGTCGGGAGGATGCACACCATGCCGCCAATGAGGGCAGAAGAAAAGAGGGGACACCAACGGAAACGGTTTGAATTGAGTGAGTACGAGGCCCGCGAGCAACAAAGCCGAGTGAGCAGGTGTCCTCTATGCCGTTGTTTCGCAAGAAACTGGTAAACCCGTAGTGCAGGCAGTCCGATGTGACCTGGGGGGAAAAAATCTGCTCTTACCATCAAGAACAGTGTGGGTGAGGTTTGAGGCGCCCGAAAAAAGCTCAAGACTAAACCGCGAAACTACTGCTGTTCAAGGCGCGACAAAAGAAAAAGTCCGCGTGGAAAATCGGTCAAATTTGGCGTCATTCCTTTCACAGATTTCGCGAAGCGCTTGTTTGCCAGTACACTTTAGGGAGAGAGTGCTGACTGGTCTATCAGTCAGTGCTGTCAAATGGATGCATGGCGAAGGAATTATCCTGTGTGAACCAGCCCCAATGTAGCTTTTCGGTAAGAGAAGCACCATACGGTTGTGGAAACTGCGAGAAACGATTGATGAATGGGGTGACGAACTAAACTATCTGTACTGTGTGAGACAGAGGGCGCTCAGGCACAAAACAACTAGGCAACAAGAAGACATGGTCTTCCGTCGTGTTCTTTTTATTATTCCTTAAGAACATGAACCTCACAATGTTCAAGTCAACGAACTTTTGGTCACAATACTCCCTGTCGATATTTTGCAACAGGTGCTTGGTCTGCGGTGGCAATTAAGGGGCGAGGGTTAGCAACAGTGACCGTCTGAATGTGACCATTTCTGTGTCCTACAAAAAAGTGGGGGGGGAGGAATTGCTCACCTTCGGAGCCAAAAGACCAAGGGTCTTGTTGAGGAGAACCGTCATGAGTAGCTGAGCTGCGAAGGCAGGCCGCATGGACCTAGCACCCCCCATCCCTTCTTCGCTCAGTTCGCACACGGCTACGGCATCCTCGAACCTCCGCTCGTTGTAGGCCTCGAGGACTTTGGGCACGTCGACCGCTTGTCCCACCGCCTTACCCTCCGTTGCGGAATCCAAGACTTGAGCGAAGACTTGGCAGTCCTCTGGCAAGAGGTAACGAAGGAAAGTCGATGAGACCGGTGAAGAGGGGGGGCGTCTGCTTTTTGCCGTGACACATGCATACAGCGGAGCATACTGCTATGCAAACAAGAACGCGATGTTATTTGCTAGGGTATATCGTGATGTATTGAGATGGGCAATGCCGGTCAAGGACCAATCAATCAAATTCTTGGCACGCGGCCGGTCTTTGTGACTCTCCATGCCTGACAATGAGGAAAGCCAGGGCGCAAATGTTATGGCATTGGTCGAGTCGTGGGGGCCGATTTCGTCTTGGGAACGGAAATCTGAACATAAAACTAGATTTTCACGCAAAAGTTCCACAGCTTTCACAGAAACGGTGGGAGGGTGGAATCGAATCCACAGCTGGTTGCAGGTCTGGGACGACGCCAATGTGTTCGAAATATACCAAAGGTATTGCAAAGAGACACACCGTGGTTACAATTGCGTCACAAAATGACAAACGGATGATTAGGCCTTTCCAAAGAGCGAAGAGTTATGAACAGACCAATGCATAAATAATCCACGAAGTTGTATACTGTTTGAAGTAATGGATTGACCACAATCTTTGTGCGCGAGATAACGTGAACAAGTGGAGGTAAGCTGCCGAGGCGAGAACGACAAGTCAATGCTGCTCACCCAAGGCTGCGTTAACTCCTTGGCCAAGAGACGCCCACATGGAATGCGCTGCATCGCCAATCAAGAAGATGCTTCCATGCGCCAAACGTGAGCAGTAGGTAGACCGGAGCTGCTGAGTCCTGCGCATTGATGTGAGGGGACCGGGAGCTACAGTAAAGCGGCGTATGCCGGACAAAAGCACACGTTGCACAGGGAAGCCGATCGACGCAGTTGCTACCACGTGTTCGGCCGAATGAGTTGTACCTAACCAATGATGAGCAAGGATATTCTATTTTGAGCTAACCAAATTCTTCTCATACTGTATTCGCCTCGTACACAATACACAAGTGCAGTAGTGGACGCACTCGCTGCAATCCTCACCGTCGCTCAAGGAACTCCTTAGCAACCTCTTCGCTTGGTCCTTCGTGCCCGAAGGCGCTGGGGTAGTAGTGTCCGAAGAAGTCACGCACGTCCTGCGTCGTCTTCATGAGCGCATCGAACGAAGTCTTGCCTTCGCTAGGTAGAACCACCGTGGCAGTGAGCATTCCATCTGCAAAAAAAAAGGCACCGAGACGAAAAATAAAATGGGCAGGTCAGTTGATTCAGTGTAGGGCCAGCGCGGAGAAGGTCGACTAAGGCGACTTAAAACCGGTTAGTTGATCGTGAACGGCCAACCCACTCCATATACCTGAACGCGGAGGGGCGATAATGCACCCGATGTCCGAGTTGGTCACGTGAAAGCGCTTCTTCCAACCCTCGTCTGCTCCTTCCATATTCATGATCGGAATTAAGATCGTCTTGAAGGCCATGGGATCCTGTGCATACGCATGTCAGGGTGGGCGGTTTACGAATAGCATGCCGTGGAACCTGGCGGATGCAGCTGGAGATGTGATTTTACAACTGGAGATGTATTTTTACAACTGTGTTTTCACCAGTAGTAGCCGCACATGGTACGAGACGAATGGCCCAAATGTTTCCCTCAGTATTGAATCAGAACCTATCAAGCAACCGTACGACCACCGTCCGCATGCAACTCGACTTGCCAATACAAGACGTAGAAATCAATTGCAATGTTTCCCCGACAGACAGGTACTTGGAAAGCTCAACGACATGACCTCGCGCTGTCGGACGGTGAAGTCGGGCACGTTTTCCTCAAGTTCTTTCCGCACGCGGCTGTTGACCCCATCCGCACCAATGAGCATGTCATATTCGCTTTCCACGACGTCACCATTTCCACGTTCGAACGTGGCGACCCTGTTCGCGATGGTGGTAAACGATTGATGTGTGTCAAACGGTGTGTGTGCGACAAAAGTGGTGCATTAGCGATTCTTTCTGCACGGATGGTCCACCCTCTAACCCATGCACCTGCCAAGCGGGCAAAAAATATGTACCTTTGGATAGCGCGTTTGATTGCATGCCAATGACAAGGCTCAACTCAGACAATTTCTCTCGTTTGGGGCGGCACCTCAGTCACCTCTGTTCCATGTCGACCTTTGAGAACGTACATCCGAAATGGACGTTAACGTTCGGCACCTTGCTGGCCTTATTCAGCAACGCCTTCGCAAAATCTCCACGGCAGATGCTTAACGAATCCAAGAAGAACTTCGAGGTCTTCTCTTTCTTGTGATGGCGCAGGGATCCGGCCAGTGTTAACAATCGCTCGCCCGCCTGAGATTCAACAGAACAAGCAAACGTGGATGGATACCGATGGATTTGCTCCAAGCGCGATGTTGACGCTGAGCCCGGAGAGGCACTTGCTTACTGCTTTGCTTTGGTTGGGTGCACCACTACCCCTCGTCTACAGGTGCGCGCCTTTGATTCTACGACCCTACAGTCACTTGCACAGACTGACGGGGGGGAGGAGCACCTACCGTGCACATTTGTTCCTTTCCACCTGTGCTGGGCGTCCCAACATACACCATGCAGTAGATATTCGGTCGGAACTTTACTAGAGGCAGACCAGTTTGATTTCACCGTAGCCCCGGTAGTCGTGGTTTAACTATTTAGTAGCAGGTTGAAGTTCGATTTTCTCTCTGGTGTGAAGAAAAAATGCAATCTGCGGTTGAAAACATTTAATTTACACATCTCGACTTCGCTGTCGACGAGGGAAAGGCAAGGCTGAACCCTTCGTAGTGTAGGTAGCCGGCATCAGGAGGGCATTTAAAAAAATGAAAACGAAACAACAGGTCCTGTGTCACCTTCCTCCTGTGTAACCCCGGTTGCCACGTCGTCGTATGCGGCAAGTTTTTTTTGTCAACAAGCGAGGACCGACTGGCTGAAAAAAATGCGCATCCATTGAAGTTGTCCAACCACCTACTTATTTTTGCATACCAGTGAAAGACCTAGACACGATCTTCCATGCTTGAAGGTGGACATCAGACCCGCTTGGGCCGAGTACTTGTATGAGAGCTCGATCTCTCCATAGGAGAGGAGGTGCCGGTGCAGCAGAGGGCGATGTTGGGAGGATCTCACAGAGAGCTTTCCAACCTCTTGGAAATAAAGCTTTGAGAATCGGCTAGGGGTTCGGTCGGATATGTACCGCCAAATACAGGTACTGCTGGTGTTTATAAGAGGTTGCTGACTACAGCAGTACAGTTTGATATTGTCTTAGGTGAACTACGAATATAGGGTCACGGGTTCGATTCCCCCGTATGCACACAATCGTGGGCATTTCCGGCCCCAGGAAAACTGGGAACCAAGCGGTAGCTAGCACGCTTTCAGACTTGTACGGGGAATTAAATGAAAGAACGATATTATTTTCACCATCCCCGGAGACTTGGTAACATCGGACCCCCTCAAAGCCTCCTCTTATCCTTGGACTACTGAGCGAGGTGTAAATTAGCCTGACACTAACACTAATTTTCATAGGATACTTCCTGGTTGAAGTTATGCAACTATCACTTGGGTCGTCTGCAAGCAACTACGGATGAGTATACATCGATCATAGGGTTTGCATTATCTAGGAGTCTAGCCCAAGCCTTTGTGTACCATATGGACTCATTCATGGTTGGTCGTCTGTCACGGACTTGTCAACAACCGCAGTCTCGCAGTCCGTATGTCAGTATCACGGCGTGTACTGTTTCATGTATATAACGACAACGAGAGCTGCACGGCAGACCTTGACACATTTTAATTCCATCCATCGCACCTCTTTCTGCAGATCCACACCGCCTGCTTTCAAGGCATCGGAGCCGCGATCAAACAGCACAACGTTCCATGACCGTACGGTCGGGCCCCCGATTATATTCTCGTCAAAAGCTTCAAATAGATCAACCTTGAATCCGCGATCCTGGGAGAGGTACAGGGCCATTAGCGCGCCTGCAGGTCCTCCTCCCACAATGACAGCTCGTTGTTTTGAGCCTGCCGGCTGGTTGGAACTTGAAGCCATGCTGAGCTGGTGCCTGGTGTTCATCTTGGTGTTTGTAGAAAGAGCCGGCGACAAGAAGGCACGCGAAGTTGCGGCGCATATGAGCATCAACATCAGTCGGAGGGGCCCGCCCATGCTGAAAGGCTGAGACCTCATCATGTTCTTTTGGGTTGTGCCGTTGTGCCACAATTCAACTTCTGCAGGCTTGCTTACCCACACCATATGGTTGCTTCCGGGGTGCTACACACTGCTAGCCGGTAGCAGGGTTAGGGCATACACCAGCCCCGCGCAATCGTCTCGTGCGTAGTTGGTGCGTGAGCTTACCTTGCTGCCGCTATTGCTGGTCGATGTGCAGCGGGATCCAGCGATCCGATTGGCAAAAAGCGACAGGACAGCGGGACAATTACGAAGGACCCAGTAGCCAGGTAGCAAGGGCGACAGGACAGAGCACCGCACCTTACTACTATATATCACTACGCGAAACAGCAACGCAGCATGTCAGTGTTTTGGAAACCAGGCACTTCTGGTCCTGGAGGGCTTGAACGTGGAGACGGGTCGGAGTCGCTTCACATCGTGGATCCCAAGCTCTCGAAGTTGCCCTTGCAAACTCAACGACATGCCCTACCCATTTATCGACATCGCAACAGCGTCTTGTTCGCCGTCCAGAAACACCGAGCTATCGTGCTCGTCGGCGAGACGGGATGCGGTAAAACCACACAGGTTAGACCACACAAGGGGATGCACAGTAACGGAACGTGTTCATGGTTTGGCAACCGGACCAACTACGAATTGTAGCTGTCACCGATCGATGATGTCCGCGCTGCGCAAGGTCTGTTGCTCTGTACCACGCTATACACTGCTGCCTGTTCCATAGTGGAACACCAAGAGGTAGCTCGTAGGCGGATACTGTCCGGGCGCTGATTGACCAGTGTACCTCGCCGCTATGTTCGCCAATAGAACCATCGTCACGGTTGTCTGTGTTGACATCGGTTTGTCTGTGTTGATATAGATAGATACATTCCATCACAGCTGAGACGGTCGTTTTGCGCCGCCGTGTCTTGGACCGGCGGTGGAGGCTCGGGCGTCGGCCGCGAACGGTGCGGATGAGCTTAAAGAGGTAGCGACCGTGCGGTTTCAGCTTGGATTCGTTATATTTGATAACAGCCTCCCTTTCCTTTCTCTGTAAGTGTCGACTACCGGGGCTAAAACCGCTTTGGTAGTCTTTTGCTTGTCCAGACGAAGTCGGCGAAAAAGTGAACAGCAGCGACTTGAGGGCTCCAGAGTGGTTTATGCCACAGCACACGGCGCCCCGTGTAATGCACAAAACCGAATCTGTCTAACGATACCTGTACGCAGATCCCACAATACCTGCATGAGGCGGGGTGGACAGCCGGGAATCGCGCTGTTGTCTGTACCCAACCACGACGGGTGGCGGCTTTCACCGTGGCAACTCGCGTGGCAGAGGAAATGGGGTCGCGCTTAGGGGAAACAGTGGGATACTCTGTTCGTTTCGACTCAAGGTACCAGAGTTCGTATAGCGTTTCGTTAAGCCTCGATCTTGGTGCTTATATTCCCCTACGTGCTCTAAGCTCAGGACCATCGGCCGGTTTGTATTAGCGACATTTTTTTTACCCAGTTTGGCCGTGTGGGAGTCCCACAGCCCTTCTTGCATGTTTATTTCAAAACGGAGGGCAATTCCATCTCTGAAGTTCAAAACAATTGCCTCGCTCGAGAAGAATTGAACAACGCACATTCTAGTTGAAAAGAAAACAGGCGAGCGTGTTAAAAGGTTTGAAGATGAAAATATCACGTGCTCAAACCGCCATCCGAACGGTGTACCACGCGTATCTACACCAAGACAGTGTCGCTGTGCCATCTTGGGTGTCGTTTGCAGGGTCGGTCCGGCGACCAAAGTCAAGTTCTGCACGGACGGAATGTTGTTGAGAGAGATGATGCTGGACCCGCTGCTGACGGCCTACAGCGTTGTGATGCTCGATGAAGCGCATGAGAGGACAATCTACAACGACATCTTGTTCGGCCTCCTCAAGAAGATCATGCGGAAGAGAAAGGTACGCACAACACCCAATATGTGACCTCCCACGACACCGACCACTACATAGTTGATATGTTGACAATATCACTGAAAGGACAAAGAACTTGCGCTTGTGCCTTTTTGTGATGCGCATGCGGCACAGCCACAGGACAGCAGCATTGTTTCGGTCTACGTGAATCAACTCGCTGCCCTCTGGTCAATAATACAGGAACTTCGCGTCATTGTGGCATCAGCTACTCTGGACGCTGAGCAATTCCGAGATTTCTTCGAGACCAACACGTGAGGGTTGACAATATGATATATTACCTACGGTAGGGCACTTTGTTTTTCTTTCATCGCCGCTGCCACCATCCCCCGTAGGTTCGTGACTTGCAGCAAACGTTCGCAGCTCTTGCATCCCTTGGTGGCGGGCCGGCATGTGATGGCTGCGGAACGTTATCTTACTGTGCTTTTTGCGCTCTGGGTCATGCCCAATGCATCGGACGGCTTGGTTTTGTTGTGCCTGTCCACGCAGGAACAATAACGCCAACGCGAACACCGCGACAATACTGTCGATACAAGGACGCCAGCACCCTGTAGACGTGCTCTATACGGAAAAGCCGGTCTCCAACTACGTCCGGGCCGCCGTAGACGCCGCGCTTGCCGTTCATTCCTCTGAGCCGGTGGGCGATGTGCTGATATTCTTGCCCGGGGCAGAAGAGATCGACGCTGCGGTGGAAATGTTACGGGATCATGCGCCACAATCGGCAACTTCGGGGAAGTGGGGGGGGTGGGGGGGCTCGACGGCAAAGGGGGTTGGAGAGGGAGGTCCGTTGCAAGTGTTACCGTTCTATTCGGCGTTGCCAATAAACACGCAAATGAAGGTGTTCGAGCCCACCAGGCAAGGGGTGCGGCGGATAGTGGTGGCTACTACAATAGCGGAGACTTCCGTCACGATTGACCGTATTCGATACGTCATCGACCCCGGGTTCATCCGACTTCCGTTCTACGACCCAGCTCAAGGGTTCGGGGCGTTGTTGACAACCCTGACTTCGAAGGCATCGGCGAAGCAGCGCGCTGGGCGGGCGGGAAGAGTTTCGCCTGGAAAATGCCTGCGCCTGATGACAGAAGAGGATTACCATGCCCAGCTTCCCGCTCAGACCATTCCAGAGATGCAACGGTCAGACCTCAGCTGGGTTGTGCTGTTGTTGAAGGCCTTGGGCATTGACGACATCCTCCACTTCGAGTTTCTGTCGCCTCCAGCAGCGGAGACGATGATCCGAGCCCTGGAGTTGCTGTACGCTCTAGGGGCCCTTGACGACTCTTGCCGGTTGACCGAGCCCCTCGGGATGACCATGGCCGAGTTCCCTGTGGAACCGTGCTTGGCAAAATTCTTGGCGTCAGCTTGGGATTTCGGCTGTGTTGAGGTGAGGTTCAAAGGTGTCTCGCTCTCCGTATGTTGTTCGTATGACATGTGCACGTCTGAATGATCGCCACACAAGGTAGATGGTGCTACTTAGAGACTTTGGCAGTAGCGTGAACCCTATCAAAAGCTCGACCTCAAAGAAATTACGCGTATTTGGCCTGCGCTGTGTTCTCTCCCCTTTCGGAACAGGACGCCCTTACCGTAGCCGCGATGCTGTCGGTCCAAAATCCGTTTGTCCACCCGCGCGGCGGGGGACGCGAGCGCCGAGAGCGTGTTCGAGAGGCGATGGAGGAGTTCGCCGTGACGGAGGGAGACCACATCACGTACCTCAATGTTTTCAATTCTTTCGACGAAACTGGCAACGATTCTGAGTGGTGCAAGGAGAACTGCCTCAACCATAGGGCCCTGGTTAGGGCGGGAGAAATTCGCCAGCAGCTCTCCAGGTGTGGTGAACGTAATGGTGTTGGGAGGCGACCGTTTTCGGACAATGCTCCCTTCTATCGATCGCCCAACCAGGAATACTATGGCAGTCTTAAGTTGTACTGGTCGGATGGCAAGAAGTTTAGTGTTAAGTAATTGTATTTTGTCTGTTGATTAGGACTTGGCACAAATTCTGTTGCAAACTCTGATCCCCTTGCCGCCGATGCGCAGGTACTGCAAGAAGTTTGCACCTCCTGGGCAGCACGTGTCAAGTTGTGGCGACGACGTCAACGCGTTACGCAGGTGATATCCGGGTGGACGTGTTTTGAGTTTCATTAATTTGACGTGTGCTCGTGCAGTACCAAGAAATGGGTTGATGTTAATATGCTCTATCATTTAACCCCTGTAGGGTCCGCCATTCAAAATAATTCCTTGCGGAAGCTGTCTGAGACAGGTGAGCCGTTGAAAACAGTGGTTGGTGCGTTTGTGCTAATCCTGTTGCGAATGTTCGGCGGCTGACAGGTGCTTGGTTGCCGGCTTCTTCGCCAACGTAGCCAAGCTCTCTCCCGATGGACGGTATCGGACTGTTCGCGACAGCACTGTGGTTGCCATCCACCCGTCTTCGGTCCTAGCGCATTTCGGGTCCCCTCCTGAGTGGATCCTCTTCAACGAGATCAGTAAGACATCGCAGCTGTTCGCGCGAGACGTCAGCGTGGTCGATCCGAGGTAAGTATCTTGGTTTTCCCCCAATAACTAGCTGGAGTGCCCGGCGAGGGTGTTTTCTTTCTTTTTTTGCACAAGTCGTGCGTAGTGGTGGAAAGGACTTGTTCGTGAGTATGCTTGACGAAAGGACTGTTGGAGAGCTCTCTCGTCAAAACTTCTGGGCGTGCACCGCAGAGGAAATCTTCTGTGTAACCGCGGATCGGAGCTCTCCAGTTCGAAGGCGAGGCCGTAGGGTCAGTTAGAACCTGCGAGTGACGGCTATAGTGTTGATGACGAATAAACTCGGACGATTAAAATTTTTGAAATCGTCCTTATCAAGGTTTTTGTGAGTTACGTTTGGGTGCTCCACAGCATGTGGTTCGGTCCTTCAGTCTAATGGTCATTTTGACATGCGTCACGATGCTCGAAATCATCGACAATGGGTAGAGCGCTCGCACCCAAAAGTGTTTACCACGGTCGTGAGAAGTGGCAATCACTTGGTCAGTCACGCGAGATTATCATAATTTGGTCGTGCCTTCTGCCAACGTATGAAATGCCGTTCTGCAGCAACAATAGGCGTTCGCAGCAGATTGAATGTTATTCATCGTCGATACGTCAACGTCAAACCGTCGGGGCTTGATAGTCACTCACATCGATCTCATAGAGTGCGTCGTGGTTGGCTGTGCGGTGATCTAGCCAAGAGCCAGCCAGAAGTGTTGCTCGCGACATGAGCTCTTGTCGCTACTAATCGGTTCCTTTTCTAAGTTGGACAAATATCGACGATTTTTTTCTCAAACAGCTCACGTCGCGTGCGATGCGGGCTCAGTTCAACCCATCAAGTAGTCGATGATGTGGTCGGTGTGGCGCACCTTCTAAATTACGTATTGTACATCCATTTTGAAGCTTGCAAGTCAACATTGTTGACAACATTGTTTCCCTATCATCCCGAGTGTAGGGTTGTTTACCAAAAGTGTAAAGTTTTGTCTACGGCATTTGTTTTGTTGCAGGTGGTTGATTGAGCTCGCGCCGCATTTCTATGAGTTCCGAGGGGCAGGAGGCTCCGGCGGGGCACCGCGGCTTGGCACCAAGAAGCGGCTGGGCCCGGAAAGACCTACTGCTCACAACTTGGAAGAGAGCGATCCACGGCCAACGAAAAGTGTTCGCCTTGGCGATGCAGAGTAGAGGCTACCGCGGAAACTCGATAGTAGACAATGCGGTGTTCTGTGGAAAGGGTTGTATTCAGATCGGCGAGTTAGTTGTACCCAGTTGTACCATTTTCAGGTTGATGCACTTGTGGGTGCACTAGAAATTGTCATGACAGCAAACCCGCTCGCGAAGATAGGGAAAGACTCTCCACAACCTGCGCGAGGGTTGCAGGGAGAAGGCCATCGTCACGTGGACGCCAATCTCTACAACTCCTGTGGTACCGGTTGCGGCTCGCCACGCGCCAACTTCGTTACGATGTTTGAAACCCATAGTTGGCGATCACTTGTGGGCTGTACAACTAGGACGAGATCTGCTCGTTTTTTTTCCTCCTGCAATTGGTCCCAAACAGGCCCATCTACCCGATCAAAGTGGGATTCAGAGGATTCCCTCGATCGGCCATTGGCCACTTTCCTCCCCACAACTCTATCGAAGCAAACGGAGCGCGAAATGTCGAGGAATATTGTGCGGTGTAGAGCGGCGGAGATTTCCTTCCATAGACCTTCTTGATGAAGAAGGTGGAGCCCTGTCAAGTGCCAAGCGGAAACGACAAGAGATGATGTCGTCGGCCCGGAGCGTTGGGAAATGACGTAATGTTTCACTACTATGATCCCTCCTGGCTGGTTGAATTGGAACTACAATACCTCAACTTCAACGGGAAGAAGGCGCGACTCGAACGCCACGACGTGAAAGTGAGCTGAGACAACACAATATCTTGCACTATTTTCCCCGTAGTCCACATCTTCAACCCGTGCATACCTTCGACAAGGACGACACGGCAATCGGGTGCTACCGTCACACTGTCCGGCACGGGGTCGTGAAGGTCTCTGCTATATGCTGGGAGCTTTATGCTCTCCTTGCTCGGGGTACGCAAACGGCCCAGATCTCGCAGGAGCGATGCACAGTCCAATGTCTTCGGGAGACCCTTGATATCCTTGAGGGTGCAAGCACGCCCGAGGTACTCCGTCACTTCTGCGGCAAGGTGCGCGTTGGGATAGCTGTATGCATCCATGCTTACGCATTGAATAGATGAAGCGCCCCAAATGATGCCATATGCTGCGCAGAGTATCTGGGCCAGCGTCGACTTCCCCGCAGCTGCAGATCCGCACAAACCCACCAACACTCGCTCTCCTGTACATTGAGACGAGCGCATGGCGAATGTAACTATCATTCAACCAATGAGAACGAACGACGCGAACTGCTCGTGTGACCCGGTACTACCTTGTGCTGAGGCAGTGGTACGCGACAGTATCAATCCTTTTTTGGTCCATAAGACACAGGCAGCACACTGATACTCGTGCCCACCGCCGGAGACAAATTTAACCCTGGTTGAAGGGCGGGTATTAAGCGGATTGTTTTCAGATCTATTCCGAAAAACTTTGTTAATTGAAAAAATGTTGATCGTTGTGGATGCCTTTGATCATGATGAGTCCCGACAAACATGTAAGGCCTTTGCAACTATGTCAACCTCTTGAAAAGATAGCGCCGAACATAAGTCGTACACCTCACAAGAAACAGAGGATCAGATTCTTGAAAAAAAAAAAATGACGAAAGACATAGGACGCCGGGGCGCTGCCGAGCACCACACTTTAAACCTACTTGGGAAAGACTACGGTAGCATAGCAATAGCCTGTGCTCAATCATCAAGGCCATGAGCCTCGCTAAAGAGCAAGTTTGTGTAGGCATAGCCGATGCAGACTTCTGTTTATTGAAAGCGTCGATTTGCCAGGGGCGTCTTCCTTCCCGTATTTTGGGTTACTAGATTTGGAAGAGGACCGCTTGGAGTGATTACTCTCGGAGAATCGACGTGCAAGGAAAATGAACTGGGCAGCGTAGAACAGGAGAGCTACACAGCAGTAGGTGAACTGAGAGAAAGGGATACTAAGGATTGGCCAGGTTTGGAGGCCAAGAAGTGGTATTCTTTCGCGTTCTTGGCGTACAGGAGGAGGTTAGCGGCACGCAATCGGGGTACAGAGCACACCGCGGAGCGATGGTTATGCGACGCTGCCCGATTACGTACCACTATCCTTGTTCCGTAGCGGTCATGAGGTCAGAGTGTTCTGGCATGGTCAGGCTCTGCGAGCATTTTTGAGAGATTGCCAAGATGCCGGGGTGTGAACAAAGGACGTTGCCTTGCACCTCCTTCGGGGTGGAAGGGCGCCTGCCCTTATTGGTGGGAGGTCTCGGAACGAGTAGTCCAGAGGACAGGGAGGTGGACGTCAGATTCGTACAAGCCATACGCAGATAGCGGGGAGGGTTCGCGACTTGTGCGTCGCGTAGTGGGCGATAAGGAAACAGGAGTGGTGAGACAGCAGTGGAAAACATGGTGTAGGGTAGTGGGACGAAGATACTCTGTCCTACTGTAGCTATACTCTCATGACGACCTCGGAGTGGGAAAAGTGAATGGTAGAGTACCCTTTGGGGGAGTTGGTCGTCTGAGGTGTTACGTACAGTGGGAAGAGTTCCTCACACCGGTGGAAAGAGAGAAACCCCGGCTGCTATTCTTAGGGGAGAAGGAGAGACGGTAGTACTGATGGAAAGAGACACGGTGGGATAGGCGCAGAGAGTGTCTGCGGGAAATGTGTGCTAACAGCGTGGTTTCTCTCAGAGAGTTCCCCTCGCGTTAAGGGAAACATTACATATGTAGACTAATGCAAAATGACAATTCGAAAGTAAAAACAACATTCAGTAGGTGTTTCCTACGAGTGGGCCGGCACTATATACAGCTTTCCTCGCACTTCACAGAGACCCGCGCGACAAAGAAACACAAACGTGGCGATTGCATGCAGACAGAGAGGGAGGGGAGTGTGGGTCTGGATGAAGCAACAGAACGCATTCAGAAATGTACTGTAACAAAGGACGCATTCGATGCGAACATAAGGCAACTTACTCGTGGGTGTGTGTACGTCATTCGTCGATATCTTGCCCACCTTCCCCGCTCGGACCTTGGGTGATTCCTTTGAGCCAGGTGCACAGCGGTAGAATCACCTCAGCGAGGTCAGCTTCATTCACCCCCAAGATCTCTTTGCGACAATCACGCTCAATCGGTAAACCTCCAGCCGCCTCAATCGCCTGCTTCATACGATCAACATGACTCGACTCAAGGGGCGGCATCTCACTGACTCCAGTCTGAGCTTCGAGGGCCGCCAATGCATCTGAGAGGGCCATGCAGCTGATGGTTTGGTATCAAGCCCTCTCGCGTGTCTTTTCTTCCCACACTACCACGCGCGTGCAGCAACGTGTCTCTCTCTCGGTATCGCTCCCACCTGCATGTATGCATCTGGCGCTCTTGCCATTCGCCCACTATTTCCAAACCAGCAAAATATATCAGCCTTGATGCAGCAGCTGTTGGCGTGACATTCCGGAAACAAGACAACGCCTCTTCGCATTCTCTCGCAGAGAACCAATATTATCCCCGTGGCAAGACGTCAACTTGGCACCAATAACCCACCTTGCGTCCCAATGGTAGCCATGACTGGGCGAGATGCCAGCATTGTGGCTTTGTTCTCCTGCCTGCTGTTGTTGTACGCCTTTCCTGCGTACGTGGGTCGAATGACGAGCATGGCGGTCTGGTCGACAGCAGGTGACGAACATGCATGATACGATAGTTCGAGGTTTTGCCTAGAGACTATAGTACGGCTGCAGGCAAAAAGTGAAAACTCTCGGCTCGCAGCCACCCTGATGGATCACAGTGTGTGTAAAAGTAGGGGTCTCCGGGGACGGACCCCTCGCCAGGCGCTGCCGGCCTCCGTTGTCCTCTCGTCTTCCCCCTGATCCCCCATGTTCCCGCCCCCGCCACCACGGTTGTCACCGCCAGTGACAAGGGCATACGCCCTCACGCTTCCTACGCCCCCTTCCTAGCGGCCTCCATCTCCGCCTCCAGGCTCTCAGAATCACCTTCTCTACCATTTCGGTCTTGAGCTCAGACTGCGCCAACATCACTATTCTCTGCACCTTGTATTCGGGCAGGAGGTTGCGCACGTAATGCAGGTTGACATCGTGATCAGTTTGAAATGGTAGAGAAGGTGATTCTGAGAGTCTGGAGGCGGAGATGGGGGCCGCTATTAGGAAGAGGGCGTCGGAAGCATGGGGGCGATGCCCTTGTCACTGGCGGTGACAACCGTGGTGGCGGGGGCGAACCCTTCGTGAGTGGCCTGTTATGCACATGTTCACGTCAAGGTGTGCCAATCTCTGCCTCGGGGAACGCCGGGTCTTTCTTTCTCTTCGAGACCCAACAACCCTCCTCAAAATCATATGCGCCTACAATGTACGCACAAGGACGCGAAGGTAAACACAATTTTATCACGTGCGGCAGGGAGAGTACAGGGAAGAGGAGCCCCCTTATGTGGAAACCCAGCGGGCTGGGGATATGGGTTCACGTAAGGATGGCGAACGGAGGTGACGACAGAGACAATAGAGGGAATCCACGTGTTGTTGAAATGACGTGAAATATTGACATTTCAGGAAGTTTTGACGTGAAGAGGTTGCGCCGCTTTTTTGGGGGCAAACTCTGACGGCGAAATTTTTGTGAGGAAGCGTCAAAATTAAATTTCACCCAAACTTAAACCGACGCGAAAAGATTGACGCTTCAAACATCGCCAGACTGTGGCTCACACACGCTTGCTCTGCTGCGGTCTGCTGTGCGCGGTCAGCAGTGAACACATTGGCCATGCCTACACTGATTGCTCCTAGCGGTCCTGCACCCACACGTCTCGGCAGTTCTCACGGCGGCCAAGTGGCCAGACGCGCGTGTTCGGCGCGCGCGTTCGGTAGATGCGCCGTCGCGATTGCGCACGGGCGTTCAGCAGCAAAAAGGGGCATAGGCAGTGATTGGGGGAGTCTCGCCCTCGAAGGGAGCACATGGAGAGGAGTAAGGGAGGGTACACGGACTTTGCCAGTCAGTAGGTGCATTTCGCCCGCCCCCTCACGGGGTTCGGTGCTCTGCTGCCGCAGTGACATCGGTATATACACAGCAGTGCAGCGAGCAGCTGCCTTACTCATCAGCAACGAACGGCAGTTTGACGCCTGGGAAGTCGCAGTTTGACGCCTGGGAAAAGTCGCCGCGGCAAAGGAGGGAAGGTCGGCGGGATGAGGCGAAGGGGTACACCTAGTCTCCTGGGAGCCTGGGGGTGTGAGTCTTCGCTTCAGAATGTCGACCCTGGGTGGCAGCCCGAACCAACCTTGAACTCTACCTCCACCATTTTTTTTTTTCGCCTCTCACGTGTCAACGGGCACACGCGGTGCGAATTTTTTCCCGTCAAAACCCTCAACCGTCACTTTATGTTGGCGTCAATCCTCAAAGGTCAAAATTCCGCGTCAATCCATAGTGGATACCCTATAATATGACAGCAATATCAGCATTGACAGCGAAAAGCAGCAAGCACTACTAGTTGGGATATCCCTGGCTTGAGGACAGTCAATTCGTAGAGGGAGGAGCTGCACCAAAGGCGAAACGTTCAAGGAACGAAAGCCTCACCCACGCGGGAGAGTGATCCTAGGAACCGGCTCAATCAACCATTCGGTCATGAGAGCGTTTCGGATTTTTTTTTGAGTCAGACAAATGGCCCCGACAAACCGAGGGTCAGATTAAATATATATGTAGCCGGTTTCCAAGCGGTAACGTTATTTTTTGTCTGAGACTGCCCCACTTTCCACCCACCGCTCAGATAAACATCACATCCTTCCATATGTCTGAGGCATGGGTTGCTGTTCAGCTGCGTCAGATTCTCAGCGGAAATAGAGTAGTAAAAGAACCACAAAATGATAAAATGATGTCACCGTAGGGTAGAAACTCGTCCTAGCCTCATGTCACCACCACTGGACAGACCTGCTCCTCTGATGCGGGCATGTGTATGTCTGCATGTAGGTATGTGGCGATACAACAACGCTCGCTGTGGGACTGACAAGGAAGGCTGGGGTGAGACAGGTTCACCAGCCGTCAACGTAGAGCAATTCTTGGCAACAACCAATTCAGGACAACACCCAGACCATGAGCTGAAGGTCACTCGAACTGCTGGGAGGTGGCCCAAAAATTGCCGTGTGTTACTCTCGGTCGGTGCCACCTCCTCTGCACAGTTGTTGCGGTTTGGAATGCGCTTACGAAATGGCTGTGTGAGGGTGATTCTTCTACATAGGTTGATTCTCCTGCTGTTGCTGTGGCTGCTACAGCTAGCTGCAGCTGAACCGCCGCCTCTCTCTCCCGCTTGATTTGAACAAGAATCGGCGGAGACTTTGCTTGCAAGAAGCCTTTAGGGTGTTTCTCTGCGGTGACAACACCCACCGCTAGATGCTCCTGGCACCTTGGATGATGATAGACAGCACCAGCCCAACCAAGCAGCAACCTGTTTTCTTTCTTGTGTAGACAAGGGAAGAAGCGGCGTGGGAACGGCGCGCGCGAGTCTTTCGGCCACTCAGTACAGGGCAGTTGCCACGTCATGCCGAAAATAAATCTGAGCCTCGTTCGGATCTTGTAAATGCCAATTTTGGCTGGGCAAGTTTGTCTGGGCATTTTTGTGTGGGCAAAACGACGTGTTTTTCCGAAACTCCCCAATTGTCCACTATCGCACAATAATAGAGAAAAAGCCAAGTAGTTTCAGACGATCGATCGCATTTTTAAATCGATATCGGAGCTGCTGTAGTCACGCACACCAATACCGATTACGTCAAATTGCATACCACTACATCGGGACCCTCTCGAAGGGGCCCTCCACGTGGAAATTATGGAGCACTCCCAGGTTACTCGTCAATCTTGGTCGCAAAGGGGGGGGGGGGGGGGGTGTACTCATAGTCGTGCATGCCGTAGTCGTTTGACCATTGACCTCGCATCCCTACAAAGCCGGGACGGAGCACGCCGGGTTCTCCCCGGACCAGGCTCTCACATCACCAAGCGCGAAGCACCGTGAGGTATTCGGCGAGTCGCATGAAGGGTGAGCTGCATCCTGCTAAGGGTGTTCGGCATCTTGTGCTTACTTCCTTGCGTACGGATGACAGCTGCGTATGACTTATTTTATTTTCTGGTGCTTTCACTTCCAGAGACAGTTGTAAGAACTGTGTAACTGCCTCGAGGATGCTTGACCATTTTAACACAACGTGGTGCGATCATCCCCCGTTGCGCGGAGTGAGGCTTGTCGACCCCGCACAACATGATCTACTCGACCACCATTATGGTTACCGCCAAAAAAAAACCGAGGTAAAAAAAAAACGGTAACCTGGTTGCCGAGTTCACGAAGTGAATTGGCTTGTTTTACAACGTCGTTGCCAAGCGACGAAAACCCAATCCCGATGGCAAACACCGAGTGGGGGGAAAGGGGGGGGGGTCTATTGTATAGGATTTAATATTGTATACTTAAACCTCATTTTCTTAATTATATGAGATTCAGTATGGAATACTATAAACCCCGGTAATTGGGTTTTAGAAGGCGATACAAAAGCCTATAGGATACAGTACGGTCATACCTGAACCTTAAACCCACGTATAATATGTTTTTTCGTACGCGATACTGAAGCCTACTCCTTCACACTTAAGCCTACACAATAAAAGAGTGTTGTATGGGTTTTAGAATGGGACACGAAAGCCTATGCATTGAGAGTATATTGGTTTTACTATGGACACACTAAATCCTATACAGTAGACTGCTGCAAGTGAGCCGCGCACAGTGGCTATCCTGCGTGTCAATCTTGGTCCGCATGGAGGGCCCCTTGCCCCCTCGCGTTCTACAGCACAGCACCGAAGCAGCACCATTAATCGATGGCATTCTGCGCTACTGTATCTCCGCCTTCTCTCCCCCCCTCTGTCGCTCTCTCTCGCACCGGGTCCACGGTTGGTTACGCACTGAGGGTTGCGTACCCGCCATCGGTCTTTTTTGGGTCTTTGACCGGTACAATAGTGCTGGTAAGGACATCCGCCCCAGACAGATAAGGCCTTGTTGAAACAGCAGTGTGTGCATGACGCTCTGCCCACGGCTGATGAACGCGCGTGTGTTAGGTGAGCTATCTTTTTTTCTTTCTGTTGGAATCTCGACGTGGTTTTCTCCGTTACAGTAGGCGAAGGCATGGCCAAGGTCTTTCCCACACTAAACCACCCGGAGCCTGCTTCTGAGAGAAGTAATATAAGGGTTATACGTCTCCAACTTCAACAGGTGTGACCGGATGGAGCTGGGGGTTTACCGTTTCCGGCCGGCTTCGAACACGAGATCCTGTTGAAGACAATGTGAGTGCGTTGCTTTTAGCAATACGATTGATAACAAACATGCTGAAACATCATGTCCAAGGTATGTTGCTGGGGTAGGTCGACGTATGGAGCACCACCACGGTGAGTGCAACATGCGCTCAAGAGTCATATACGGTAGTCAAGTAGCCTTGGTACACCGTTGGTTCTGCTGCAGTTCTTGTGCATGTGCTGGAGCAGAAACGGGAACGGACGGGGTTTGGTTTGTAGCGTATTTCCATTATCCGTTGTAAATCCTGCCTTGTTGAGTTTGTGATCCTCTTCTCCGGACTGCCGTGTGGGTCGGCAGCTTTTATCGACGAGTCCCATCAAGTTTGTGACATACAGCAGCAGAACCTTTGTATTTTTGTTTCAATGACCTTCTCTCCACTTCAATAAAAATATTGTGTATCACGCTGTTCCCGAGCAACAACTTGCAACAATTTGCGGGCGCCGTAGGAGTGCCGCTGGCGCCAGCGACATGGACTCTGTAGCGACGTGCAGAGCTTTCTTTACCCCTTATTTCCTGGGGGTTTCTCCACCCGCTTGCTGTCTTGCCGTGATGGTACGCCCCTTACCAAGTTACATACCGCTGCATTTGATGACAGTTAGTGGCTGAATCGTTGCGATAACTCCTTCCTACTGTAGTAATTTTATCGACCTTGAGCCAGCGCAAACTAATCGGTGTGTTTGTAGCTGAAGCGGCGACCATGGGCCCCTACTTCTGAACGTCAGGGTGTTAAGTGTCGTTTCAGGCGCGACGTACGATCTCCAATAAGCCCCTGAGATGAACGCGTGAGCTCAATCACGCTGGTCCACTACCGTTACATAAGTTCTAGAAGCGCAGAAGCCCCAACTGGTTCGGGGCGAAAGAACCGATCGGCTAATGCTTACAAGGAGGTTCCGCACTTGGATTTTAGCGAACCCTCTTTCCGTACACTGATCATGCACTTGAAGTCCTGAGGAACCATGTTTCAGTTTCTTCCCAGAGCAGGATCAACGGGCGAAGATGCGTCTGCTGCGTTTCACATTGGGTAACCTTTGGGACACCCGTCATTCGCAGGTCCGTGTCATCCGCCACCAGAGCTTCGTTATCTGGGCTCTTTGCTGTGGGACGGCGGTTGTGGGCACGATGGAGGCCATGGTGGCGTCTTACGTCAGACCGTGGTGGCTTCAGATCATGGCGAACGCGGGATTCACTCTCCTTGCCTTCGTCGTTGGGTGCGGGGTCTTCGGCCATTCACATGAATGGGTTTTGCGAGATCCCAACCTTGAGAAACCCCTGTTTCTGCTCGATGTTTGCGTGGTTAGCTGACGATGGAAGTGCTCGAAACTACGGTGTCAGCGGTATGGTATTGTCATGTTAATTTTTTTCTTGTTATGTTTGTCTTTTACCGTCTATTAAGTAATTCCGTGAGCATGCGGCGGTTTTCGCCGCGTTTTTGTTTGTGGTCCACGATGATCCAAAGAGATATTATGATGGACGAAGTTGGTGTGAAAGGGTGCATGCCCTGGTGTGCGCGTGGTTTATGTTGCCCAGACCCCGCTCTATATTTGGTTGCAGCGCGGCTGTGGGAGCTCACAGGAGGTCCGTGTGGAATAGGTTGTATGGTGCAACGGGTGCATGTGCATTTATTTATTTTTGTCTTCCTTAAAAATTCAGCGCTTACAGCATTTGTACGGTTTATTTACTTCAACCCGTGGTCACACGTACATGTATTGCATGAAGACAAAACAGGATGCAAGAATAGCATGGTACGCAAATGTAATTTGTTTTCTCGTTCCATCTCTCTTGGGCGCAACAACTTTCAGTATGTGTTTGACGCACAAGCCGGTGTCACACGAATGGGTTTCTCACCCTTTCCTCCTGCGGTTCCTGCCTTCAATTTATAGCTCGAGAAGAGTTCAGCGGTCCCTTCCCTCTCTATTGCGTTTACTCACGATTCTGTGCTTAACTTCGTGAATTGCGAATGTTTCACTTTTCCTCACTTGCGTAATTTGACTAGGAGTTGGGGTTTTCACGCGAAGGTAGCCTTCCACCAATCTTCTAAGGTAGCCGTCTGGCGAGTACGTACTAGGATTGATGGAAGGTTCAATGTGTCTGAGGTGTATCAACTGTACAATTTAGTCAAGAAGACATATATGGAGTACTCTCTACAGTAGCTTGAACTGCACTCTATTGTGGAGATCACCTTCCCTATTGCCTGTCTGTCGAAGATGACTTTTTGAATTGCCGTCGACGAAGACATGTCTGCCTCTAGACGGAAGATATGAACACGGATGGATTCGATTCCCGCCGACTACCGTATGTTTCTTACTGGATTGTTTTCAACAATTTGTTGAACACAGGGTCAAGCGCAACACATGCCCTACTTACCACTTTCCATTTTCGAGTGCGTCAAGTTACAGATCGTGGCCCCGTCGGCAAAGGTGTGCACCAGATCGCCGACAAACGCATCGATTGGTTCCAAAAACAACGGAAAGTCTCCTCCTGCCCTGCTGTTGTAGACTGACTGGTTTGCATCTGCTTCTAAAAAATGTATCCAAAACAAGCTTTATTTACAAATAAACCGCCTCCAACAACCCATCAACTGCTTGCTTTGAGTCCAAACTCTGAGCAACCAATACACTCAGAGCGGCACCCCACATTCGTACAGTGGCAAAAGGCCAAGTTCAGCGTTCCGCACACTACACCGGTTACAACAACGTTCAAGACCTACTGGCGAGCCCGACAATTTACTTGCGTGGGGCTTCCTGCTCTGTGAGTGTCTCGCTATTGCTGAGCCGCTCGATCAAGGCTAGCTGTTCGCTCTCAATCCTCAAAAGAGACTGGTACTGAAGGTTCTGACGATCCAGCTCCAGCATCTTTTCCTTAAGCATTGTCTGGAGAGAAGCTTTTTGTCGCAGGCGGTACTCTAGCTCCCCCTCGACCTGGCAAGCAAACGAGGGTTGTAGAAGGGGGTCATTCAGGGGGGGGGGTGTACCGTGACTCAGTTGGTAACCTTGCAAACTTTCTGAATCTAGGGTGTGGTTTTGAATCTCTCAGAACTGACGAAGCCCGAAGTTTAGCAGTGGCAAGCGCACAATAGGTCGTGAGAAAGCGAATAAAGAGGGGAGGGCGGCTGAACCCTTTTCGCGTTAAAAGTTGAAGGTCGGTACCACAGGTGGTGGAGGGAAAAATCCTGTGTTTTGCCTCCCTCCTGGTTGACCCCAGCCGGTGCGTCAAACGTGTGTCCCGAAGGTGTAAACTGGGAACCGACGGAAACACGTAACATGCATGCGTGCCGTATCAAGTACTTTCCGGCCAAATACCCGAATAACCTCTAAAAAGAAACGGAAAAATAAAATAGAAGTACGACGGGAGAAAACAACTGTGACCTGTGTCGCTAGTCTAGACTGCTGTAGGCCATGGTTTTGATTTCCACAGGCTGTCGCTGCATTGGTAAAGGCAGCCGTCGACCTCTTTTTTCCCACTGAGTCTGTGAGATTGTAGTCTGGGATACGCCCTGCGTGGCTACCCTTGGGAAATATCGGTATAGACTATAGAGATACGCATAGTATCATAGTATAGAAGTACACGTATCACACCCTACCGAACCGCACATGTACGTGAGTATGCATATCAGACTACAGCCAACGACGATCCCCTCGCAAGATTCACCCATGGTCGAGACAAATGAGTGTGTTCCCAGTCGGAGTTTGTTCGAAAATCCACTCTCTGCGCATGTCGCGTGCATGTGAGCTATGCGGCACTTTGAACTGCAGATCTTGGACCCTGGTGCTCAATTTAGCTACCTGTGGTCCTGCGCTGTAAATGGGGGCTTCCGCGAAATGGCGTTCGCTATTCTTTTTCTTCATATGCACACAACATGCAGAGCACAGAGCACAGAGCTCCCGCACCACGCACCACACAACAATGCAGTCAAGGTTCTCCGGTGTCGGGGTCTCCAGAAAAAAAAATCGAACAAAGGGCAAACCGAGGGTAAAGCCCAGGGACCGCTACCGAATTGCACTGGGATAGAATGAGTTTCACACAAGCAGCAAGGAGTCTCATACCTTATTTCGTTGCCCAATAGCTCGTAGCTTTTCCTTGTCGATTCGTGCTGCATTCTCGTGCAAGACCTCCACGATGGTGTGGACTGAGGCATTGAATTCTCGGATCTTGTCGACAAATCCCCGGCATTCTTCTTCTAGCATCTCGGAGTGCTTGAACTGTTCTGGATCCAGAACACGAATGCGGCACTCTTCATCGAAGGATATCTGTACGCCGTTGTCTTCGTTCATCGCGTTCTCCTTGGTGTGTCTGGACACTGGACACCCAAAGCTCGAGGATTCTCCCACGCAATCGACAGTTTCATGCACCGATCTTCACTTAGCCCCCTCTGCGCAGAGTGGATCTTCAATCAGAATCGAGAGACGTCAGGAAACTCAATACTAAGACGAGAATACGTGTTGCCGCAGCTCTCTCCCCACTCTTCACGTACATAGGCCGGGAGACGAGAACTGCGATTGTAGTCAATCCTCGAAAGCCGGGGATGGGAAACGATTGCCCCCGGGTTTCCAGCTATGAAATTCTGGTTCTCTGCGAACCAGGCGCAAGAAACCAGACCGCGAACCGCGAACCGCGAAACGTCGCACGTTGTTGTATTGCTGTGTACTGCTGTTGCTGGATGCTGGACTACTTCGGATGGCCCCGGTATCTCTCGTGCAGGTAGTGTGTCCATGAGTGCCCACGGTCGACGTCGATCCTCCGCCCTTGCGGCTCAAGTTTTGGAGGCGATCCGAGAAACAGACGAAGAAATTTTCGAGGAAATCCTGCAGTATGATCTCGTCGCGCTGGGAGGAGGGGTGGCTGCTGGATATTGGGGAGAGGTGAGAGTGTTGAACGCGATTGTGTAGTAAGTTGACAGGGGACGGCTACCTGCTGTGTGTAACTGCTGTACTAGGTCTTCCTCGCGACTGTAGGTAAATACGTGATTGCTCTACATTCTTTGCTACAGAGGCACAATCCGCTGCAGTCTGCTTCGTACTCCATATTTTATTACCGCACCACATATTTTTTCAAAACGGGGGGGACGGGGACGCAGCATCCCCGGCTCAAAAAGGTCTGAAAATAATGTGAAAATTTCCTCGATGTACGTTCGGCCTGGGCGTTTTGAAATAGACCAATAGTCTAGAAAAAAAAAATAGTGACCAATGTGTTGCCGGGGTTCAACTGGTGAATTCGAAAAACGCGTTGAGCGGGGATGGGCAGAAAAAATCCCTCAAGTACATTGATTGTGCGATTGAGCTAAACTCCAGGCTAGGTTTTTTTTTGGCGAGGGGAACACCAAGCCGTTGCCAGATTTTTTATACCCACTTCTCTACGCACAGGGCTGCAGCTATCTAAAACACCCCAACAACCCGGAATGTTGGGAAAATGAATAAAATTTGTCCTTGCTTGCAACGCACAGGCCATCGCAGGTTCTCTTGGTGAGAACGATTATACAGCTGCAATCGTGAGTGGAGACCCTGCTGGCTTTGCTCCGTTCGAAAGGTATCATTTGTGATTTGTCCCCCCGCCCAACCTTACCCCCTTTTGTCACCCCCCTAGGAAATGTAGTGAGTTCTTGTCATGGCCCCGGGCAAAAATGAAAGTGGATGTTGCCACCCTTCTTTCGTGACATTCACACCCCCTCCCGGGGCATTCCGATATTTTTCGCACAGATCCCCGCCTCTTGCGTAGTTCTGGTGTTTCCAGAGTTTACAGTTTCTGACAGAAACAAATCTCCCCCGGGACCCAATGCAAGGAATATTTCAGCAAGTATAGAAACAGAAAATTGCGGGTAGACCTTGGCGCCAAAACTCTCTTGTCCTTGAGAACAAAGGGTTGTCTGAGGGTGATGCCAAAACCATGCGGGCAACGACTTGTTGGTAGGGGACGTACTATTGGCGAACCTTCGAACACGATGCGCGTCCGCGGATTCGACACCATGCCTTTCTATACACAGGCCGGCACTGTCCAAGACATGCCTTAATCCGGGGGCGAAGGGTTCGCGAGATTTTTCCTGCAGCTCCTCCTCTGATTTCCCCTTCGTCTGCCAGGGGTCTGGCGGCGAGGCCCACGACCCGGAGTGGTACAAGACTAATGTGAGTAGGGAAACGATGGAGCATCGGGGAGACCGTTGGCGCTCACAGTTCTGCCTTCTATGATGGTTGCTGCTGGAACAGCTACGCGGCTATACGACCGGCGCTCTTCGCATAGCAATACGCCAAAGAACTTCAACTTCGCCGTAAATTTGTACCACTTGGTTGGTGCTTAGTCTCATGTCGTGCCCATACTCTGACCAGCGCAGGCGTGTCTCGCATGACGATCCTTGCCCTTGACCGCAGGGCATCACCATCTTGTCCAGGTGTCAGGCAGTTTCCGTTGATCTGGACCAAAAGTTTCTGAAAGTCAAGAGAGTCACCGCCAGCAACGGTGAACTCGTCTTCGGGGATACAATCAAGGTATGTGTTGGTTCCAAGGCATCACACTGGGCTTCGCGATAGGTTCCGATTGTGCCAACTTAGATGACAGCTGTCTACTTCTTTTATTGTTCACAAGTGTATTTTGCCCTCCAATGGGTGTGGTCAGTCATCTGCAGCATTGCGTGGCCCACACATTGTCTCTCAGGCTTCTCAACTATTGTATGCGTGCGGATTCGACGGAATATGTGCGATTGCTGTGTCCGATTGAATGTTGGCTTCGTTCATTCACCCTTGCATGCCGAGGATGGTCATTTTTCATTTTCTTCTTGCCTGTGACAGCAAACACACAAAGGCGTCTGTGACTACGTTGACCTAGTTCTAACGCATTGGATCCTTGAAGGAATCGAACCCTCTGGAAGGATAGAAACGAACAGATAGACGATCAAGAAGATACCGCCTTCCAACACCCTAAACTGCCGGTCCTGCAGGTGGTGTACGGGCGATTGTTGATCGCTACTGGGGCAAGACCTCGGAAGATCGCCGACGAAATCAAATCGCTGGACAACATCTCAAAAGGCTTGCAGGTAGGCCTTCAAATCACGTGCTGGTAGCTTCCGGCAGGTACAAGGTTAGGCGATGCAGTAGAAGATAAAAACCTCATACCTTGGAGGGTATCCGATACTCGTCACGTGGTGTTTTTTTCAACTCAAGCATTCAAATTCAGCCGACCTGGCGGATTGCCTTCGCTTTAACAAAACAAAGGCAAAGTCCGTCGTGTGTCAATGGTCCTGAAACACCCAACCCCTCAGGGAAGTTGCTGCTGCACTCGCCATCCCGACGTCGATGGGTCCCCGCTGGCGTGTACTTTTCCTGACCGGTTCGGCTTTGGGTCGGTCCATTACTTACGCGACTTCGGAGATACCGTGAAGCTCGTCCATGCTATGGGCAGAGTTGAGGCGGACGGGCAGGTAGGCTAGATGATGCGGTTGTACGTGAACGAATCCATTCTGGTTTGAGTTTTGTCGGGTAGGTAATGGAAGATTAGACGCCTTGTCCTCCCTTAACATGGGCCTGGTGTAACTCATGTATAACGTGTTTTGCAGCGTAGAAATCGAAGAATGCACCAGCAAAAAACATGGTGCGTCTGGCAAAACACTGCGCAGCAGAGAGCAGCTGACTTGATGGCGCTTTCCTGTTTCGTATCAACTTTTAAAAGTGCTTGATGGTGATGCAATGTTCTTGCTTGTTTTACGACGTGATGGCGCACAGGACACCTGCAAGGAACCTGTGGTCTTGATCGGCGGTGGCTTCATATCTTGTGAAGTTGCTGCCGCTGTTGCAACACATTGCCCTGGCATGCAGCTGGTCATGGTGATGCCTGGGGAGGACGTTATGTCAAGTTCTGGATTCGGCAAAGAAGTGTGCCATTTCTACGAAAAACAACTTGCGAGGGTAAGCACCAGGCATTTTTGAACTTGGCCTTCCCGTGACACTTTATCCGCTACCTGCTTTGCCCATCTGACCGCCGTGAGCTCGTTGGTTGGCGAGCTGCCGCATCTTGCCTGTCCGCCAATCAATGTGGTCACTGCTCACCCCCCTCACACCCTCCACTCTCCGTGGTTCTCCAAGGTGGGTGTTGCATTCGCCAAGGGCTATCGCGTCAACCGCCTCTGGGGCATTGAAGAAGAAGGGTGCTTTCCTACTTTGGAGCGGTCGCTGCAGGGGTCTTCCATGAAGAAAACGTTCCCGCGGACGTTCGGCCCGGCCGACCCGCACTTCACAGACTGTCGAGGGGTCGTGCTCTCGAACACACAGACTGGCGAGAAGGTGAGAGCTCGGGGCCTCTGAGGATGATCTCCGCATTCCCAGGTCGGTCAAGGGTTTGAAGTGCAGCCTACGCAACAAGACGGGACGTGAGGTGTACTCTGCCTACGGTCTCGATGTGATGCACGAGGGTTCTTGTGACACACCAAGTACTAACGCCATAGCATGCATAGTGTTCTTGAAGGTTAATGATATTGGTGGTGTGCAAGGAGGAGAACAGAAAGCACCTGTCTGTTTGCGGAGAGGCTTCTACGCCAAGGTTGAAGGTGTAGGATGTGTGCATAGCTATACGCCAAAAAACGTTCATCAACTGCTTACACTCCGTTCGCCGAAGCTATTCACTCCCAAGGCGTAAGTTGACTCCAAATAGCCGGCACGCACAACGCCGACAGCAACTCAAGTTGTTCAACGTTCAGCTAGCAAGTGCCATTCGTGTTTGTTTAGTGCTTCGTGCTAGAGCCATCCAGCAAGACACTTCATGCACTGATGTAGCCGCCACGTGCCTCGTTCCGAGCCCGACATGAACCGCTGCCCCGAACAGGTCTGGCTGTTAGCGCGCTTCGTCGTGGTAGGGATAGGGTCCGTCCCCAACTCCGACCTGTTTCTCAAGTCGCTCGTCTTGTCAGAGGATGGCGGCATCATAACCGACTCGTACTTGCGCACCAGCCATCCTTCCGGCGACGTGTTCGCCGCGGGAGACGTTGCTTGCGTACCGGTAACTCTTGGGGGAAACGGCGACACAAGCTTCATGGCGATAGCCAATCGATCAGAGCACGTCAAAGCTGCGAGGGACATGGGGACGTTTGTTGCTGGCATGATGCTGGGCGGTGACGATTCTGGCGAATCGTACAACCCTGTTCCACATATGTATTCAAGGTCGGGTCTCGCAACCGGTGAAGTTGATTCTTGCGATTAATGCGGCATGCTTGGTAGAAGCCTGGTGTTGCAACCGTGAAAGGCTTGGTTTTTGCAGGTAAAAAGATAGACATAACAAAGGCAAAAGGAGGCGTTCAAAACATAACATAACTGCAACTTTTCTGTTTTCCGACATTGCACGCACGTGTGGTGCACAAATACTCTTCCCTACAGGCTGCCGAAAGATGGATGGCATTGCTTCAACAAACACGTCAGGCTGGATTCGTCTGATATTGTACGTCACCTATTGTACAGGTTCTTGGACATATCATGGAAATTTTACGGTTTCGCGAGGGGAGAAGTGTGCGTGCTCGGCATGGAAACCTTCCCGATGACAAGGACATTCGGAGCTTTCTGGCTGCATGGCGGGAAGATTGTTGGTGCTTTTCTTGAGGTGGGGTTGATACGATGCGCTATGTATGCTACCAACAGGTGCTTGTCGTCCTGTTTTCCTCGAACATTGGCGTTCCATGCTACGTTCAATTTGTTTCTCCCTTGGCTAGTGGTAGACTATCGCATGAAGTGCCAGTATGTCCCTGCTCTGCAGGGGTTGGGCCGTCGAAGAGCCCCGAGCAACGTGGACCTGAGAAAAGCCAAACCAACACCCCCTCAGACTCTCGTGCTGACAAGAGCTTCGTGTAGAAATCACGACTTCATCGCCAGATTCCGTGGGTCGGGACTACACCACTCGAGATGTTACCTGAACCGAGCAAACGACAGATGCGATACGAAGTGGAGGGTGACCTGACCTCCTCGCACCCCCTTTAGTTGGCGATGTGTGGCCAGTTCGTCGGGAGGTGTTCCTCGGGTAAAGTCCTGGGCTGGCCCTCTCAACTCGTCAACGCAGAATATGTCGGACATTCAAGTTCACGGTACGTCGCTACTTGATGCTTCGTCTCTATCGTGATTTCTGTTGCGCACAGGAAGACCCATCGTCTGGAGTGGACCACTCTGCGATATTGGAACGAATGGCAAGAGAGCGGCCTGCAGTGCTGAGCATAAAACGCCTGAGGAAGGTGAAAGAAATTGTGTTGATATATTCATGAGCGTTGGGCATGCTTGGCATCGACATCCGACTCCTCCGGAGATGCGCTGCACCGAAGGAGCGGGGGCATGCTGCGGGGTGCGTTTGAAGAAATTCATTTCAGAAGTTGCAGTCGGTGTTAATTCGTCGGGCCTGCAGACTAGTTGGCCAACCATTCAGACTACCTAGGTCGCAACGAGAGTTGGACCTTGGCCAACACCAAAGAGCGTTGTCGAAGGGTATGATATGATCTTGTCGGATGCGGGGTTTCGCCCAGTGCACCCGCCCAAACAGCTTCCTCATATTGATTCGAGTTTTTAACGCTGCATATTGCAAGCTGCGTTCTTGTGCGGGTGAACGGCACTTATTAAAAATCTCCAGTCTCCTCTCAACGTTCTCCTGGTATGTACTTGCCACCCAAACGACAACTGTGGCGCCTGTTCTAACAATTTGCTCGTCGTAATACCGCATGCACCCACAGTGTCCTCTTGAAAAACTGTTGGACAATCCTCACTGCCTCGAGCCCCCGAAGCTGGGCGTTGGCGAGTTTCATGCAGATACGGACGAAACGAGCATCGAGGAGGCATTCCGCAAGCGTGCTGGAGGTGCCAGCACGGTGAGGCGCCACACGGGCGGGGGGAGGGAGAGGGGCCCATTCTGTACTCAGCATTCCGACGAATAGACGGGACGGATGCGAAGTCTTTGGTTTATTTCGTTCAAGTATGACCGCTTCGGAAACGTGCTTTTGCCTCAGGGCGCTCCTGTTGGTTGTAATTTTGAGCTAACACATCAATCTGCGTGCCGCCGAAAACACAGGCCAAGAGGGCAGATATGGCCTCCATCATGCAAGAACTTGGCGCAGACTGGGATGAGGACGAGCTGGAAGACGCCCTTAGAGCCTTGGACCCGTCAGACTCTGGTTCTGTGAACTTTTCTGACTTTGTGGAATGGTGGTCGAACTGAGACTGCCCGTGACACAACATGGTGGCTACCCTCTGATGTGCATTTGTAATTTCAAAGAGGGTTTGATTTCACGTGCAAGAGTGGCGAACTGGGGTGATCATACATGCTACGCAGGCAAAGTATCATGTTGTTCGAGAAGGCTTGTCTCAAAACACTGGACAAACGAAAGAAACGCGGGAGATGGCCTGCTCTGTTAGAAACTGACCCCACTTTCACTGAGATCCAACGGCCGAGCGGGCTGTATGGCAGACCGAGAACTGGACCGAATCCCGTGGGAGGGGACGGCATAGGGCCCTTGAGGGGTTGGTGGGTGCTCGGTTTTGCAACGATTCGGGAGGTCGCTCTTTATTGTGCGGCGGTCCCTATGCTTTACAAGTAGGAACCAGAATTTTTCCCTCAGGCGCCCATCGCGTTCATCCTGATGTTTGGCAATATTTCAACTCGAACTAGAGAACCCAGAGCCAGTCGACAAGGTCATGTCCCCGTATGACTACGGGAGAGAATGCTGCTCTTTACAACAGTCTGTACAACAGATTAGCAGCAAGGGGTGGCGTTAAACATGCTAAACGCCACGGAAGAAAGAGTTCGGTCATCGAAATATTTTTGATCGAGCCCGCTGGTTGTTGTTGTTGTTGTTGTTGTTGTTGTTGTTGTTGCTGTCTTCACATTAAAAACCGTTCCGGTTTCCGCTCCGGCATCGGGGAAGGATTGCTACTTCTCGTCACACGGACGTGAATGTTTTCACTTCTCGACAGCGCAACCGTGATGCTGTTTGAGAAACAAGACAGAAAAAATGCATCGGGTACCCCTTAGGTGTTGTCGTGTACTTCGCGGTGGTGTTGCTGCGAGAAAGGGGAGCGAAGGAAGGGTGTGTACAGTACATCGTGCCTATAGGGTGAATGGTGCAACCCCAGCGAGTCTGCGTCATTTACGGTTCCAGCAGATCGCTAATAATCCGGTGTCGACACAAACCAACCAACCACTTCATGTCATGAGGAGCAGTAATGTGCGCTGATGCGATGGCAACAGCGAGTGGCATGTGCCGGTTGAGGAAGAAACACTGTATGTTGCACAAATTTTGTTATTCGTTGTGTACATCCCGTGGCATCGTCGATGGCTATGATCACCCCCCAACCCCAAAGTCCCAGAACTACCCGACGTGACAAAAAAACAACGCTAGCCCGCAGCACCACGGGGCACAACCGCCACGAAGGCGTAGCAAAATGCTCAGAAGGCGCGGGAACAAACCACTTCCTGACCCCGTAAACCAATGGCGGTCAAACTGTACGAAATATTTACTGATGTCTGTATGGTACCGCCGGCAGCCTTTGGGGAGAACAAGCGTCAGCGAACACGTAAGTTGTGGTTCTACTACAGGCGAGGGTCTACTCCTGCAACCCGGTCTGTTTTCTCTCTGTGTTTTCTAATAGCAACTTTATCCCATGGCGTCATCGAGTTCCTCGTCCTCGTCGAACTCTCCCTCTTCTTCCGCCGTGGCGTCCTGATACTGCTGGTACTCCGACACGAGGTCGTTCATGTTGGACTCAGCCTCGGTAAACTCCATCTCGTCCATTCCCTCCCCGGTGTACCAGTGGAGGAACGCCTTCCGCCTGAACATCGATGTGAACTGCTCCGCCACGCGCTTCCACACCTCCTGAATAGCCGTGGTGTTGCCCACGAAAGTGGTGGACATCTTGAGTCCCTTGGGTGGAATGTCACAGATGGAGGCCTTGACGTTGTTGGGGATCCACTCAACGAAATACGACGAGTTCTTGTTTACAACGTTGAGCATCTGTTTGTCGGTTGTGCACGCAAGCACAAGGCAAAAGGAAGGGAGAAAATGGGACGGGCCGGGTGAGTAATGCGGTGGCGTGAAACGTTGTTGAAACAAGTTTTGTTCTACATAAACAAGTACGCAGACCATAGTCTATTCTTAGCATTGTTCGTGTTGGGCTGTTAATACTGAAGCAGCCCTTCGTCAAAAATGGATGGGGCATGTTATTCCAAGTACTGTTCTTGCACGCCGGCAAAGTTTCGATCACACGTCAAGTGGTATTTGTCGCCGAAACAACACAGCAAGGTTTTCTGCTTCTCCCTGAACGCAAATTGGACTTACATGTACAAAGACAACGGACAAGAAAAAAAAAAAACACCGCCATGAAGCCAGAACTGAACAGATGTCACACCGGAAACATAATCGCACCGAAAGCAGCTGGCGGATACGATTGTCTCACCTGCTCGTCCACCTCCTTGGTCGACATTCGGCCGCGGAACATCACGGCGCACGTCAAGTACCGACCGTGGCGTGGGTCGGCGGCACACATCATGTTCTTCGAGTCGAAGCACTGCTGGGTCAGCTCTGGCACCGTCAGCGCGCGGTACTGCTGGGATCCGCGGGATGTGAGTGGTGCAAAGCCAATCATGAAGAAGTGGAGGCGAGGAAACGGCACCATGTTGACCGCCAGCTTGCGCAGATCGCAGTTGAGCTGGCCGGGGAAGCGCAGCGAGCAGGTCGTGCCGCAGATGGCTGCCGACACGAGGTGGTTCAAGTCGCCGTATGTAGGCGTGGTGAGCTTGAGCGTGCGGAAGCAGATGTCGTACAGCGCCTCATTGTCGAGGGTGAAGCACTGGTCGGCGTTCTCCACCAACTGGTGGACGGACAGCGTGGCGTTGTAGGGCTCGACAACGGTGTCGGACACCTTGGGCGACGGGATGACCGAGTACGTGGACATGACACGGTCGGGGTACTCTTCGCGCACCTTGGAGATAAGCAGGGTGCCCATCCCTGCGCCGGTGCCGCCGCCCATCGAGTGCGTCAGTTGAAAGCCCTGGAGCGCATCGCAAGACTCAGCCTCCTTTCGAACCACGTCCAGCACCGAGTCGATCAGCTCCGCGCCCTCGGTGTAGTGGCCCTTGGCCCAGTTGTTTCCCGCGCCAGTCTGCCCAAATACGAAGTTGTCGGGCCTGAAGAGCTGTCCAAAGGGGCCCGCGCGCACGGAGTCCATGGTCCCCGGTTCGAGGTCCATTAGGATGGCGCGCGGTACGTAGCGGCCGCCGGTTGCCTCATTGAAGTAGCAGTTGATGCGCTCCAGTTGCAGGTCGGAGTCACCGTGGTACGAGCCGGTGGGGTCAATGCCGTGCTCGTCGGAGATGACTTCCCAGAATTTCGACCCGATCTGTACGAGAATGTCGGGAAAGAGTTGAAAATAAATGAAACGGCAATATTCTGAGATGCACGACATGCACAGCTTCAAGGACACCACCAAGTTAAGTTCGTGAGCACGCCTCTGTGTCACAAGTCACTTGAGGAGAAAAGCTCGAGGTAGAGCTTGGCACAAGGACTAGCCCAACATGGGGTGGGTTGAAAACAAGAAGAGAGAGAGAGCGAAAGGGAGAGATATCAAGGGTCGAAGGGGGCACAATGCTTGAGGCAGAGGACGGCCAAACCCGAGACGTGAAAAAAAAAAGAGCAAGCACACCGGTCTTGCCTAAGACACGTATCCAGAACACTGGACGTGGACTGAGACTGGTGCCGCAACGACCACTACGGCGGGATAAATCTGCGCAAGGTTTCGTGTTGGCGTAGCACCTGGGGCTAGCGGCCCCACCGACAGCCAGCTTCGTTTGGTACGAGATTTCGGCAACACACAGCAAAAAAACACCTTGTTCACGCTTCATCACGCCAACAGATCGACTCAACACCGTACTCGGTGGCACTCCGATCCGGCGACAATGTCACCCCGACTGGCCATCTATGAAGATTTTGCCTGTTGATCCTATGTGTGCGGTTGCGAGGGTCCGGGAAACGAGACGGCGGCCTCGTGCCACTCGTGTGCCCATCCCCCCCTGGCTTCCCCGACCGATGCGATGCAGGGTTACACATTTTTTACCCGCTCTGATTCAAGCGCACGCGCACGCCAACTCTGCGACAAACACGGCTTAAGAAACAAAGTAAGCGAATGCATGCGGTTCCCCTTACCTGGTTACCGCATTGCCCTGTTGTTAATCAAACCCCGGTGTCCAACAGAAGTGGTGGCGGCGGGATCGAGGGCAAAACGAGAGAAGGAAGGGAGCAGACGGGAAAGAGGTGAGAAAAAAGAAAATGGCACCGAGGGGACCCACACTCGCGCACGAACACTGCACCACTCCGTTCTCATTGCGCCTACTGGTGAACGCACCCACCCACCTGCTTGAACGTGGACGATTTCCCTCATGGTTGCGTAGACAATGCGGTACGAGAGAGAGAGGGAGAGAGAGAGAGAAGATGCGGCGTGTGAGGCAGGGTAGGTGGGAGCAATCTAGAAAAGCACAAGCGGCGCAATCAAGAAAATTTGGTCGTTACACTTTTGTTTGGGGGTATGGCCGAAAAAAAAGCGAGCTGGAAGGGGGGGGGGGGGGTCGTTAGAGGGTGCACAAGCAGTGCACAGAGCAGAGATCGCCGGCCCGCAGAGCCAGAACACAACGACGCAGATAGAGCTGGCCATTCCGGGGAGGGGTGTGGTTCGGCCATTCCCAGGTTCGGCAGCCGCGAAGACGCCCACCCTTCGCTACCATGGTTGCCAAGGGAGACGTGATGGGCGCCTATTGCTTTGTCACATTTTTCGGTGCTTCCATCCTATTCGGAGTGAAGCACCTGCTCCTCCGAGACGCTACCTTCAGCCGATTAAGCAAAGCCGCCGACTACGTTCCAACTGTCGAGGTGCGTCCTAATCTCCTCCATAGAGTGTTCAATTTGTGCAGTGTGGTTTACGGTCGTATCCTGTCTGCCCAGCTTGGACTGCCAGGTAGGCAGGTTGGCAATATGCGAACGCCCGAATCAAATACCTATGCCTGGCCCCTCCTCGCTACTCTGTAGTCCCTCCGTCCGTGTATCATTACGGCCATTAGCCACCCGACTTCAGCTGGAGCGTGTGTGTTTTTATTATTTATTAGCATCGACCGCGCTAACCGGCTGACCAATGAAAAGGAGCGTGTGTGTATGTGTGTGTGAACCCCCACACGAACAGAGGTACCACCTGTACATGGTTGCTGATGGAGTCATGTAATACCCCACTTGAACAGGCAAGAGAGCAGGCACAATGTACACCGTTTCCCAAGGATCACGTGGTCCAAGACTGCTGCTGTAGAGCCGTATGCGTACATATCAACTGCTGTAGGTTAGCTATCCAACTGAGTAAGGAGACACCTCAGCAGCAGCAGTAGTCCCTGTACCAGGCCATATAGTGCCAAGGCTCTTGGCCGGCCTTATACCGGGCAACATTCGGAAGAATAGGAGACAATTTGAATATCACGCGATTTCATCGGCCTTGGTGTGTTCGGGCGACTGGCCTCATTTGTGTTGCTGCCTATGAGAAAGTTGGTCGTGGGTTCGAGACGCAGGCTGGACACTTTGAAGTGTTTTTTTCCCTGAGACCCTGGATGCTCTCGGCCAGAGTATGGGTGACGGAAGGACTCGTAGGCCCTGGAACATTCTGCAGGATGTGGGTGGCGAGTGATATGAAGCGAAATAAAGATTGGACGGATAGTAGCGCTGGCAAGGGGAGTCACCCTCCTCGGAAGTGAAAGTGACGGGGCTCACGAACCCCACGACTAACTTTTATAGAAGCCGAAATCAAGTCTTATGGTTTGATTTCGGCTTCTATATGCCTTAGATATAGGCCTTGCTACTTCTAGACGACGCACACCAGTAAAAACGCCAAACCGCTGACTTCCATTGTCTGTCCCTGGACATGTGTTGTTGGTGCACGCCCAGGGATCTCCTGACTTGCTTATATATATATATATGCACATCACATGCCATGTCACACCACTTGCGCGCGGTTTGGACACATCCGGGGCCTCGGTTTCCGTTTCGCAGATTGCTGCATGGGTCTTGACTTGGTACGGCGTGAGCGTCTCCATGGTCATGGCCAACCGCTGGCTGTTCTATGAATGGCAAGGCGTGGGGTTTCCTTTTCCTGTGCTCACGACGATGGTTCACATGTGGTTGAAGGTTTTGGTGACAAGGGTGATGTATTGTTTCAAGGTGAGCCGTAAGGCTAGATGGCTGTACAGCCTTCGTTGCGAAACGGCCTGGCATGCTTCAAAGCACGGCGATGCTGTAGGTCATTTGTGTGCATCAGCACATCAGCACCGATTCCGGATGCATATTGTAGTCCTACTGATGGTTGCAAACACGACTCGAGAGTCATGTGCTGTCCCGCTCGTTTAGCAAGTCAGCTCAAGAGTCTGCACGGCATGGTTGCTCGAAATATCACCAAGGCCTATTCCACTGCCGCTATAGATGCTCGTGGTGAGATTCGAGAAACTCAACTTGGAGCGAAGCGGTTGGTACCGTGAATGCCTACAAGATGGCAGGTCGGATCGAGATGCAAGTACTCGCACGTGATCTCACCTCTTTCGAAGACATCGATTCTCTAGGTTGTGGAGAGATGTGGCCAAAAGTGCAACTACGGTCGTCTCCTCTTCGCATCCCTACCAGCACCATGTTCTCAGTAGTGTTGAAAGCAAACCCGCTCATTTGCAAGGATACGGGGGAGCCTCTACGGCACATTCTGCTGTTTCGGCTGCGCGGACATACAGCCAGATTTGTTAACCCCGAAAGACGCGTGGGCAATCTATATGCTCAGGGCGTTCGCGTGCTTTTCGCCGATGTGCAGGGACAGAAGCCGCCGCATCTGGACGTGTCTGTGAACCTGCGGGCGGTTATCCCCATTGGATTGGCGACGGCAGGAGACATCCTTCTGTCGAACCTTTCCTTCATGGTAGCGACGGTGGCGTTCTACACCATCGTCAAGTCTGGCTCGCTAATTTGGTGAGAAATGGACTCCGAATACATATACACCGTTGCGTGGTGTTGCGTATCACCACACACCACGCAAAGAAGAGAGGCTTTTCAATTGCTAGAAGTTGTCGAATCTCGACAGGGGGGGCTTGTTTCGGCTACAGTCCCAAGCTCTCTGTTTTGTTTGTCGGCATTCACGTGTTTCCTCTGGTTTTTAACAGAAGACGTTTCTAAATTGCTGCTGCTTTTATGTAGTGTTTGCTGGTGAACGTCGCATGATCGCTCCGCCCTTGGTTGCAACCATATCAACCTCTGCGATTTCGCTTCATTTTCGACAACTTTTCGTTCCCGGCAGGATTCTACTATGGGCGGTGGTGTTCAGATTCGAAGCGTTGACGCCCAAGATGGTGTTTGTGGTGCTTATAACTAGCCTGGGGCTGTTTATGGCGAGCTTGGGGGAGACGGACTTTTCCACCGAGGGGCTCCTCCTGATCCTGGGCGCTTCCTGCTTGTCAGGGCTGAGGTGACCAAGTGGTACGGTAGTGCACTCGTCCACCCGCGGACACTGTTGCTGGCTGCTGGGGCTCTGCTGCGGCACATGTAGATAGTTGGCTGGAGCTAGCCTGGGATTACTTGTACACTAGCAAGGTGTTTATTACTTGACGTTCGGGACAGAGGCCTGTTGACGGGTGTGCTTATTTTTTGTTTTTCAGATACGTTCGCATCAAGTTGGCGGCATCGCGGGCTGCCGCCGTTCCTAGAGTTATTATTCCGGCTGCACTTCTTGCTTGCTGATGAGGTCATCCGATGTCGGAAAACTAAGTCGTTCAAGTTGACCATGTGCTTACATGCAACGGTGTCAGCATCGATTGCGTCCCTCTCACCCGTTTCAGCCTGTCCCACCTACTGCTGTATGAAAATGCTCGCTGTTCAGGTGGGGTTTATTGCAACTCCTCCAAGCCATAGAGCCGAGCTGTCACGACCCTTTGTTGGTCATCTACTACATCGCTCCATCGAGCGCGATAGCGATGACCCCGATGGCTTTGCTGGATATACTGGATGAAAACCTGAAGGGCGCGGCCGTGACTCCCGGGTCGATTGCACAGGTGGCGGCGGTGATCCTCGGGACCGGGTTGTTTTCGTTCGCGCTTATTTTCGCGGAGGTGAGTCGATTGCGCTTGCTTCCGTCGTGAAATGATCCTGTGATGTAGGGCAAGGCATGTCAGTGCTCCTGACGTCGCTCCTGTCTCTTCCACGTACCCGTCTTCCGCCTTTTGTCTCTATTTCTCAAGGTGAAGCTGCTAGCGATCACGAGTAGCTTGACGATGGGCGTGTTCGGAACGGTAAAGGAGATTGTGCAGGTGAGCTCGTTTCGCCGTTCGCGCGTGGTAGCGTTCCACAAGAGACCAGGAGAGGCCAAGTTGACCTGGTTTTCAACGTGATGAGACGCCTATGGTGTCCTGTTTCACTGCTTGTACGCTGATTATTCGCGGTGCTCGTGGGCCAAATTGTCGAATTCTCCTTGACTTGCCGACGTGCTCAATTTCTGAAGCATTCGATCCCCTCCGAGTGCCGTCATAGTAACTGCCACACGCTCGTTGCCCCGATTTTTACTCGTTCTGAGTTGGAGCGGTTGACACTCCGATGGGAAATGACAATGTACGCGCAACAGCACGGTGAAACGCAAGACTGTTTGTTGCTCACTCTCTCCCAACAACCCGTTGTGCAACGTCAACAGATAGTCCTCGCGGTGCTGGTGTTTAACGAACAAGTTACGTGGTTCAATTTGGTGGGGCTCGGTTGGGCGATTGTTGGGAGCATGCTGTACAAGATTTCTCGTGCGAAGCCAAGTGCCCGCAACGGGGAAGGGGGGGGCGCCAAGGACGCGAGGTGAGTCGCCACCGACCGTCTGTCCCGTGGTGCTTGGTTCCAGCGTATCATCCGTAGGTTTCGTGAACCAAGCTTTCATGCGTGTGTGCTTATTTTTGGCATCAACCGCGCTTAAAGCCGGCTGACCAATGACAACTCACCTGTCTAAGGCGGGTCATAGCGGAAGACACTTTCCAAAGACGATGAACTAGGGCCCCATCAAGGGTGTGTGTTTGTGTGTTTTCTTTGTGACGTGCACCCATCACGTAATACTGCAAGAAACCAAATTCGGAGTGTTGCTGTCTGGTCTCTGGTCGACCTCTCGACGTCTTGCGGGAACCAACTGTCAATCACCCATCCGTGTCAACGATCTCTCGGATGCTTACAAAAGCGTGGTGCTGTGTGGTTGGTTATAAACCGAGGAAGGGCGTGCTGCCTAAGCGGTCGCCCCCTCCTCCCACCGAAATTTCGTATACTACCGTACTTCGGATGCAACGGCACAAGCAACGGTCATTATGATTGTGGCGTCGGCCGAGTTGATTGAGCCTCGAATTGACTAGGCCAGATGCCGTGAGAGTTTCGACCTTACGCTGACGTACGTTACAGGCCGGCCGACTAGGTGTTTCGGTTGAACAATCTACAACATCCAAGGGCTTCAAGGTTGATGCAGTAAACTTGTATCCAATCGTTATTCCCTCGACATTGGCGACGGATGGTGATATTTTTGTCTATACCTTGAAGGCGACCGGCGCACAATGGACAAGGGGACGAAAAGGCCAACGCCGGAGTTAACATGCCCTATTCGGCGGTTTCGCAGCAAGAGGTAAGCAGACACACACTAGGCGTGACTGCTAGAGACAGAGAGAGCCGTGAGCGCACTAGCGGTTGTCGTTGCCGTTGTTGGCTCCGCAACTCAACACCCTGTGTCTTCTCTATCCCGTACTCTCGCTTCTATATTTGGGGTCGGTGGAGAAGCGAGCCTCGTCGTCGCCGGCCATGTAGCCTCACAGTCAAGGTTCATGCAAGGCGAAACGCCCAAGAGAAGTCTTGCCACTCGCGAGAACAAGACAATTCTTGGCTCGCATTTTTTGTAGTTGGCAAGGGCCACCCGCAAGTGCCGCGTGTTGTCACGATCGATGATGGGCGAGGAGTTTAGGGGGGGCCTTTACAACGTGGCGTGTCAGGCACATGGCACCGGGAATTTTTTGTACGAACGGCGGTGTATTATGTGTTTCGGCGAACACTCAAGATGGTTGGGGGAGGGAAACCCCACAATGCCGATTGAACGGCAACTGGAAGAAGAACAAGCCATGTGTTCTCGCCACAGACGAATGTGTGGAGCACCTCGAGCAGATATACCCCATACGTCCAACACGACCCAGAAGCAATATCGTTATAGACGGCACGGTGCAGTCACGGTGCAGTCTACAACGATGTTGTTTCCGGTCCTGTTGGAGTTATGGTATGTCTGCTTCCAATAGAGGTGCTCCGTGCACTCCCCTCTGGCGAAAACGCATGGCTTCTTCTTCCAGTTGCCGTGCAATCGGCCCTGTGCAAGCACAGGTAGCGTCAAGTTTCAATGACGTTCCCTTTGTGGAAACCCCGTCGTATCGAAACCGCGTCGTACCAGTGTATCAACGCGTTTCCCATCGTGACTATGCGCGTGCGCATGGGTGAGCACTCCTGTCCCACGTGGCTTTTTTGTAATTCCTTTTTGACGCACAGTTCCGTCATGTCCACTGTGGACGTTTTTCGATGGACTTGTTGGAGACTTGTGAACCAAGGTTTGGCTGCAAGGACGATGTACAACACTTGTATACCGAGGTCGTCTCAGCTACGCTCCTGGTAGTTTTCTTGTTTCTTCCTCGGGTCCCGTTGGCTCGAGGTTTACTGTACTGTGTGGGAGCGGGTGGGCGGGTGGCGCGTCGCCTGATTGTCGCCACGACCGTTTCGCGTGCTTGCACGCGGCTTCTCATATTTGCAACCGACCGCTGCGTATGTAATTCAATGCATACTCTATATGCACATTCCAACCCAACAGGTGGACGAAGAACTCCGAGTGTTCAAGTACGAAAACACGGAGTGGGAATTGGAAGGGGAGTTGGAGGAGTTCAGCTCGTTTGACGGCGGCGGGAGATGACACCACGAGCAGCGACATATCCACTTTATTTGTTGGTGCCCACGTCGCTTTTCCGCGGCGTTAGACGTTACCCCCCTGCCGCACGTCGGGGTTTGATTGTTCACGGGACCCGTTGGACAGGACTCCGGGCGCCGGGGCAATGTGTTGGTGGAAATAGCGAACCGGCAGTGCGTGGCTGCGGTGTCTAAAGGAGGCTGGGCGTGTATGATTTTGGTGCGGAGCTATTCCTTGGTCAGGGTAAGCGTGCGGTCGTTCTCTAGGCAAAGGCTCCACCTCGCTTTTTGTCAACACCCCTTCCTTCCATTTTTTGTCTACTCTTCGCGATTTTTTTTGTTTTTTTTGCGTTTTGGTGGTATCTCTGCGTAACTCATTCTGTTGACAAGGTCCCTCAATAGTGCAGCATAGACGCGAGAAAAGGGGACCCTCCTTTTTCGGGATCCGGTGCCATTCGGGGTGGGGAGTACATAAGGCTTTAGTCGATGGTCGCCATATCCCGTGCCAGGGGGCTTCGACAGCAATATATCGGTCCCTGTACTCTTTTCGAGACCCCACTACTGCATTCATGCCGTGATCCGTTGCGAAATCGAGGGCGCTTTCCTCGGAAGGTTGTATAGATGTTGTTGTTCGTGGTGCCTCGTGGGAAGGCTGTGTCTGCTTGTGTAGAATTAAGTGTAGCTGGATACGGTTTCTGTTGGTGAGGTGGGTGTTCGTTGTCGTATTCGCCTAGAGAGATGTTCGGGCGGATCATTGTAGGGTGTTCGACTATTACTATCTACGCTGTCGTGTCGCTTGTTTGCTCTCGGCGGGATATACTTTTTCACGGCTAGATTTCTTAGCAAGACTGACGAAAAATAGAGCATGTTATGCATACCTTACCGTACCGTGTGCATGTAGCATACGTGAGACATTTCTTTCTTGGGTCGCCTTGTCTGAAGGGAGGTCGTTTAGTCGAAGAGATTCCCTGTGTCTTTGGTCGTTGCATCGTGCTTTGCACTTGTGCGGATGGGTTGCTGAGGTTAGGGCTTTCTTGAGGGCGTGTGGCGCGTACGTCGAGAGGCAAAAGATACGGCAGACTCTCCCGGGTATCCTTGGACGACAGGACCAGCATTGGAAACCGCAACACCACGTACATACCCGCGGCACGTAAACTGTCACACGCTTGTTTTTTCAGCCAACGCGCGGGAGAATTTCATGGAAAATCTGTCCTTTCGTGCTGCGACCAGCCTCGATTTTCTAGATAAATGGCCACAGCAGAAGTTCACCGCCGAAAGAGCAACATATTTTTCCCCATGGCTCTCTATCCATAAGCTTGTATGGCAGCAGTTTCATGACCACCAGTGCCATCCCGAAGAACCGCAATAAATTTTCTCGTTCCACCCCTTTCTTTCAAGAACCCTTAACAAATCATTGGCAATTGCTATACGCTTGCGCTACAGTCGCGCCTTCTCAGCTCGGGAGGTTCGGTCAAGAAGTCACCCAAGCATTCCTATGCGCTTCATGCCTCATATTTAGCGAAAAGGGTTCCGCAGATGCACTGCTGGCAAGGGTACTCACGTACATTTTACTGAGTAGGAGATCGTTCGCGGCACTCGAATCACGACCAAGTGGTCAACAAGATCTGCTGGGGTGTGATCTGCTGCTGCTACCCGCAACCGTGTGAAATCTTGGCCTCAATGTTCATTGTCACTACGGCAGCTTGACGAGTTCTGTTTCCGTATCATCAGCCACCAGCCATGAGCGCACGGGATCGGGCGGGAATCAGTAACCATCAACATTTGCGCAGCAGCGAGATCATCCATGACTCGTAGTTTGAAGCCAAACCATTCAAAGGTGATGCGCATAGTCGCTGCAGTAGAACGACTGGGTGGCTAAGTACCACAGCATTGTTGTTTTCAGAATAAAGATCTTTCCGATCTCCGCCCAGTACCCTCCAGCATCCGTACTGATTCAACTGATGCAGACGCCTCCCGTGATCACAGACCGAACTTGGTATGTCCGTCAAAATCCATCCCACATCGGTAGGTTTTTGACTATTTGCTTTCCTTGGAGTTTAGAGCCCGCCCACTCTACGCAAGATTCACAATGGAGAAACATCGTGCGTAACTACGTTACTCGTGGTGACGTTTCACGCATACTTTGAGCGGGGTAGGTGCTCTCTCGTTGTGCGCACGTACCCGTTTTGTGTGACCATGGCTTCGGGGTTCACAAGAGAGGATCCTAGCTCGCGGATAGGTTACCCCGACGAAAACAGGGCCCCCCTCCGCGGGGCCCGTATGCTTTATAGGAATCAGACTACCACCACCCCCCGAACATCTCCAAAAATCTATGAAAAAGTACGTAGGTATGTAACATTGTTTTTACGCACCTATAAAGTACAGCAGTATCCAAAAAGAGCACCTCGAACAATCAAAGGGAAATTCGATACAACGGGTCCTTTAAAACCAACGCAGCGTACATCGCCGAAGAGAACAAAATCGCCAGATTACACACAAGGCTAAAAGACCCCGTTCGACTGTGGCTATATCTCGAACGGGTAGTCTTTCTTTGATTGAATATTTCCTGACCATGAATCGCAAAAATTGTTCACCTTCCTCGCGGCGACCAAACTGACTGGCCTTTCCAGTATTTACCGATAGACCTACTGCCAAAAATAACACTGCACGACCCTCGACCCCAAATTCCGATCTCGATAGACAAAAATTGCTAGAGCATCATACCCTAAATCAACAGTACAAAGAAGAGTACAAACCATGTGTAGACTCCAGTTTGTCTAGCCCTGCCAAAACATCCAGCCTTTCGGCGTCCAAAAAATCGACCGCCGCGCCCCCAGCATTCTCCTTGTGCAAAATATACAGCGCCAGTAGACACTCGGCCTGGTTCATTTGAGCCAAGGGGTCGTTCTCTACGTTTTCGCTCATGCCATAGTCCGAGAACATGCCGTACTTTGCGATCGACGGAGTTCTGGGCGGGTGTGACCCCCAACCCAATCCAGCAAGCGGGGAAGGTAGATGCGCCAACAGGTTTGAGTGCCGAGTCAGTCGTCCGCGTCGCGATGATGCCAACAAGCGAGCCATAAAAGAAGGGACACACAGCGCGCGTTCGTGGGGGGTTGAGGGTGAGGAGCTCAGCGGAGGCAGGCAGCTGATTGCATCACTGTTTCCGGGAATTGTGAAGGGGGCTGGTCGGGCATAAAGGGAGGGGCGAGAACAAAGCTGCAAGGCAGCAAGCAGACTCATAATCATATCCTTGCCTACGGGGAACTATTGGATGGGGCTGAGAGCGTGCCTCCATGTCCTTATCGTGACCACGGGTTTGCATTCACTTGACCTGTGAGTATGATTCTCCGCAAAGGATACAGCCGAAGACCCTCTTACTCCGCATGAGCCCGGAACAGGTCAACTTCAGTTGATTGTTCCACATGGTAAGCGAAGCTTAAATCACATGCAACTGCTACACCTATCGGAAGTTATTGTACTGCTGTAGTTGCACCTGTCGCGGCAAGTCCGTATTCGAGGTCGCTCCGTATGCGTCTATGTAGCGAAAAAAGCCCTCGGACACTCACCGTTCCACTGCAGTGGCGAGCATAAAACGAAGCTCGGTCAAATGGCTTGCCACGCCGCACACCCTGCTGGTGACGGCCCTTTCCTCCTCCTCAGTGAATTCCCAATCACTGCGCCGCTCCAGTGCAGCGGCGGCCGCCCCGGTGGCCTCTGTATCCTGGTTGGTCATGAGCAAAGAGTCGAGAAGTGTGATGCTCATGGGCAGAACCATAAAACCATTACGGTACAGTGGGTGCAGCCCGATATAGCTATTGATTGAGCAGGTGGTCTGTTGAGTGGCGGGGCTCCCACGCAGGTATCGCGTGTGTGCAGGTGTGGGGGGAGACAAGGGACGGAGGAGGTGGAGGTCCGCCACTTGATGGTTTGGATCGTCGTCCTTCGTGGCGCGACACCCAGCAGTAGCAGCTACAGTACTCAGGGCGATGTCTTCAATAGCGGCAGATTGCCGCTCAGTCGGGTTGCAGCGGTGGACGGCGATTATTGCACCGTCCTCAGCTCCGCTATTCAGGTTGCCGCTATCGGAACACCCTCCCGTGTGGTACACTGCTTAGACTTTTATGTATGCGATGCCTGGTGCCTGTTATAGTGAAGAGCTGCACGGAGTAATGCAGGCCGCACAGAGCCAGACCAACCATCGCGCGCGCATATAAAGCCCATCGATATGATGCGTTGAAATGGCCTTGCGCCTGCGTGCATGCATTGATCGCATGGGAAACACGTTGAACCACGATCGCGCGCCCCAGGATTGGTCGTTACAGACGATCAGATCGCCACCAACGCCGGGTACAGGTTCAGCAGTAGCGGACTTTAGACAACCGTAGTTCTTATGGATCGCCAACAGCAGTCATAACTCCTCACCGGTTTGAACAGCACCGACACCAAGGCGTTGATGACCAACGGAGACATGGACGCCCTCGTTGGACGAAAAGGGTCCACCTCGGCGGCGGCAGCAGTAGCAGCACCAGGTGCGGCAGCACTGTCAACTGCAACTTCAACGCCTTCGCCTCCTGCACCCTCGCCGCAACATGAAACTAATATTGGCCGTCGTCGTGTGCCTGTCCGCGTTGTTGCCTGCTGTGTTGGCGACCCTGGTCCAGCTATGGTGGTCGATGGGCGTGCTGAACTAGCGGCCTGTTGTCCTCGAGAAGGGAATCTCGTCGGCACGGGAATAAAGGCGGTGCAGGCCACACATAAGCACGCGAGCAAGGGGACGGTACCCCGAAAAAATAGACCCAGGTGAAGCATGGTGGCGGAGAGAAGAAGGAACGTGGTATGTGGTGGCGTGAAGTGCTGCAGCTACACTGCACTGGGCACTGGGCCAATGCAATGGGGATGTTTGCACAACGCCGGCCCAGGCCAACCCACAAGGCAGGCCAGCCGGCATGAATATTGATTGTGTAAGGCTCCGTGAGTAACTCCGCATTTCACATACCCACAGCATACCAACCGCGTCCCCTCCAGGCGAGGGTAGAGACAAGAGAGACAGCCAGCGCCACCGCCAGAGCTCGGGTGGGGAGAAGGCAGGCACGGACCTCGCCAGCATAAAATTACGTGTCACGGCGGGCTCGCTATGAACCAGCATTAAACCCTGTCCTTCCGTGTCCAAGCGCTAGATTCGGAGGAGCACCTCGACCACCGAGATCAGCACACATCGAAAAGTGAGTCTCAAAAGCCCGCAATGTTCCACTTGTGTCACTCATGCGGACGCTTGTCAACCTTTGACCCTAGTGTGCATGTCCAGCTTCGGGTGCAACAGTTCGTCAACGCGATAAAAAAATTGCAGGGCGCAGATCGTTTCTCGTCTTGCATCTGCAGCTGTGTCGTCACGGGCACCGAGCGCCATACTCCTCCATCGATGGCGAAGGTCGAAGCAGCACTGCTACGGCACTTCCGTTACCGTTGCAAAGCAGTTGACACACAGGGTGCTCGCAACTGCAACATGGCAGGCTGTAGCCGATTTTGGAACGGCACATATGGCAGGATGCACGACAGGGCCCGCTATACTCCTCGGCCATGTCGTCGGACCCCCCTTACTGCTGTATTATTTCAACTTGCATCGTCGCTGGTTCTGTCAATGAAAGTACGTATTTACTTCCGTAGCACCGAACGCGGGCCGCCAAGTTGTTCATGTTCTGAAACGTGATAATAAATAAGGCAAGCAGTGCAGGAGGAAATCTGGGGCCTAAAAACAACATCTGTGTGACTTTGCTCCGCTGTGTGAGCCCGGCAGATAGTCCGAAATGCACACGAAAAGGTGTGTGAACTCATGTTTAGACTGGCCGCGGAAAAGATGGGACGAAGAACACACGCACAACAATTGGATTTGGAGGCTCGATCTGTTATGTATATGAAAGCAAGCCGACGAATATCGTCGGCGTTGGCTTAGTCCAGAGCTGTTTTTGTTATTTGCACTGTGCGTCAGGTTTTGAGATGGAAACGGGGAGGAACCCTCTAGAACATGTATGCAAAAGTTACGCTCTCATGTCTAATTTCCGTGTCGGTTAGCGACATTGGTGTCCGTCCTTCTAAATTAGGGCGAGAAAGGTTTTGCCATTAGGATTCTATTTAGCAGCGGCATCAGGATAAACGCGAAAAACCCGAGCACTGGGCGAGGGCGGTGAAAATGACAGTGCCCACGAAAAGAGGTCAAAGCCTCCAACGCCTGAGCGTCGTACGTACTCGGAACAATTATCAGTCAACGCGCTTCTGAAAGAAATTGAAACGACCCCGACAAATCAATCAGCTAAGGCGTCCAGGCGAGCATGTTCGTCCGGAAAGGCTGATAGGCCTGCCTTTGGAACACAGAGCCACCGAACCGCCACACTTGCACGTAAGCAACCTACCTCCTCAAGAAGACTTAATTAAACTTCACGCAGACGTACGGAAGACGCGCATCCTCCTTCGAACGAAAAATGAAAAAATCGCTAGGCGACGTAGTTTTGACATCAGCATACTCTTGATCCGTCCATCGCTACATCACCACAGTTTCTACATATACTCCCGCTGAAAAAATGAACAACGGCACCAATAACGCCGCGTCTGAAGAACTAAAACTCTTGTGTGCGCACAAACTACCCATTGAGAGGTCGTGAAATCACCTCTCTGCGAGGTTCGCAGCGTGGGCTGAGATCCGCTTTTGAGACCCTATCGATGAAGGGGAGGGCTATGCGAACGAAACGATACAGAAACAAGACGAGATAGGCGAGGAGATACCCAACCTTTCCGGAATTGGGTGTAGCTACCCGTCGAGCAACTCTTGGCGTACTCGACGATCTAGTCTGCTCTTGGCGTACTCGACGATCTTGTCCATGACGTACGAAGGGATGTTCCCGGCGTCCATGCTGGTCACGGTAAAGGAACAGTCGGTGGGTTAGAGAGGTGTTGATGAGGTTGTCTGTGTAGTCCCCCGAAACGGGGTCGTTGTGGGGTGGTTGGTTTTGTTTATTATTTGGTTTGGGAGGGGCATACATTTCTATCTGGGTTTGGGGTGTTGCTTGTTTTTGTTTGGGGTAACATTTCTATTTGGGTTTGGGGTGTTGCTTGTTGTTTGGGGTATTTATGAGTTTCTAGTTTTGGGGACACAATATCTTAGTTCCGTACCCGTTCTGTAGCATGTACCCCCGTCATCCTGACACGACCCTCGCTTGTCAACGTATGATGCACAAACCAAACAGTGGCAAAGAAGTCCAAGAAGCGGCCGAACCGCAACAGCAAGAACAGCGGGCCGGCCAACAAGGCCAAGCAGGTCCAGTTACTCCAGAAACAACAACAGCAGCAACAGCAGCAGCAGCAGCAGCAGCAGCAAGAGTCACCACCAGCAGCGCCGGGAGCAAAGGCAGGGCGCGGCAAGTACACCAAGTCCAAGCCATCGCAAGCCCCTCCCGTCTTGCCTCTCAATCGTGGCGGCGTCGCGGTGAGTGGCCACGCCCCAACCGGGTCAGGCCCGCCTGGGCACCCATGGGACCGAAATCGGCAGCTTCCAACCCGAGGACTGCTCAACCTGGGCAACACGTGCTTCTTCAACTCGGCGCTGCAGAACATCTTCAAGGCGAGGCTGCTGCATGAGTCTCTGTTCGGGGATTAGCTCGGGGCGGAGGCAAGGCGAGTACGTGGGCCCGTTGACGAAGGCCTTCCGGAAGGATGCTGCTGGAGATGGCGGGAGAAGGCCCTGTAGGGGGCAGGCGAGGGTGAGTTCGGATGAAGGCTACGGGGGGGGGGGGGGGCGTACTCATTTGTTGCTTGCCGTAGTCATTTGACCATTGACCACGCGTCCCTTTCGAGACGGAGCACCGTTCCTACACCTACTCGAGACACCACCACACATTTGGGAGCTCTTTACGTTTCTGCCACAAACTCCATAAAAAATTCTTGCACATCTTATCCCCGTCCTCTAGGGCCTCTTGTGCCCACCATCTATCCCCAATTATCGCGATCGTTTTTTCGCTGTTGTCTAGTTTACCAAACTTGTCCATGTCACACCCTCTCTGTCTCATTTCCTCCTCGAGATCCTCTCTTTCCTTCCTGTACAACTCACACTCCCCAACTATGTGGGGTCTACTCTCCTCCGATTTGCCACATGGACATGTGTGTCTATCCTCCTCTTCCTCTCTCCTACGGCTGGTATACCTCTTCCTCCGTTCTGGCAAGTCCAGATCGCCTACTCGAAATTGCAATTTCAGCTTTTTCGCATAGTCCATGGGGCCGTCCAAGTACTTCTTCATCCCTATCCCTTCTTTCAACTTCCCGTATATCTCCAAGTGGTCTTCGCTTCGTACCTTCTTCCGAAGGGTTGCCTCCTCCCTACTCTCTAGCATCTCCTTGACTTTCGTCTTGAACCCCCCGAACCCTTCCGTGTCCAACGTCTCCTCCTCGTCTCCTATCTCCTTCCAAACCTTCTCTACCACCTTGTCCCATCTGATTCCCTTCTTCCCTGGAGTCGCTTTTCCCCAAGCTGCCTCGTCAACCATGGCTGGTAGTCTATCGTCCGACATTCTACTTACCTTGTACTGCCAATTCAACTTCTGCATGTCTCTCTTTGTTTTAAGAGAGTACATTCCCAATTCTGCTCTCAATACAGTGTTGCTCGTTGTACTTGAACATCCTAGTATTTTCTTGGCCGCTGCCATCTGCACCGTTTCCAGCTGCTTGACGGCCTTTTCGTTACCTTCCCATATCTCTCCTGCATACTCTAGCTTAGGTACAATCACATTCAAGAGAATACACCTCTTAATCCTAGTGTCTAGGTGTGGGTCCGTAAGGATCTCGTCCATCTTGCCTATCTGAGCTTTACTCTTCCCAATCAACTTCGCTATGTGTGCGTCCCATGAACACTCCTTCGAAATCTCTACTCCCAGGTACGTATACTTGTCTACTACCGGTAGTTCTTCCTCCCCCCATTTCCATTTGAATTCTACGGGATTTTTCTTATCTTCGTTACAGACCACTACTGCGCATTTTCCTACGTTCGCCGACAGTCTCCATTTTCGGGTGTATCCTACCGCCGCATCTATTTGTTCTTGCAACCCTTCTGGTGTTTCGGATACCCCCACGAAATCATCTGCAAACATCAGTCCGGACACACTCTTTCCCTCTACTTGGACTCCCTGTCTTACTGCTTCAACCGCCCTTATCAAATCGTTGATGTAAATCTTGAAAAGAGTGGGTGACATCGTACAGCCCTGTGCGACTCCTTGGAGTATATCCACGTACTTCGAAATTTCCCCATCCAACATCACCGCACTTCTTGTGCATTCTGTCATCTTTTTCAACATCCTCCACATTTTCCCCCGGATGCCGATGTCCCACATCTTTTTCCACAATCCATTGCGCCATACGGTGTCGTAGGCTTTTTGTATATCGAGGAAGAAACAGTATGTCGTACGCCCGGCGCTTTCCTACCTTGAATGATTTTACACAACGTATATACATGGTCTACACAACTACGATCTGGTCTAAATCCAGCTTGTCCTTCGCTGATCTTTTGTTTCCCCTCCAACATGTCTCCCATTCTATTGTCTATCATCTTGCCAAACAGTTTCCCCACTGTGCTCAACAGGGTTATCCCTCTATAATTCCCCGGGTCAGCTTTATCCCCCTTTTTGAACAGGTTCACGACTACTCCTTCTCTCCATCTCTTCGGCGCGTACTCGTGTTTCCATATCCAGTTGAATATCCGGACCAACATGTTAAGGCTACGGGGGGGGGGTGTACTCTACGGGGGGGGGGTATGGATGGATGCGAGGTGATTGTTCATGGTATCTGCGGGCTGCTCTTCATGCGCTCGCTCTTCGGGATTCTTGAGTTGGTTGAGGTTTTGGAAGACATTTAGTTTTAAGGTTCTTTGTGGGGATCGTCGAGATCTACTAGCCTGGTGTCGGAACGTCTTTGCTTTTGGCGTGGTGGGGTGTTTCGCACGTTTTCATGTTTTTTGGCCACTCTACCCCTTGTCGACAAGACATTACACCTTCATGTCCAACTTTCCAATGCACCATCATGTTCATGCCTTGTTGATAAATGGCTCCTATTTGGAGTTGCAGGGCCTACAGTCCGAAGACATTGCTATCGGCACTCCAGAGGGTCCACCCGTCCTTCAGGGGCTACTACCAGCACGATGCGCACGAGATGTTTATGCGCCTGGTGGGTACTCTCGAGGACGAGGAAGACTCCTTCATCAAAAAGCGCCGGCAAGAGGAGAGGGAAGCGGAGGAGGAGGAGGACGAGGAGGAGGAGGAAGAGGAGAAGGATAAGGGGTGTACGGGAGGGGACAACAACGGCGGAGGCAACCCTAGGCATGGAATCGAGCACACGAATGGCAGCGAGGGCGGCGGGGGCGACTCTATCGGGCAGGCCAATGCGGATAACACTGTGGCAGATCCAGCAGCGTGTCAGTCGCCAGGGCCGCCGACCGAAGGAGTTTTGGCCCGCGACAGCGGCAATGGGGGGGCCGTAGTACCGTACGCTGCCGAGTGGAGTGCGGATGGTGCTAGCGGGGAGGAGAAAGTGGAGGTGGCGAAACTGGGCGCTCAAGATGAAGGGCCTGCGGCCGTGTCTGCGGAAAGCTTGAAGGAGCATGGTGCACCGGTTGACGCGGCTTTGCCTGAAGCGGGCTCCGCAGTCGCGGCCGAGAATGGAGAAAGTTACCCAAACAGCGAAGGAAAGGGTTTGGCCGACGATGATACAGCTGAAGACCCTTCCTCCTCTGTGTGGACGAACCCAGGTTCTGATGACGGAGGGACGGACGAAGCCTGCGTGGGGAACGGCGAGGCCACCGGGAAAAGATCTGACCATGGCGCGGGAGCAGGGGCGACGCGAGCCGAAAGTGCTACTCCTACCCGTGAAGGTGAAGAGCAGGTCATGGAGCTGCCTGAGGCGGACCAGGCACCAAAGGCAGGACGAACGCAGCCCACCTCCGCGAAAAGAAGGCGGAAGAGCAAAGAGTCGCAGCTGCGTGGCGGCGGCGACGGAGACGCCGATTCAGAGACGAGCACCGACGACGGCGAGACGACCGATGCCGGTGATCGCGACGACGATGACGATGACGATGACGGCAGCAGCAGCGGCGAATCCGATGGTGCCCCTGCCGGCAGCCCACCGCAAACGCTGGCCGATGCATCGGCGCCATCCGCTGAAATGGTTGCAGTGGGGACTGGAAAGGAAGAGGAGAAGGACAGAGGAAACGGGGAACACCAAGTCGAGTCATCGACAACAGTAGACCCAGCGGCGCCGGTAGTACCGCAACGAGCGGCTGTGACGGAGGTGTTCGGCGGAACGATATGCTCGGTGGTTACGTGCGGCAGCTGCGGCGGGCGTTCTTTCTGCACCGAGCCGACCGTCTGCCTGAGCCTCGAGATCCCGTTGAAGCCTAAGGCTCTTTCAAAGACGGCCCTGGCCTTCATTGCGAAGAAGAAGGCAGCCGCAGCCGCAGCAACCGCAGCCGCAGCAGCAGCCTCCGCCGCCTCCGCCGAAGAAGCGTCACCTGGACTGGGAACGGCAGTCACGGATAGCAACGCGTCAGAGCAGCAGCCAGCATCGGGTTTTATCGGTGGTGGTGAGGCAGATGACAGCAGAACTGGGCCAGTGCCAGACGAAGACGGGGTGGACGATTCCGAGGGTTTTCAGCTGTCTGCCAAGCAGAAAAGGAAGGTGAGAGAGCGGGAGGTTACGAAGACGATCAAAGGCTTCCAAGTTTTCGTCATCTGGGGGCTGTGAGCTAAGGTAGCCCTCTTCGGCAATGAACCCATGCCTCAGAGTTGTATTGAAGACCTGTTTCACTTTGGCTGGGACGTGGAATGCACCACACGAGCGACTGGCACTCCATGCTTCTTGAAACCTCAGCTGTTGAATCCACGTTAATAGTCTAGAGAGGTTAGGTTAATTCTCATTCTCCTGTTTGACATCGCAATTCCTGAGACTCTGAAGTGAACGGCAATGATTCAGTCTTGCTCCGGTGTGTGTGGTCAGTTGGTTATGTGCAACACTGCTCTCAAGGCGATCATCATATTCTCCTTTCTCCACCAAAATTCACCAAGGTGCATGGGAGCAATTGGTCGCACTTCTACTCTACTGCCGCCGGTCCAGTCGAAAAATCTCTCCTCTCATCGCTGACTCGTTGTTGCGCCGTTGCCTCTACTTGACGGCGTTTCAGGTCGCTCGACAGGAGCGCGAAAAGCGGCGGTTGATGGAAGCTGAGGCGAAAGCGAGGGAAGGCACCGGTGGTGACGCTGCGGATGGCACAGGGCAAGGGGGTGGTGACGACACTGCAGAAGCGGTGGTGGACAAACCCGCACATGAGACGCCGCAGGACGAACGAGAGGAAGTGAGGAAATGTCTCGAACATGTTCTGTCGGAGTGCACCGCTGCCGCAGGCAGTGCTTCTGATGCAGGCCGGGACAGCGAGAGTGTGTCTCTTCTTGCGACGGGGGCGGACTCTGGGGTAGCGGCGACAAAGCAGGCCTCAGAGCCTAGCGGAACTGACCTGGGCGACGAAGGAGAAGACGGGGCGTCGGAGGCTCTTTTGCCGGGTTTCCAGCTCTCGGCCAAGGAGCAAAAGAAGGTGGGCTTTAGTCTTATCTCCTTGACCGTTTCCGCAACGGTGTCTGGCGACCACTTTTGCGCCTTCTTTTGATCCCGCCGACGAGCGGCTCGATGGGGGCGTTCTGCTTCACTCGTTGGAAAACGATTGTCTTTGCGTCGCCTTGAGCGGGAGTAGCAAACCACATTTTTCTACCTTCTTCTAGTGGGTATTGCAGCGCGGTGTTGTGGACAAACCTGTGCCAGTCTTGGTTCCCGTGCGTGTCACCGTGCCTAATGCCTTTCTCTAAAAGTATCAACCCACTTCCCCCCCTGCAACGGCACGCAGATTGCTCGCCAAGAGAAAATTGGGAGGCAGCGTTTGACGGAAGCTGAGGCAAAGGCGTGCTCGGAGGAGGAGCGAAGAAGCGCCTCTCAGACCCCGCGGCACGAAGAGGGCGAGACCGCTGATGGGGGCGGAGAGGTTGTCGATGCGATCGCTTCGACTGCGGCGGGCTCCGACGAGGGGTCGCCTGCGGATGGGACCGATGTAGAGGCTGTGGTGACTGCAGAAAAGCCGAGAGGCCAAGAGGAAGAGTTTCAAGAGGCGGCGGTGGTATTGGATGGGACACACACAAGTGGCAGCGATATCGGAGACGGTGATGGCAGCGCAGGAAACACTGGTCTCGCTTCGATGACGCCGAAACCGACGGACTCGGCCGTCCCTGGTGCGGAAAGCTTGGGGTCCTCGGGTCACGAGAGTCGGAACGGTGACACTTCCATACCCCATTCGACAAGTCGAGCCGCGGGTGTTTGCGAGCGAGTTGATTGCAACGGGGGAAGCGTTGACGCCGGCTCGCCGCCGCCGCCGCCGACGGCTCGTGAAGACTCTTTGGCCGGAATCGCTAGCGGCGGACAGGTTGGGCAAGGGACGGGAGCAGTAGCTGGGACCGTTAGCAATGGGCAAGAGCAACAAGCGGCGGAGATGGGGCTTCGAGATCGATTCGAAGCGGACGGAAACCTGGACGGTGCGGGAACTTTCAGCTCGTCAAGCAGCCTTGGCGGTTGCACAACCGGCGACACACAAGGAAGCACCGACGTTTGCGAGGACGGCCGGAGCGCCTTTGGCAGCGAGTGCAGCGAAGGAAACGGCAATGACAAGAAGTACGAGGAGAGCGCGGCGGCTCCTACCAACGGATTGTCGAAGTGTCTCGATGGCCCGGAGGTGTTTGAGTCGGAGGCAGAGAGGGAACGTCAGCGTTCACACTCGCGGGCTCCAGACTCGACAACGGCTTGTCTCGAGGGGGGCGACGGGTCGGTAGAGGGAAAGGCAGTTGGTGTGGAACGCGACCGGGAGTCGCAGTCAGCAGGCGGCGGTGCTGCTGCGGACGAGAACGGCGGAGACAAGCACGCGGACAGCAGCCACGCCAACGGAGACCGTTGTGGAGGCGAGGAAGAAGCCAGCAGCGTCGCTGTCTCTCCTGCCACCGCATCACCCCCCGGTGCCGCCGCCGCCGCGGTCCCGCGGAATCCTCTCGACCGCCTTCAGGAACCGTCGGCACGAAAGAAGCTAGAAAGGAGACACGACCCCGACGGGATTGATCTCTACGGGTGCCTGGATCACTTCATGGCGGAGGAGAAATTGGTCGCGGCGGACGGCAACGGTTACCACTGTGAGAGCTGCAGTTCTCGCGAAGAGGCGGCGGCGGCAGCGGCCGGCGGCGAGGGGGGCGTGAAGGCGAAGGAGGGAGCGACTAGGAGCCACCAGAACGCCCGCAAGCGTCTCCTGATGCTCGGCCAGCCGCCAGGAGTGTTGGTGTGCCATCTCAAGCGCCTTCAGGCGAAGAAGAAAATCATAAGGAGCGTCGAGTTCCCCATCGAGCTGGACATGACCCCGTACTTCTGGCTCGACCCCGATGTGCGTGCCTAGGTTTTGGGCTGTGGGGGTGGCCGAAATGTTTTCATTGTGGAATACAAAGTATTGCATTCGATTCCGCACCAAGCGTGTTTCCTCACAGAATAATTGACGACATGGGGGCGCTTTTTTGGTGCTGCATTGACTGTCGTTAGCTTGTTGCGAATTTTGTTGCAAGTGAAGTACTTTGTGAAGCGTCCTGATCACACCACATCGCTGCCGCGTCTCATCCGTCGTAATAACTCCCCTACTGTCTTCTGACTTTTCTGACTGTTTCTCCGCTCCGGTACAATTTCGCAGGCACCGCTCTCTCCGACTCAAACACGGTACTGCCTGAGCGGCCTCGTTCAACACCGCGGCAGCCGACTCGGCGGACACTACATCGCCTACGTCCGGGATCGCGACGGCTGGAAGCACGCGAGCGACAGTGCCATCAGAACGGCAACTCTCCCAGAAATCAAGGCTTGCGAAGTAAGCAGTACCTTGCAGTGTAGGGTTTGAGGGGGCGCGTTCGTGTCGAGATTGGGGTGGTTGATGTGGTGGAGGGTGTTGGATGTGCTGATGGCCTGTTTTTGGTCGTTCTTGCATGACTCGTGATGATGAGACAAATCACAATTCGTGGGAAATTATATTCTTGGTCAGATGGCACGGCGGTTCGTTTTTCTGAAGTGTTGTTCATCACGAAAGTTTTTTTTTATCTGCGTCAAGTTGTGTCAGGCTTGTTCCTGTCTCTGTGTGCCGCCGTTTGCGGTCTCGTTCCCAATTTTGCACCGCACCGTCTCCATTGTTTTCCCCCAGTAACACATTCGGGTTCCCTTTCTCTCCCTGTCTCCTGCCTGACTCCAGGCGTACATGCTTTTCTACGAGTGCTGCGACCTGATCGATCCGGTTGTGGCGGATGCAGCTGAAGGTAGCGTTGGCAGCGTCAGCGATGGTGGAGTCCACCAACTGGATGGACGCGAGAGGAAAGCGGACGAAAACACGGGGGAACCTGGTGTAGAAGCTCTAGACAAGGCGAAGGCGGACGAAAATGTGGAGGGATCCGGTGTAGAAGTGCTAGACGGGGCGGACGAAAAAACCGAAGAGCCTAGTGTACACGTCCCTGAGAAGGCGGACGAACAGGCGGGGGAGCCTGGTGCAAAAGCGCTAGACGAGGTGGGCAAAAAGGCGGAGGAATCTGGTATGAAAGTGCTAGAAAAGGTGGGGGGATCTGGTGTACAAACCCTAGACGAGGCGAACGAAGATGCGAAGGAAGCCGGTGTAGATGTGCTAGACGAGGTGGACAAAAATGAGGGGGAACCTGGTGGACAAGCGCTCGACGAGTTGGAGGGCGAAACAGCGGTTGTTCCCGTAGGGCCGTGCAAGGGTCAGGAGGGAGGTGGGGTCACCGAACCTTCAGGAGAGGGGAAGGGGGAGCGAAAGGATGAGAGTGTCACTTCTGTTGGTGCAGTAGACGAGAAGGGTGGAAGTTCCGGCGCCTCCGCTGGCGAGCAGGACCAAGAGCAAAACGCCGAGCCTGTGGCTAGTTCCGAGGGACGGGGTGAGGCAGAGGCGAGCGGGTACGTTCAAGTTTAGAGCATTTTCCTCGCCGCCTTCACCGCAACAGTACCATACCAGCGACAAGATCTGCGGTGGGAGACTTGTCCGGAGTGACGGCTATGGCAAGGGGTGCTGTCGTCGGTCGCTGGTGTGCAGCAGCAGCAGCAGCAGCAGAAGATAGATAGATAGACTGCGCGAGGTGGCGACGAGAAATTGGGAAGATCTTCCCCCCGGAGTCTCTCTCCACCGCCACCCTTGAGCTCGAGAGTTTCGCTACGGAACGGAAGTGGATCGAACGGCGCCGGCTTTTGGTGGATTTAGGTTGCTTCGTGCAGTTAGCCGAGGTCGCGTGCTGGTTGTCGGCAGCAGAGGCTGTCTGTGGTACGTGCGACATGGGTTAGCCTTGGCGCTGGGGGGCTTGAGTGCAGTGGGTGACAAAGGGCAGATAATTTCATTGGAGGAAATACGTTGGGGGGTCAAGAATCGATCTATCTGATCGAGGAGGTCGAGTCAGATGGTTGTTGTACGAACCGGGTGCGTGTACTCGTTGTGGTTGGTGTATGCATAGAGTGGTGCGTGTTTTCCATTTAGCTCCGTTGGTGTTGTTTTCGTAGCTTCTTCGCGAGTGGAAGAGAGCGAGTAGTTTGTCTTTTTGGGTTCGGTGCTTGTTGACACCCTTGCGTGGGGGGAAACACATTCACGGTGGTAAGCGTGCTTCTCTGGTAGCTATAACTTATGCTGGGGCTTTGCGACCACTATCGTATGTTGTCGCCTGCACCGTCTTTGGTTCAATAGCACACAAAGCTACGCGCAGACTTTTTTCCGTCCTTTTATTCCATCGATGGGCTTCGTTTCTTGGTTTGTTCATGTAGTGTTTTGCTATCTTTTAAGTAGCATTTTGTAGGGTGGCCAGAGTCCACAACGTGTCATATCCCCTAAGCAGTGGAGTGATATCTTCCATCGCAGAGGGGACAAAGGGAGGTTGACAAAAATAACAATTTGTATTGATAGTGGACATGTAGCGTCACGTGCATAGAGAGAGGTGATGCCAATGACAGCCGCGAAGCTGCAACGTACGTTTCTCCCGTAGCCACAAACACATTTTTTTGGGCGTTGAAAGTTGGTCGATTGACATTGGGGCAAGCCCCGACAGTGCGCAGAGAGAAGGGTATGTACAAACAAGATATTGGTGTGCTTGGAAGTAGTTTTTTTCGGCGCCACGGGAACAAGCCAAAACGAAGCACCGAGATGGGGGCAATTTTCGCCGCATTGTTGTCTTTTGAGTAGCATTTTTTTATGGGTTGCACGTGGTTCTCATGCCATACATGGCGGAATTGCTAAGACTCCACAGCACGCGCATGTGGAACGGCCCGTGGTTTAGATTTGGCGGGAGAATGGTGAACGGATCCTCTGGAAACTCGTCCTGTCATGTCGCTCGTTTCTCTCCCGCTGAGTTGTTCGAGCCCAATTGCGGCTGTTGGTATTTATTATCTGCCTGGTCGCTGATGGACATGCATTGACACGTTGTCCAACGTGCCTCTCAGTCTGTAGTCGGTGTTTGGGGAAGTTTCCCACAGCTCCAAGTGTTGCCCAGATAGAAGACAAGCCGCAGGTTTACACCCTACAGCTGTGCGTAGCCCTTGAATCACATCATGCGGAAGGGTCATGAGATGCACGAAGATTCGCCCCAAGTAGAGGGCCCCGGTTGCGTACCCCGCATATTTCATCAAGTCGGTTCACGTTGAAGGATTGTGTTCAGGTATGATGAGAAAATAGGTGGAACGTGCGATGATGCACATCGGGGAGGGTGCGTATAACACATGTGGGCAAGGCGAAGCTGTTCCGGAGTCGGGGTGTTGCCGAGAGCAGCTTGTACGACTTGTCATCGGTATCTGAATGAGGCAGAGATAGATGACTCGCTGGGCTTCGATTTTTTTTTTTTAATCACAACAAGGGACACATGATGTAAAGGGACGAACGTTTAGTCAACGCATACGAAGACACAATCATGAACAGTGTACCATGAAATCCCGAGTTTGAAGCTCCTGCGAAGCAAAGCCACAAAACAGGCCATGTGCAGTAACGACCCTACACGTGGTGCAACAAGCTTATGCGTTTCAAGCAAACGTCGTGTTTACCTTCTGTACAGCAGCAGCGAACATGTATAGCACTACACGTGAAGAGAGGGAATCGTCCTGAAACTGGCAAACGTTGGAAGATGTGACCCTGTATGAAGGGGATCTCCACCAGCACACGTACCACAAACAGCCTCTCGCATACTAACGGTTGGTTCCCGTTGCAAAACTTGACCGGCGTAACCTGCAATCGTTTGCACCCCTCACCCCCTCTGAACGTCTTGAAAACAGCGCCGAAACACGTCGCCACGCTGTGCGTTCCATGGACTACCAGCAGTCAATCGTCTCCGAGCACGGGAGGTCTATTGCGTGGTTATTGTAATAGCTACTCCCATTTTCGACTACTGGTCAGGAACTCATTTGTCTTCCATCATCTCGTACGAGTCTTGCGATGAGATTTTATGGAGGGCTTCAAAAAGCAAGAGAGCTCCAGCGCCCACACCGAACGCTACCAGGTGCGCCACGGTGGTCATGGCCTCCTCGACGATAGCGTAGTACACACAGACGCCGGTCCACATCGCCAGCGAGACGGGGGTGGCATACGCCAATGCTGACACCGCAGCATTCTCTGCGCGGATGTGCTGAATGCGCCACCAGGCCAGAAAGACGAATCCCGCGTACGCGCTCCACACAGCGCTAATCCCGACGTTGTTCGTGCTGCAGTCGGCGAAGAGCTATCGGTCGCACAGAGGGTAGGGGACAGTTTTGAAGTTCTATGAGACAAAAGGTGTGGTTGTTCCACTATCGCGATGAAAGGGTGAACATTCGGTCGTCCAGTTCTCCTCTTCGACACTCGCTTACTGGGGTACATATATATCGGCTGTTTATCTTCTTGCCCCTACGTGCCGAGGTCGGACAACATGCACATAGTACAGTATTACACATAGTACAGTAGAGACAGCAACAACGACAAGGGGTTTTTGCCATCCCACACGCGAATCACGTACTAATCAGTCCAACCGCGTGGCACGGTCTACATCAGTCTACATCGGGGAGACCGAACAGAACAATGTACTCCTTCATAACGCGTATCCTGACCTGCATGGCGAATAGGACCGAGGTGAACGGTACCCAGAACCATGCCGCGTAGCGGGGATACCTTGAAGCTCGCTCCCCCGCTTTCCGCGTGCACAGTATCAGAGTGATGAGCGTTAGCACCAACGTCACGTCTGCGAGGTTATAGAACGAGGCAAGAAACGGTGTATTGTTGGTGTGTAGATGGGTGTGTCAATTTTAACTACCGTATACTACACAAGATACCAGCCCCCACGAACCCCACCACCCCGTTGATGTCTGCGGCTCGACGTAAGTCCAACAGGTGAAATACTCTCAGATCAAGTCATAGGGTCACCGATGATGCTGCAGGCAACAGAAATACCACATCCGTTAATTATTGGATTTACAGCCCAATTGCTGTCACAGGGGCGCGTGGTACAATATCTTGTGTGGAACTGCTGCTGGCATAAGACTAATTAATGTCTTGCAGCAAAAGCACAGCAGCCCGCCACCGGGCGGGATCGTCCTCGTCGTGTCGGAGGTTCACGAGTGATCAGTTTTGTTGAGTACTTTTGAACGGGAAAGCATCAAGTTGAGATTCGGTGAGCGACACATGGGAAAGAGCTGCCGGTAAAGACAGGTTCCACGGGCACATCAGCACATCAGTTGGAGCATCACCTCTACGTTGCGGGACAATGCAAGATCATACATCACTCACAGTTGATGTAGATATCCGTTTCGCTCCCCTCGTAAGTAAACACTCGTGTCAAATCGCACCCGTACGCCATGACACTTGTGGTTGATGAAGTGGATGTGCACGTCTGGGCAGCGACCTCACCCATCTCCCCCTGTGTCCCCTGTACTGTATGTTGACCGTCTCGCCCGCCAATGCGGCGGATTGTAGTCCCGCCAATGCGGCGGGGCGGCGGGCGGCGGATTGTAGTTCCGCCGCATTATTCCCTATGTGCATGCTTCCATATGTCTTCAACTCCATGTAACGGCCAGACTCGCCCCACGACCAGATTGGCCAGAAGCCACCATCGTGCAGGTCGCTGCTGCTGTTGGGGAGTAATATAGCAAGAGAGAAGCGTGTACCCAGGACTGCTAAGCAGAGAGAGCTGGAGTGCGTCCTCGCTGACAGTCAGCAGGTCGGGGCCCTTCAACTTTTGAGTAATATGTTTGGAACAACTCTCGTCGACATTCCGCTCGAGAACAGAGAGCGAGTCAGCTCGCTGAAGAAGCTCTGTACGGCCGTGAGCGTTGAGTCACCAGATTTGTTCCGCATTCACGGGGTTCCCTGCATAGATCGAGGCCCCGACAAGTTAAGACCTCCCGTTGCATACGAGCATTGGAATAATACAGGCAATGGAGGCCGCAACAGATCGGGAGGCGAGGGTGGGATTGCGAAGAAGACAGCCAATTTCGCACGGCCTTCGTCTGTGTCGGCAGATACTCCGAACTTTTTCAAGGTGGGAGGCAAAATGAAATTAGGCTGTACGCAAGTGCACGTCGTGCTATAGAGTAGGGGCACGAGATTCTTGTTGGCTTGTGACTCAGCTTCCGAGTTGGAGCGGCGGGCTCTACGTCTTTATTGTTTTTGCTGTCGGCCCCTTGACCTCTGCACCTTTGACTAGTCCACATGATGACATGTATTCAGGTTCTTGTGACAACGAAACTTAAAGCTTCTTTGCCTTTGAAGACTAGACATGTAGATATAAAGATGCTCTACCTAATAGACCAGAACGACGCTATAGTATAATGTGTGTTGATAACAACAACAACGACGACGACGACGACGTGGACGCACCTCCTTTGCAAGCCGAAGCACAGGAATGACGCTTCCTTGTACGTTCGACTATTCGTTGAGGTCACCGCACTCGAGTACTATCGACCCGTGCGCGAGTGCAGACCAGCACTGGTACCTATGTACCCTAATTTTATTTTGTCGGCATGCCTACTGCTGGCTGTTACTATACCTGACCCGAACAGACTATGCGGTCTTCGTGTTTGATGGAGAATGGGCCTGTATCTGCCCTTGAATACGACGGCGACCGCCATATTCAGAGATGCCATAGACCTTGAAATAGACTGCGGCCACCGCTCTATTCAGGGGCTTTCAGGGGATGTCCCTGGATACGACGGTGACCGCAGTCTTCAGGGACCAAAGATGTGGCAACGGTTTTGACCAGCGATTTTGACCGCCCTATGGGGGGACCCTGCCGTAATAACCCAACCGGAAAAACGAGTAATAACCACATGATGCTTCTTTAATCTTGTTAGAAGAAGCAGACCCTCGTAACTCGAAACACATCTCGCGCTGACAGTACAGTACTCTGGACACAGAGGAAAATTTGCTGCCTACCCTAGGTTTGTGAAGGGGTGCTGATCCACGATGATTGCTTTGCCAAACTTCGCCGTGTTGATTTGTTCGCTTTTTCAACAACATGGAACGACAGCCCGAGAAATCTTACGCCATAGTTTTGTGGGTATTGTTCAGGTGCCTGGAGTGGCGATCAACAGCAGCAGCGCAATCACAGGAGTCGAAGCCGTGTGCAGTCCACCCCCACAGCACCAGCCGTTCAGCCTGCCGGAAACATATATGCACGGGAAGGACGTACAGGCCGTTGCTGATCCACCAACCTTACCAGGTACGAGATACTGTACATTATCATGAACCACAGAAGCAAGAGAGAGAGGGGAACGTTGACATAACACCATGGTGTTACTGTTTGTAGAATCAGCAGCTTTAGGCGACTAAACTTCCCTTTCCTCTGCACGCATTCATGTACACATAATACATGGATTTTATTTTCTTCCGACCCTTTTCGTTCGATCGACGAACACTGCCCTACCGCGTGGCAGGTGTTAAATATTTCTTCTATCCAAAGCCCGTGTCCCACAGAAGGTAGCGAACGCCACAAAATAAACTTCTCGTTTCTCCCGCCTCTCTCGGCACGGAAGAGCGAGCGTCCCACTCGTCGCGTCGTTGTTGGAGTACATCCTTGATCTCGGCACTGTTTGTGAGCGAGCATGCGGGGAGGTTTGGGGGGGTCGGTCAGTGCGCGCCATACCATTGTTGACGGTGCATGTTGTTGTCATTACAATACTACTCGAATTTATACTTTTTCGGGAAAACAACAACGTAATATTTTCGCACATTTGTTTAATCGTCTCAGGCGTTGAGCCGATGTCCGTCGCATTGCCGGGCAGCTTCGCGGCACTCGTAGACTCCTGGACCCCCAGTCCAGCCCGAGCGGCTCCCAAAGCACTCGGTCGAGTGAAGTTCGCATCCGCTGCGTAGTTGGCCGTCCTATTCCGGTGGTCAAACACGACAGCAGATATTGAGTTAGCAACAAGGACACCACTGAAATACGCTGGACTGAAACAATAATCTCAAACAATAATCTCCAGACGCGAAGATTACGAAGATTAAGGATTTCGAGGTATTGAATGGTTGCTACTATTAGCCTAACTACTCTTGTATTGTGTCCCAAACCCCTTATCTTTCCAGCGTGTTCAATAAACGAAGTGCAACAGCATTCTCACCCTCCGGTGCTTGATTCAGCAGATAGCCTAGGACGGACTGGTAGCCGAGGAACATCTGCTCGCCGAGCAGTATGTACTTGTTCCTCCCGCCGAATGCCCGACGAAGGGGCCCCCGATGTACTCAAGCTCCGCTTCCTCGAAGAACCACTGCTGTATGGTCCACACAAAGTGGAAAAAAAAAGAAGGTGTATCTTCAATGACCGTGGGATGGTTGGTGGTGAGGCTGCTTGTCGTCAGCCGAAAAATATAGAGTTAAATGCAGAGGTTGGACGGGGAAGATGGGCAAATTATAACCTCGCTGGGTTTATGTTCAAGATGTGCGTTGATTCGTCTCTATTCACCTGAACAACACACTACCAGTACCGAGATTGGACGGGGACAACGTTGACGCGTATACTATCATCTCGGTGCGTAAATCTTCGCGATACGTCTATTCACCTGAATAACACACTGCCAGTACAATTTCACTCTCAGTGGTGACGTTGAATGCAAAATATGTCGGGTGAAGGGCGAGGTGGTTGACCTCGGCAAACTATTAGCGGTGAGACAAAACGAACACTCTGGCATATAGCTGCGGTAAAGGACAAGGTGGTCGACCTTCTTCAAACATGCAGTGACCCATACGGAAGAACTACGACGACAATCGACGGTTCTGATTTTACCTCCATTTGTTCACGAGAGACGTCCATATATCTTCTTACCCGTATGTTCCCGATTCACCTCTTATTCACCTGAATAACCCTACCAAACAATATCATATCTCAGTTCGGGTGGTGACGTTGGAGACAGATACTCGAAGAAGGCAGATAATCGGTGACGACGTGGTGGTTGACGTTGTGAGCGGGGTTCGTTTTTCATCGGAAGAAAACCACGACGTGATAGTATGGGCCCCAAAGTGAAGAAGTGTGGGGGAAAAAATAGATACCAAACTTAGGCCCTGGGATCTAGTATGAAGGTACTGTATGGGCAAAGGTAGAGGAAAATGTTCTCACCTTCTGTCACCTGTCTCTTGTGCTGGCCCGGCGTACGTCGGGGTTGTGGGAAAGCCATCGCTGCCCCGGCTGTTGGCGGTAGGACTGTCCGTCGCGTTGTCTCCGTCCGTCTCATCAGCAGCTGCCAGCAATGATATAGTCACCGCCGTCGGTCTTGCGAGAGAAGTGACGTCGTTCATGGAGACTCTGCCCGTGAACGTTACCCCATTCCCCAGGTCGATGAGGACGTTGTCCACCGATGTGTCATTGCCGGTGCCGAGGCCCTCACCCATCTCTTCTTGCATTTCCGCGCCATCGTCCAGCTGCTCTTCTTCCGCTCCTGCCATCGGAACTTTCCCCGCCGTAGCGCCGTGGATAATGTCGAGACGATCCTGGTAAAAAAAACTGCTGATCTGTCCGCCATTGCCAGTGTCCAGAGCAGATGGGGTATTCTGGAGAGTGGTCTTCAGGATGCCTTTCCCGTCAAGTGCCCCCCATAGAAGACTGAACTTGGCAACATCCACTTCTAGGACCTGCTGCACGATGAGCATGGAGAACTCGATCGCAAGTCGCCGCGCCTTCTTCTTGAGGAGGCACCTTTCCCTTGCCTTTTCCAATTCTTCAGGAGATTTTTTGGTTCCGGGTGTCCCCTCGGGTGCATCCTTCTTACCCCTAACTCCTTCCTGGACTTCCTCTTCGTAAGAAAGAAAGTGCCCTGTCAGCGCCGAGTCAAACTCTATCGGCACAGAGCTGGTCGAGATATGAACCTCGCATTTGTCGCCTTTTCCGGGGACTGTAACCGTCTTGTTACTCGCGCTGAGGAAACCCAATACGGGCTTCTTGTTGATGCCTAGGAGACCCTCTGGGGACTTCACGTGGGGTTTGAAAGCGTTCCAACAAGTCTCCAGGGTGTTCTGCAGCTTCGATGACAGGCTGCCGTTGTTTGCTGCGAACATGTCAACATGTCCTTCATCGACGAATGAAGGCAGGAGATCCTCCACGCTCCTAGCCGGTGTGCTGCAGCCGACGGTGCCTTGACCGCTAGGAATGATGAAACTCCCACGAGCGACCGATTGACAAAACGCCCGCAATATGTCGGTGGTGCTCTCCTCGACAGCTAGAGTCTTGGTTGCATTGACCAATCCCTTCTCGGCGATAGTTTCCAGAACACGCGGCAACCCCTGCGTCCGAGGCAGTAGACTGAACAGGGCTTGAATCGCCTCGGGCTTGGGGTCGCTGGATCTGGTGAAGCGGCGCGCCTTCTTCTTGTCGCCGTCCTGTAAAACGCCGTCAAGATGACAATTAAAAAAGGGCAATGTTCACACGTGGATGCGGCATACACATCGTTGGGTTTCAACATAGGAGGACAGAAAGGTAGGAGAGAGGTGATAAATTCTATACACCGAGTGTTGGAAAAAAATCTTCATACCAACAATAGGTATTCCGCTGAACGGAAACATACTACCCCCCCCCAGGACCGACCTCATTGCTGACAGACTGGTCCTCGTCGTAGGACTGGTCCTCCTGGTAGAGCCTCTCGACTATCGCTTTGACAATAGGCCTGTTGGGGTGTAGCGCAATGGCGTACACCAGCGTCTCCCATTGTTTCCCCTTGTTTGTTTTGCACCGCAAAGCGGGTGCATCCACCAGCGTCCGGTTGACGTAGCTGCTGAGTCTCTGGAACATCTTGTTGACGCCGCGGGTCTCCTCTTGGGTGGACGGAGAAGGAGTATCCCCCCCTCCTGGGTATAGTTTGTCCCTCCAGCCGGGACCCATCACCTCAATGGCGAAGGCGTCGTAAACAGTCGTCGACGGGTTCATGACCTGTTGGACGACGTAGCCCAGCCGCCTGAACAAAGCATAGTGCGCTGGTTTCTGTGGACACGGGAAGGTCGACGTTACAAGCATAGTTGGACGTTTTCGTTAGAGCATGATGCGGTGGAGCGTGTTAACATTTATTACGATGTAAATGTTACTCCAAGTAGTCGTGAAGGAAGCAAGATGGCCCACCTGGCCCGGGACATATTCTGTTGAGGTTCCTCAGATGAATAACCTCAGTATCATTGTTGAATGAGAGCGCGATATTCATCGAGAAGTATTGATGTTAGACATCATGGTCCGGCCTACATGTCACGTCATAAGAGTTCATCCTTTGGATATAGACTAAAAAGAAGATGCAGCGAAGAAATATCTCTCGGGTCTGACGGACATAGTAATAATCTAGTCGCAATCAAATTCCTGGTAGTAACTCAGTTTAGTAACTTTGTTGTTGTTGTTGCTGTTGTCTTCAAATTAATAACTTTTCGATCTCTCTCTACCCAGTACCTCTTCGTACAATTTTTGAAAGGACATGGAGGCTATTCCCATCGCTCTGCATATGGTATCTTTTTGCATTCGGCATGCACTCAGTAACCGAGAAGGATGTGTAAGTCTGCCGACCTGGCCCGCAATCATGATGTGTTTAGGTTGAACATCCACCGTACCAAGGCATCTTTGCCCCAAATCATTTCCCGGCCCGGAACCATTTTCTATCGAGGTTCCTCACATGAATAACCACAGCTGCTTTACCCCAAATACCTGCATGGCCCGGAACCATCTTCTATTGAGGTTCCTCACATGAATAACCACCGCATGGTTACCCCAAAACACCTCCTGTCCCGGAACGATTTTCTGTTGAGGTTCCTCACATGAATAACCAACGCTTGTTTGTCCCAAATTACTTCCTGGCCCGGAACCATATTCTGTGGAGGTTCCTCACTCTCACCTCACATGAATAACCACCGCTTCTTCACCCCAATACCTGCATGGCCCGGAACCATATTCTATTGAGGTTCTATTGAGGTTCCTCACATGAATAACCACTGCATGTTTACCCCAAAACACCTCCTGTCCCGGAACGATTTTCTGTTGAGGTTCCTCACATGAATAACCAACGCATGTTTGGCCGAAATCACTTCCTGGCCCGGAACCATATTCTGTGGAGGTTCCTCACATGAATAACCACCGCATATTTTCGCCGAATCACGTCCCAGTTCTTGAATGAGCGTGACATTAATCACGAAGCACTAGGCATCAAGGTTTTGTCCGGTCTACATGTATGTATGTTCTTAATTAAACGGTCTTGACAGTCGATCCTCTTTTGGAATCGTCTCAACGAGGATGCCGCGAAGTAATGTCTGTCCGGGTCAACTCAGAGAATAGTCTTTGGGCACCGACGGGGCAAGTATCTTCTCGGTCATCAGGGCCAAGTGCCGTTTACCATTTGCGAGTGAATCCGCGTGATTGTTTCGAGCCTCAATAAGAACATTGTGTATTTAAGACGTTTGTTCGTCGTGCCCAGAGCCTATGCACAGAATGAATAAAACCTTGCGCACTCACCCGAGACTCCGTCTCCCCGGTATGCAGATTGTCTCCCTTCGCCATGCAGTCCGAGTATCCGAGATGGTTGTACACGTTGACACAGAAAAGAGCTTTGGGGCAGGATAGGGCCGTTTTGAGCTGCTCGGTCTTGGACTCGCCTGAAAAATAGCGCTTAAGATTGGACGGTGTGAAATAAATAACAAGTTGAGCGGATTCTGGGGGCGAGGTCACCAAAACAGTATCATCACACATACATGCAGCCTACGTGGAATAGATGATTTGGGCGAAACCAACCGGACGACCCTGACCACCGGGCTTTTGTAACTACGTACTAACGGCACGGAAGGTGTTGGTTGTTTTGTGTTTCATTTCCAAGTCGGAAAACACGTGAGTGAAAAGCTTAAATAGAGTGTGTAGACTAGGTAGTTTCCAATTGTAATTTGATGCCTGTCTCCTCCCTGCTGAACCCATCCCCGATCCGGTCTGCAAAATATCGTTCGACAAGAGTAGTACGTAAAAATCCAACAAACAGACCGCTGCACTGCTGTAGAGTTCGAAAGTGTACGGAGGTACTCACTGTCAGACTCGAAGAGTGCTGATTCGCCGAACTCCCCCGCTCGGGCGGAGGATAGACCAAGCTCGGGGCCCAAGACCATGATGCACATAGCAGCGCGGTTCTGTCCTTGGGGGGTGATCAACTTGGGCATGTTATCGGTGAAGTCGCCGCTCGGACACCCTTCGCCGCGCTGCATACGTATTGATTCGAAACGATTGTGGTGCGAGGAGGAACGTCCGCAAATCCACAGAATGGGAGATTTTTTAAGTTCGTCGTTGTTGCACACGTAGGTTGCCAGGCACGTTGGGGTGCGGACCGGGCGAAATTACAGACGATTAATAGTCAGTGTATGCATACATCGATTATTATTATTACTACTAAACAATGAACCGCGGAGGGGGCTACGGCGGCATACATGCCGCCGGGCGTGCTGTTCGAGGGCTATGGGTACACTGACTGAAGCGCTACCAGATTTATCGCACGTGGAACGTTACTTGTCGTAGTGTGGGCGTCTAATTGTTTTCCCGTCCAATTTGTACTTTCCAAAACTGCTGTGGTCCGCGAATGATTCTAAGAGGCCGAAACAATGACACATGTGCACAGTAGTGCAAGCTATCGGTTAGCACGCGGTCAGGGCACTCGAACGCGAAGCTTTCCCCTATATTGAAAGCGCGGCCACCGGATGCTATGCACCAGGTGTCTGGGAGCGACCCGTTGCGAGAAGAGCGACAAATTGAAGGAAGCACAGCAGCAGTCACTGCAAAAGTGTCCGGGGTAATGTATTCCGACTCTTGCGCCGTAAGATATATTGTACCGCCATGGACAAACGGATAGATAACGTCTGGATGACGGCACAGAAAAAAAAATATATATACTGCTGTACATAGATAAAGAAACAAACGCGCCGACTGCTGCACCGGAACAAGCACATCAACGCACGCAACGGAGAATAGTAGCTATTTAGCCACATGGTGGTTCCACCTGCAGGTAGTCGTGCGGCGCGAACCCCAGCGGCTGGATGAACTGGAGTACAATATTGTACACGCGATACAAGCCCATCCAACCTTTTACAGGCTGTGTCCGCCCGGCCAACCCCACAATGTGCCAACTTGCCGACATGTACAATTGCTTGTTGCCAACAGATTGTGAAGAAATAAAGGTGGTAGTTGCTGCTTACCCATGTGGTACCGTCCAGGGCAGTGCTCCAACTCGGGCCCTCTACTGATTCCTCTGCAGCCTTGATGGCGCTAAGCATCCTCTTGGCCTCGGCAGCCTGCAGCAGTCACAAGGCGGAGTTGCCGTTGTTAGCAATATGACAGCATGTTGCGATTGTTATTGTTTGGGTGACATTCAAAGCAGCAGCAGCAGCCATTTCCGCTCTCACCCCGAACAAACATGCGTAAGTCTAGGGATAGGCTTTAGGCTTACGGTATTGAGAACATATTGTCTAGGCACGGTCTAGTTCCGCGAAACAGACAGACAGAGCGACCTGGAGTCACTGCAGCAGATCGCAAAGTCGCCAAGCCGTGCACACACGAGCCGCCGACAGCTACCATTGCCGTTATGTATCAACGGATTTGATACAACAATCGAAAAAAGAAACAAGCACACACCACGTCCCCCCAGTAATTAACCCACCTCTTGTGCGCAGGTCTTGGATAGGTGGCCTATGGCCTTCCTAGCAGCAATACACCAGAGCCTAGGGGTGCGATGTATCTCGAGGGCGGGGCAGGCGACCATAGCGGTAGACTCCATCTTGACCCCGCCAATAAAGCCCGAACACACCGTTTGGAGTGTGCGCTCCGACATCACGTTTGTGTTCTTCCCACGGTTTTCTGCCGCCCGACTCTCGGACCCGTTCATGGTAGAATTGTCGACGAGAAGCGCCAGCGCTTTGGGGTGAAGGGCAACGACACACCCACCGTCGTCTCGAACAGACGTCATGGCATTACGCGCTACAGATCCTGTCTATCGGACTCGGTGCTCCGGTGTGGTTTCACAGCAGTATGCGTATGATACCTCTTCTTTTTTTTTTGAGAACATGTTCGGTTTTCGGTTTTCATTGCGTGTGGTGTTTCTGTTCGGCACATACCGAAATTACGCCGCCCCACACGGTCGTCACTGCCTGCCATCCTGCCATGGACACAATGGAGCTCGCGTGCACACGCAGTCAGCGCGGAACCTACACCCCGAGATGTTGGGGCCTTGCCTTCTTCGACTCCGATAATGACGTCTTGGGTGAGCTGTTGCGTGTGATGGCCGTGAAACGTCGCGACGGACGTGTCGGCATGTCGTGGGCAGAACATATATCTACCCTGGTCCCATCTTGGAGTAGTCGTACGAGTAATGGGACTTCCAATTTGCTATATTTTCCCACGCGTAGGCTGCAACTCCTAGAGTCTGGGCGCCGCACAGATCCGAGATGTGTTGCACAACACTCCCCAGTAAAAGGACGTGCGCGGCAAGTGCGTACACGGACCCACAGAGGTGAGAATGAATGCAGGACACTACATACTGGTGTGTCGGACTTTGAACCAACTGCACACAAGTACCGTAGACGACACGAGATAAGACATCCACATAAGAAACGTAACCCTAACCACATACTACGACACCCCGGTGATAAATCTTGTCGTTTCTGACACACCATCGTTTTATCACCCGGGCTACATTAGATAACACACCCCCTGAGGCTACGCCGCATACATTCACGGGGCCCCTCCTTCTATCACCGGGTTTCAGTCTATGCAGCATCTGCCCCGTGGGCATCGCACACACAGTCTGTCTGCATGCGGGCAAACGCCTTTCATGGAGACCTCCACAAACATGAACGTGCAGGGAGAGCAGACTGCCGACGCAAGTACCGTAGCCGCACCCCCGTGCGGTCGTTTTTATACATTTTTTCAATTTAATTTTCGTAGCACCCCTGTGCGATGACTCCATACCCTGTGCGAAAATTGAATTAAATCATTTGGTTTCGATACATGACGCACACCCCTGTGCGATGACTCCAGTATGTGCGGTCCTGAGTGCTGCTGTTCCATGATGCTGTTCCATGGTACATACTGCTGTTCGTTGGTTTTGCTGATGGCCCCTGTTCTTTCTTCTCGTGTTTTGGTTGAATGGACAATGTTCGAGTTTACCGATCCAATGAAATACCAAGGTATTTCAAATCCTTCATACCTCCACGTGTAGTATGCGACGATGACCTACCTACCCGTACAGCAGAGCTCCATGCCAGCACTGGCATGGTTGCAGGGGCGAAAATTGCCTCGAAATCGCTGGCACTCAACTACTACCCTACTGCTGTAGGTTGCGAGTCATTGCACCCCTGTGCGGTAACTCCGGACCCTGTGCGGAAATCGAATGGAACCACTAGACTATGCCATCTAATTTTAATCGCACCCCTGTGCGATGACTCCGGACCGTGCGAAAACTCCGGACCGTGCGCTGACCCCAAACCTTACGGTACCTCTTCTTGTTCCACACAACCGCTTCGACCGCAGCAGTACAAGCGCCACAGATCACACCGTTCCTACAACGCGACGACACTTGCTCTACTCAAGCTGCTCCCGCTACGGCTCGTCCTCCTGCTGCTGCTGCTCAGCAGCTGCATCCTGCACAGCCACAGGCGCCAACATGATAGCCACCGCATCGCCTCACCATCAGCAGTGTTATCACACCACACACACCCATCATCACACCGCCAAACGTACCCTGTGAGTGTTCGGACGTGGCATCACACACACCCTCATTTAGCACACTCCCAATTACACCCTGTGGGCGTTTTGAGGTGCCATCACACACCCTGTGTGTCCACACCCCCTTTGGGACCCCTGCGAGCTGCACTTTGTCACGATGGCTACCTAAGATACCACATCTCTCCGCAGGACACCACACCCGGTGATATCATGCTTAACGCCCTAAGTGTTTTGACCGGGGTGTGTTATCTTGTGTCTTCTTAGTTAAGTATGGCCCGTTAGGGTGGGGTATGGCCCACTGCTTGTGGCATGTACAAGGAGAAAGAACGCTTAAAAGCAAGACGACACGCCGAAGAAGTAAAGCAAGACGACACGCCGAAGAAGTGCCTTGGAATACTTAGAACTGCAACTCTTGTGTACTTTTTTTCAGCGATCACGCACGTACAGGCTACACACGAAAAGCAACAACAGGAGGGGGGAAAAGCAGCAGCAACAAAGAACACACCTTACCCGCGACTTGATGCGATTACCGACACAGCAATGTGTTCAGATGATGAGTTGGGACTGTGACCTTATCAAAGTGGGACCTCATTTGAATGTACTCGATCGACAAATAGCAAGTTTTAGCTTCCAAGTGAGGATGGTTTTGGACTGTGTACGCGTCATCTTCATTTCCTCGGGATATAGCCACGCACAGGACATGGTCAGTGTGTGCCATGCACCAGAAAATATTACGTGTCCTGCCGCGAGCCTCGGTATTCCAGCAGCTGAACAAGATGCGCACACACAAAAGACCCGTCAGCATACACACTCATGCACCCACGCGCACCCAGCTACTGCCTAAACGCAGTAACGTCTCGCACATCCGTCAAAATTCAGCGGCCATGGCCCAATCTCCCCCCGTATGTGAAAGCACAACAGCAGCAGTAATAACAACGTATCTGGTGCACACGTAGGAACTGGCTGCGCACTCTCACACGACCATTCACACGGCAGTACAGGTGGGGCCCGTGTTCGAAAAACAACAATCAAAAAAGAAAAAACTCAGCTATTCATGACAAATCTATTTTTATGAAACATACGCCCACAGAGGCATGACATAAAAGAAACGAGGGGACCGGAGGTCATCGTGCCTCACAAGAAATACACGTGCACTCTGCTACCTACACCCGCCCCCGTTAAGTTTTTTTGCAGCGCCGGTTAGACGAACCGTCTCGAGGTGTTCTTCCAAGATTTCTGTGTATCGCACTTGTCTATTTCAATACGTTCTTTCACCGAGGTGCGAAAAAAAACCCGAGGACAAAAAGTATGTAAAACCGATCGCACCCGGTTCCGTCTCAACAGTATGCATGAAAGGAGAGACATTGTACAATTGTGAGACGAATAGGCTTGCTTCCATCAGCGGGTGCAAGTTGCAACATAGAGCGGAGTCCAGGTGCTGGTGCTGGTGACGCAGTCGTCAGAATCTCTCCGAACGATTTTGATGGCGTGTTCAGAATACTTAGATAGAGCGGCGAAAGGGGGGAATGGAACATAGACGTGCCATGGACTCCGCTATCCAACCCCGAATCTGCATGATTTCCTCCATCGCGGCACCGCCCGTGGACCTGACGGTAAACTAGATAGACAAGTCGGCTGCCCGCAAGTGCGTCTGAACGGCCGCCGTCCTGTGGTATGCCGCGATTTCGCGGGCCCACGGCTCCCATTATCTAGAGCGCACGTGGAAACGTTAAGCCCGCGACTCTAGACTGAGACAGCTGTCCTGGTTGGCGCTAGCACGCACTTAGACGGCTTTGGTCGAGGCCCGCAAGGTCTTCCCAAACAAGGAACTGAAAACTAATCCTGTTGACTCCGGCAGCCGGATCACCTCTTTTCCCAACGCGAAGGAGAGGTCGAACCCCCGGCGCAAGGGCTGGTACGAATTCTCGTCTCCAGCCCAATCAATCACTCGAAGGATTATGACGATGGATTCATCAAACCGTTCGGGAGCAATGTGTTCATTTCCATTAGCCCCGGTGGCGGTGTCACAAACGCTACGAACTGTACCGCGTTCGAATTGTCGAAATCTTAAACTCAGTGTGGAATGCTTGGACCACACCTGCCGCCTCGGTGTCGGTAGGTCCGTAGTTGGGATGTTGTGCTCCCGCGGCACAAGTTTCGTACAGGAGGGTTTGGGGTTAGGATTGCTTCATTCAGCGGAGAACCACGCTCACCAGTTCGCAAGCGTCTACCTCGCCACGCATGTGTGCAATGGCAATGCGATGAATTGATTCATTTAGACCTCCCCTTGTCGGGGTGTGTCCACGTCTGTAGCATGTTAGCTCTGCTGTATCGGTCCAAACAGCACCTGTGGACGGTGTCTCTTCGTCATTATCAATATAAACACAACATATAGTTCGTTGATATCCCAGAGAACATGGCAGCATGGCCGATGGCATTACCTTGTCTCTCGCTATATATGCATGCCGCAACAGCGGTTCGAGAAGTCCTCTTCCATCGTGTGTCAGTAGCATCCTCTTAGTTATCTACATTCAGTGCTACCGACAGTGAAGTAAGGGAAACGGTGAAATGGAAACATACGACGCGTTATCGAAGCGCTGAGAGGCACGGCTTTTGTGAGTACTCCACTAGAGACAGGTTCGTTTTAGCGAAAGGCTAGGGTTAGAGGATCGACATAGTAATAGTTCCTGGCGATATCTCTTTCACATTTCTCCTCCGATACCCATCGTGCAGCAAGAAAGGGGCAGGAAGCCAACGATAATTTCGTCCCCACTCGTGGCAGGGTTTGCTAGTGTTGTGCCCGTTACATTAGCCAGGCGAATAAGAGTTGCTCTGATCAATACCAACGTTGGGAGGTTTCAACGTTGGCACTGGCCAGTTTCGTGAAACGTACCAGTATTCGCCATTATCCACGTGGGATGCGTTTTGTAAAACTTGTGCATTCGAGCAGCGCCTTGGAATCCACGCATGCGGCATACATGCCCGCTTTCGAGGCCACGTTTGGCCAAAGTCAATACATGCACGATCGTGGGTGGGGTTGGTGTTGCTGGTGCCGGGGTATCCTCTCCGTCTCCGGCTTTTGTCTCCACCTGACTCAGCGCCGGTGGAGGGGACTGTGCTCGCGCCAACTGTCGGGCCTTATCCCAGGGTGGCGTGGACAGG